AGGACTTTCTAGTATTGTCGTATGGTGGGGTCTGCCGGCCCAGACTGACCTAGCCGCGCTCTAGTATTGTCGTATTGTGGGGTCTGCCGGCCCATCTGGTCGGTTTATAGCTGACTGAAATGACCCATTCGTTGCTGGCGCTCCCCCAGGCCGTGTTGGGTGTCAAGGCCGTGTTTTTCTGGCGAGCTGCTATTGTGTTGATACTTGATAGCCTTAGCGCAGAAGGCGAATGGCTGCAAGTCCCCTGCTAACCCCCAGGGACGAGTTTCGGCTGATAGCTCTGCCGCCACCGTTCTGCCTTCCAGTCACTCCATGTGGGTAAACGCTCCATCAGCCTGTACTCCCCAGCGGCCGATTTCCTGCTGATTTCCGCGGGCCTGTCGGAGGCACCTTGGTAACACCTCCCCGGCTCGGCTTATTTCCGTGTTCGTGAGCGCGCCGTGCCTCTGCCGCTGTTTTCTCCTCTGACGTCCCGTGTTTTCGCTCGTGGCCAGCACGCCCCTCCGTTGGTTTATAGCTGCCGCCCGGACCGTAAAACATTTACCCACCCCAGCGTGAGGCGCTGCGCTGTCCCAGGGACCACCGAGGGTCGGCGGGCGGCCCCCGAGTGTGTGCTGCCACCCCTTCGCCGCAGTTTGCTCTAATGAGACGGTAGAGCGGTGGCGTCACATCCTCTGCCCACCCAAGGTCGGCGGACGACTCAGCGGCTCTGCAGCTCTGTGCAGCCAGCTGCGGGCCGTCAATCCCCGGCCCGGCCCGGAGACGGCTGCTGGTGGCGGAAAAAGGCCCGACTCGTCATCCCTAGCCGTCGGCGGAGGTCGCTGCTCCACCAGCTGCGGGGGACGCTGACTGCTGCGCCGTTGGAGGAGTCTGACTCATGCGGAGGTCACCTCTTTCGCCAGCTGTTTGTGTTGGAAATCCTGACCTCTCCGCCGCTCGGCAAGGATGGTACTGCTCCAGTGGTAATACTGATAGCAGGCCGTGACAGGAAGGTCAAAGTACCGCGGTAATGGGCACTGATAACCCGCTGTCGGTCAGACGCCGGCGGCGGCAGCTGGTCGCCTCGGATCTTACTCCGCCGGTCAGACCTCCCTTCCCTTCCCGCGCGGCAGCTGGTCGCCTCGATCCCAACTCGGTCGGTCCTCTCGACGGCGAATCGATCTACCCCTACCCGCCCCCTCGGTGGAAGGGGGGGGGGCGTGGCTGTTGTCAACCCGCGTCTGCGGCGGCGGCGGCGGCGGCGGCGGCGGCGGCGGCGGTGACACCGGTCGAGGCTGCAGAAACTGGGGGAGACAGGGCCGTCCTTCAGCGAGGGGAGTACCGCACCGTGCTCAGTGCCAGTTGATGCAATTATGGCACTCACAGGTGCAAAGGTACCGCATAACCGTATCGTGAGAGATCAAAGGAAGGCGGGCGGCCCTCAGCACAAATGATCAAAGGAAGGCGAGATATGGGTAGTTGCCAATTATTCCCGTCTTACAATGATTCGATTGTTACTCAGTAATCGAATCGTAGGTCTCTTGGAACTCCAATAGAATCCCGTTGCTCTGCAGCCAGTCCAGTAATCCAATTGAGAGTCACCGCCCCTATTGCAACGACGAATATCGGCTGTTAAAGTTCTCTGTGCGCGAATTGCCAATCAATGCGTGCCGTTTTCCGATCGTTCAGTGCTCTGAAAATGGGGCACTGCGGCCCGTGGTGTCGATTACGGAGCTGCTGATGAAACTGGGTAGATCGCAGGGTCAGCACGCTACCGCCTGTCGATCGTTTGCACCTAACCCTAACCCTGCACCGTATCTGCGCCTGCGAGGAAAAGTCGGTGAGGTGAGTGGGATATGCGTTTACACACCACACGGCACACGCTAACAAAATTGGCTCACGCTTTGTGCTTAGTTCATTGGCGGCTGCCGCTGTTCTCTAAAAGCTCCTCTGTCCTGAAGTTCTGGACCGTCCTACCAAGTCTCACACCCCGCCCTGTCTGGTTATACGACCCCTCCCCGCTCCCCTGGCTGAGCGTGTCCTCCGGCGTGTGTGACCACTCCGGCGTCACCCCGGAACCGCCGGAACTGGGCGGCGCCGAGTCCGGAAATAGCGACCAATTCCGGGCCGACCGGCGGTGACACGCGCAAACGGCGCCTTTGATCGTCCGTCTCGGGAGTTTGGTAGCTCAGTGCTATTTATCATTCACTCTGTTGCGTCATAATGCTAGTTGGCATATGATGCAAGGCCACTGCTCATTTCCGCACTTGCAGTTTTTCCTCGTAGAAAATCTGATGATTGCTTTATCCTCGGTGTTTGTTTTGTTGCTGCCTGATGTGCCACTCTTCGCTGCCGTATGACTCATGTGCGCTGGACTTCTGTGTTTACTGAGTGGAAGGAAAGCCTACCTGAGTACCGGTCTGAGCGGCCGTCTCCGGTAGGGTCCGTACATACAGGCGCCGCGGGTCCGCCGCAGTGTGGACCCGGACGGACGGACGGCGGGCGACCCCGCCACTCTGCCACGGCAGCAGTCAGCTGTCGGACAGTCCCGGCCAAATGGGCGGCCGTTCCCCCGAAATGGGCCGCCACCGATTGGCTGCCAGGCCATCACTTGGCTCTGTTATAGCGCCTGTAACACAGTTTCTACCGAGGGCGGCTGCTGGGTGCTACTGCTACACTCAGCGCTTCTCTGTGCTGGTGGATAGCCAGTTTTTTTATTTTTGCAGTCGAATTTGACTAAAGACATGACCTTACTATTGTGCGTCGTTTATTTTCATTAACCGTTCGCCGATAGGGTGACTGTCGGAGTTGAATCTTGTCTCAACGGATTTGCAAAGCGAATCCCACCCTGTGCTCATTCGTTATGTTTATAAACGGGCGGCGTTGGGATGTCAACATTTCAGAATGGAGCTGGCAAATTTATAAACGGGCGGCGTTGGGATGTCAACATTTCAGAATGGAACTGGCAATTTGGCATCACTACGGGCTGCCGTCGTGTCTTGCTGGGCTTGTGTTTGAAATCGTGTGTGGAGTTCCATATCAGACATTTTCTCATGCTCAGTATAAAATAACGGAGTGACCTTGAAACACTTACTTCAGAAAGGGTTATTTTAGTAAGCCAGACGCCGTTCTGCTGGCTCCGCGTTATCGTTGAACCGATACGAGCCCCAATAAAAACAATATACACGGCGCTGTGCTGTCGGTATCGGAGCCGGCCGGTCGGCCGTCGCCTGGTGTCCAGCCGGCCGGTCAGGCAGACGGACAGACGTGCGGCGGCGAGTGGCGGGTCTGCCGGACCAGGGACGCTCCCCTGCTCTCGGCACCCTTCACTGGTGCCCCGCCGCCGCACCGTCCTGTGGCCCCAGTGTGTCCGCTGCGTCCCCGCCGCTGTCCTGCGGTCTGCCGGCCCCCTCTGTGCGTCAAACGGGACCGCCCGCGTGCTGCACAGAGACAGACACCGCTCAGAGGGCCTGGGTCTGTCTGCGGTCGGGGCAGGGCGGTGGAGACACCCCTCTCACTGTGCCCCCGCTCCTCTGTCCCCGCTCCTCTGTCCTTCTCAGAGGAGACACACAGTGTGGAGCTCGGCTCGGCTCGGCCGGCTCCAGTCCTCTCCGGCCGCCGCGGGTCGGCTGACCGGTCACCGGGGCGGCGCCGACCGGCCCTGACCTGACCCGCGGTCGGCGGCGGCGGCAGCCGGGCTGGTGTCGGTGGTGATGGCTGGTGCCGCTGGTGTGTGATGGCGTTGGTGATGGTGCAGTGTCGGTGGTGATGGTGACTGGTGCGGCCCGGGATGTACCGTTTCCTGTGGCGGGTGGTGACCGCGCTCTGGGAACCGGCCAGATACGAGCCGCCGCCGCGCCGCTGGGGAGCAGGCCGACTGGGGTCAGTGGTGCCAGGATGGTGCTGGTGCTGGTGCTGGTGGACTGTGGTGTGTGCTCCGCACTGGTGGTGCTGGGTGCCCTGTGAGAGAGGAGCGGTATGGCTCGCCTGCCAGCCAGTGGCAGAGTGCTGTTTTTCATTGTGCCAGCGTTTCTTCTTCAGGCCAGCTCAAGCTCTCCTCACTACCCCCGGGCCTCTCTGAGCTGACCTCGCCCGTTGCCGAGACCCGGGGATCCTCCTCTCCCTTCACTCCCTTCCTCTCCGTTCATCATCCGTCAGTTAGACGGTCCGGCGAACAGTGCCCGTTAGTGTGAGCCGGCCTCACGACCGCGGCCCGCACCTCTCCCCCGGAGGACGCCCCCGCCCGGTCAGCTGGGGCTGCTGGCCGGAGGTCGGCTCCCGCTCGGATCAGCTGACTGCCGAGCTGCGGCGCCCCGCTGGCGCTGCCGGGCTGTCGGTTCCGACTGTGCCCCGCCGCCCCCCCCCCCCGCGGCCCCCTCGGGCCCCTCGGGCTCCTGCCTACCCCCGGTGGGCCAGCTGACGGGCGCCATCGATCGGTGACGCCGTCGACTCGGGGCCGGTTGAGGCGACCGGGGCGTGCATGGTAACGCGGCGCCCCCCTCCCCCGGTACCCCGGGGGCGCTCAGGGTCAGGGCTGTTTACCACGGCGCTGCCACCTGTCCTCAGAGCTCCACTGGCGCTGCCCGCTGTGGTAGTCGTAGTTGTAGGGATCGTGTAGGTTGACGTTTTACGGCCACCTGATGACCATGTTATGACCAATAAACGGATCGGTGTTTAACGGTAGGCCCTGTTGTTCTGACCAAAACTTGCTACCATCCGACTCCGTGTGTGCCTTTCGATGATCGTCAGCCTTTCTCTCGGCCTCAGCTGTGTGTGTCAGACCTCTGTTTGTTTATGTTCCTGTGACTTTCCGTCTCATGTTCTGGAGATGACAGCTGCTTTCGTGTCGAGGCAGCGAGCTCAGTAAAACTCCCCTCCCATTTGCCTGCATCTGACTGTCTGTGTCCCGCCATCACTGAGTCTGACAGTACCGCTGACCGTCTCTGTCTCTGTCTGTGTCCCGCCATCACTGAGTCTGACAGTACCGCTGACCGTCTCTGTCTCTGTCTCTGTGTCCACAGGACCGAGTCGTCGCGGACGGAGGCGAGCGTCTCTGAGAAGGACAGCGCCGCCAGCGACGACGAGAAGGAGAGCGTGGGCAGCGACGAGGAAAAGGAGGAGGAGATCCTCGGCTCGGACGATGACGAGCAGGAGGCGCCCTCCGACTACAAACCCGGTGGGTGGCCGCTGACCTGACCTGACCTGGCCTGACCTGACCTGACCTGACCTGACCCTCCGACTACAAACCCGGTGGGTGGCCGCTGACCTGACCTAACCTCCGACTACAAACCCGGTGAGGGGCCGCTGACCTGACCTGACCTGACCTGACCTCCGACTACAAACCCGGTGGGTGGCCGCTGACCTGACCTGACCTCCGACTACAAACCCGGTGGGTGGCCGCTGACCTGACCTGACCTCCGACTACAAACCCGGTGGGTGGCCGCTGACCTGACCTGACCCTGACCTGACCTGACCTCCGACTACAAACCCGGTGGGTGGCCGCTGACCTGACCTGACCTGACCTCCGACTACAAACCCGGTGGGTGGCCGCTGACCTGACCTCTGATTACAAACCCGGTGGGTGACCGCTGAACTGACCTCTGTTAACAAACCCGGTGTGTGGTGTGTGGCCGCTGAACTGACCTCTGTTAACAAACCCGGTGTGTGGCCGCTGACCTGACCTGACCCTGACCCTCCGACTGCAAGCCCGGTGGGTGACCGCTGACCTGACGTGACCCTGACCTGAACTGAATCTGACCTGACCTGACCCTGACCCTCCGACTACAAGCCTGGTGGGTGACCGCTGAGCTGACCTTACTCGACCCTGAAACGAAAAGGTCTGACCCGACCCTGACTCTCCGATTATAAGCCTGTTTCGTGACCGCTGACCTGACCTGACTGGACCCGTTGGACGACTGTTTACCTGACCTCGGTACAAGCCTGGTGTGGTGATGAGTCACCTGACCTTACCCCGACGGGCGGGGCGCAGTGGCTAGGTACGCCGTGAATGGAGTATCGATTTCAACACCGCAGTAAAGAGCGAAACGACGCGACCTAAAGTTTGCTGTGGTTGTTCATTGCATCAGCAGCTCGCTGAACGTTAGAAATTAATGTAGAATGTTCATCATTGACATGGAGCGTCGTACTCAAAGCTGACTCATTACTTAACCTTGATGTTTTGGTGCGAGTATCTTGGTTCACAGAGCATGCATTCCGCTTCCCAAAGGTTCGCTACCTAATTTAGTTACCTAAACGGTCTTGTTGATAACCACCTACGCGCTACTCGGAGCGAGTTGTGCCCCGTCTATCGACCTTTGTGTCGTGTGTGGCTCTGGCTGACGACCGAACTTGTTAGTTTGACACACCGGTATGGACTGCGGGTAATGCTGAGTCAGTGAACGCCGGTGCCGTCAATTTAGATCAGTGGTGTAGTGCTTCGTCCGTTCTCAATGGTTCGAATGCCGCACCATCCTGCCCAGGCGTGCTGTGTTATTGGTCTACTCGGGTGGAAATAGCCCGACCCATGCTGCTGGCGCCGGTATGGTGCGCCGCGTATGTGTGGCCGAATGGCTGTGAGCTAGCCTCGGTTGCGTGTTGGACGTATGGCCGGAGCGACGACCGGCCGGTGGGGCAGAGCCGCTTCTGCCGCCGCCGGGGGAGTGTCGGTGCCGACATTCACCGCGCCGGCGATGACGGTCCGACACCTGGCCTCTGTCACTGTCAGACAGTTCAGCTGACAGTGACACCTGGCCCCTGTCACCGTCTGACAGCTGAAAGCACTGTCGCCTCTATGAACTGTCCCCTGTAAAACGGACGGCAGCGACACGGTAGCGGATTCCTGTCCCTAATCTGGTTTGATGTGTTGTCAAAAGTCGTTATATACGATCTGTTATCATATGAGACAAAGAGGCCGATTACAAAGTAATGAATAAGTTTCTAATGCATAAAGTTGCTTAAGGATGCTAGATGTTCTTGGGAATGCATTAGGTAAATCGTCCGTTCAAGTCTCCCGCCCTGGAGCTGCTGGTTGGTTGTTCTTGTTTGGGTCGTTGCCTCGGTCGCCACTCGCTACCCTCCCCCTCATCCCCTCCTCTATCAGTTAGTTTGATGACCCGATACGAGTAGCGGTTCCCGCTCCATCATAGTCACTGTGCTACCCCGCGGCCCGTCACCATTGAACACACCACCATGCACCTCACGTGCGCCGGATCATGCACATGTGCACCGGGTACGCACGTGATTGGACGCTCCCCTCCCGGACACCCGCTAGTCGCGGTGCTGGTGCGGCTGCACCCGGCACTCTGCGCGGACCAGTGCGCCGCGCGGCCCGCCCCGCTGACGGGCCGGTCTGTCATGTGCGTCACTGCACCCCCGCGGCGGCTGGCCGCCCGCTGCTGCCCGGCCCGCTGCTGACCGGCCCGCTGCCTATGGATGAGGTCCGCTGCGGCGGCCGGTCCGGCTGGTCAGCAGCCAGTGGTCAGCGGTCAGCGCGGCGGTCAGCACGGCGGTCAGCGCGGCGGTCAGTGAGGGCCGCACCGGGGCCCCGGCCGGCTGGTCCGGACCGGGTGTGGGTGATAGCGGCGGCCCGGCAGCGCGGCCTGTGGGGAGTCACGCACTCTGTGGCGCCGTGAGTGTGGGTGGTGCGGCGGAAGACCGGGCTGTGCTCAGTGCGGGCGGCGCGGCGCAGGGCAGTGGTCTGGTCAGCCAGCGGGCCGGCCGGCGCTGGACCCCAGTGGTGTGTGGCCGTCAGACCCCTCGTCATTCGCTGCTGAATGGCTGTGATGGAGGCGCCGCAGCCGTGCCCGCGCCGGGCCGACCACGAGTGGGACCGGACCGCCGAGGCCGCCCTCAGGGACCCGGCCGCTGACCGGCACCGCTCGCCGCCGGGCTGGCTGCGCGCCGCCACGGGGAGCTCCGTCTCCGACCCAGCCTCCGCGTCCACCCCCGCCTGTACGGCCGCGGTGACGCTGCTGGTCAGCGCGTCCGCGGCGGCCACGGCTGTGACGGCGCTGCGCCGCGCTGACCCGCCGGCCGTGTCCGCAGGCGGCTACCACCCGGTGCAGATCGGCGACATGTTCCACGGCCGCTACCACGTCATCAGGAAGCTGGGCTGGGGCCACTTCTCGACCGTCTGGCTCTGCTGGGATATACGGTAAGCGGGCGGCGGCAGGGTGGGCGACGGAAGGGAGGGTTGGCTCTGTGGTGGGGTGTGATGCTGTTAACCCGCGAGTTGCTGGGGGGGGGGGCGTTAAACGCCCCCACTTTTTTCGCCGGGCCATAGCATAAAAACGGCGCGCCGCAGGCGCGCCAAATTTTGGGTACCTGTAGGGAATTGATTGAAGTTTATTGCGACAAAGTTTAAAAAAAATCGGTCGGAAAAATTTTGAGATATCGAGGTTTTAGTGACGTCATGATTTCTGAGTTTTCGACCAAAAACGGCATATGTTCAAAAAATCATATAAAATCACAGAATAGACATACAGACATGCCGTAAACGCCATTAGACTGCCAATACCATGATCAATCAAATGGCTATCTTCGATTATTGATTATCGTTCCGTATTTTCCATAATCTTGAACTGAATCTTGGCAATTTTTCGTGACTACTTCACGACCATGATACATGCATTTCTTAAATTGAACTTTTTGAGCCAAACACGTACTTGTATGATAAAATGAATGTCGCCATCGTGTTCTACGCCCCAAATTACCTATTAAACATGTGTCACAGGCTGCGAATATCGGTTTTGATTTTCGGGGATATGTGCCTACCCGGTTGACCTGACCTTGACCCTGACCTATGCTTGACTGACCCCTACATGGAGCTGACACTCTTGTAGGCCTTATATGATGGATTGTGCACCGTTTTGACAGAGTTTATGACGAGAGGCGCCCATTGCGAAGTCCTGAAGTCCATGCTACTGAAAGCCCGATTTCAGGTGTTTGACCTGACCTTGACCCGACCTGTGACCTCAAAATTCAACTTTTAAGTACTCATCTGAAGCGTCTCGTCGCGCTCTTTCGTTTGCCGCCTCGTGCGTTTCGCTGCGCCTATTGGTTCTCGAGTTATCGGCTGGGGCGTTTAACGCCCCCCCCCCCCCCAGCAAACGGTGGGTGGCGAAATACCCCAGCAACTGCCGGGTTAAAGAGGACTGATACCTGTTTCGCAGTGGGTTACTTTGTTGTGAGGAGGAGCAGCTCTCCCCTTTTTTGTGTACTGTGTGTGCGCCCCTGGGATTGTGCACAGATCGTCCTGGGATTGTAGGCGGTTGCCCCCGGTTTGCTGGTATTCTGAACACCCTGTGATTGTACGCAGTACCCCCCGGTTTGCTGGTATTCTGCACGCTCTGGGTTTATGCGCAGTTCTTCCTGCCATTGTGCGCGCCGCGACTGAACGGTGACGGCCTTACGTAATGCCGGCCGGTTGCATGAGTTCCTGAATATTTGGCGGCGGCTCGTGCTTTGATATTCCGATGCAGATCAGCAGTGTACTCAGTTGTCATTGGTCGCACTATCGTGTCCATTACATGGTCGGACAGTCCGTGAATGGATTTACGAGAGTTTTGGCTGCATGTGCTTCGAACGGGCAGCTGATTCATGACGGGACTGTATTGGTATGACTCGTAACGGTGTTATTACAGCGTATGTACGGTTGTAACACTGGATAACTGTGTCATGATGCGCCTTTATGGGAGAAGGTTTTGTTATGCACATTTTAGCATATTACGATGTAGTGAATAGAATCGGTAGGATTACTGTAGACACTGCTTGCGTCCCAAATGTAACTCAAGTTGAGAACTTTGTCCAAAGTTCTTCTCCTCTCTGTTTCCAAGTTGATGAGGTCTCGCCTCCCTTTGTGTGGCCCCGTTTACGCTGCACCTCTATCGTGACCCTGACCTTTGACCTGCCGTTTCGCCCCGCAGCGACAAGCGGTTCGTGGCCATGAAGGTCGTCAAGAGCGCCAGCCACTACACGGAAACGGCGCTGGACGAGATCAAACTGCTCAAATGTGTTAGTATGGCGGGCGGGGCGCCAGCGGGGCCGGTGACGCGAGCGCTGTTTGTTGTTTGAAACGCTGCCCCGGGTTCGCAGACCTGTCATCTCTGCTCCGCTGCTCCCTCCCTCTCTCTCCGCCCTCCCCCTCTCTCTCCTGTCCGCGGATTGCGTGAGCCGGAACACCTTCCAGTGGGCTGGGCTGGGATGGGGGATGGGACTCTGAGATACGGCCTTTGGACGCAGTATTCTGGCTGACGTCACCGAGGAAATGGGCCCTCCGCGTCTGAGCGGCGCGGCTTATTTTTACTGGCCCCGGAGGAATGGTGCACGTAAGTCGCACGTCACCAATAATGGCGAAGCAACGGAATTCGTTGCGAGTGTGTTTAAATGGCTCAGCTGCGTTTCCTGAGTTACGGTTGTCCATTTGCCAGATGAGACAGATATTGCCGTCTTATTGAAGCAAAGGATGTTGCTTTCATCACACAACTGGGTGCAGTTTATGTAACCCTGGGCCACCCCTCCTCTCCTGCCTTCTGCCACGTGCCGCAGTGTCATTGAAGAGATGAGGCGAGACCGCAAGTGTGGCTCTCTGGGTCGTGGATCTCGCGTGCACTGGCGTACTTCGCTCATTACTGAACCGAACTTGGCATTGGTCTTTCCGAAGGGGGTCGCGGCAGGGACAGTTTGGAAGTTGGGAGCTCATTGCAGGGGTCACACAGAATTCCATTAGGATAAATATCAGGATTAGTGACTGGTCTTGTAACCGTCTTTGTTGATTGAAGAAGCATCTGAATTCACTGAGTTTGAAGCTAAAGGGTAGTGTCTCCGGCCGTGAGGTGTTACATCACCACGCCCCTGTCGCGGCCGCCCCGTACCTGCGCCGCTGGCCGGTGCCGGTACCGGCGGCTGTGATCCGTCCCGGGCTGGGCCGTCGGGCCGTCCCACTCGGCGGACCGACGGACGGGATCTAGCCGAGAGCGGGCCTTTGTTCCGGCGCCAGCGACGGGCGCAGGGGTACGGCGGGGACGGGAATAGCCGCTACGGTTACCGCCACACCGGGCTGAAGATACAGGGGACTGTGATAGTTGCGGGGATGGGGTGGGTGGCGAGCGTCACACCCAAACATTCACGTGCTCAGGCATGAAATGCCAGTGCTCTGGTCCCGTGTTATCCTCCGGCCATTGACACGTCCTCGCTGTAAAGTAACTAAAGCGTCTCCCGCCTTTTGCGTTTGCTGCTTTCTATCGGTCTTCCTGCCACCCTTGCAATGCTATCGTGAATGTATATGAATATGCACCTTCCTCTCGCGAGTCATGTGTGCGTGTGTGATGACCTGAATTCTGAAACAATACTCATCCAAGGAGTGTATTGCCGCTGAAGTCACTGACCCGTTTTTCCGCGCGCCTTTCCCGCAGGTCCGTGATAGTGACGAGGAGGATCCGTCGCGGGAGCGGACCGTCCAGCTCCTGGACGACTTCAAAATCAACGGCGTCAACGGCACCCACGTCTGCATGGTGTTCGAGGTGCTCGGACACAACCTGCTGAAGCTCATCATCCGCAGCAACTACCAGGGCATCCCCATGCAGAACGTCAAATCCATCATCAAACAGGTGCGTGCGCCCGCCGGGGTTACTGTGTGCTCTGGGGAAGGGTAGGTGGAGGGACAGTGGTAGCTTTCCTACGCTGAAGCGATATGCTCGGGGCTTGGGGCTTGGGGCTTAGCTCTTTGGTGGACGGCAGGACCAGATCGTGATGTTGAACGACGGCCGCGTGCCGACCAAATGACTGGACCCGTGTGGTATGCTGATGTCCTGTTGAGTTACGGTATCCGTGCTAGGATGGTGGGCTGCCAGCAGCTTTTGGAAGAGTTTAGCGGGGTATTACAAGGCATTACTGAGTGGGTTACGGGCTCCGTACAACAGCTAAACGCTCAGTGCCCCGAGCCAGGTCTCAGTTTGTTGTCGCTGTAGATTAGCCAGCGTTTTCGCGAGCCGATCTGCTTGGTAAGCGGTGGATGCTGCTGACTGCTGGGGCGCGGCACGGAATGGATGCAGCCGAAAATGGCCGGGCTCACCAAACCTGGACCCCGATGTGCGATAGCGTAGTACTGACAGCGGCACTGCGGTGAGGGTGGATCTGGTTCCGTCCCCGCCGGCCGCCAGCTCGGCGGACACAGCTGAGACCCTGCTCCCCAACTCACGCCGCCCTCGGGGCTATCCCCGGGCACTGCGGGTGATGTCGGGTGTTTGTTGCCGTGTCCCCGTTACATAATCATCGATTACCGCGGCCGGCCTCCCCCCGGGGTCTGCGAAGTTGGCCGGAGTGCCCCGCTGGTGGTCAGTTAATCAGGCGCCGGGTAACAGCCTGTCCCAGTGAACGCTCAGCCGCCGGTTTGGGTCTGAAATGGACGGCCTGCCAGCTCGGGTGTTTGAAGATGGTGGTCAACATTGGTGCTGGACGAGGGCAAAGTGTTTTCCATTCTCGTCACATCGACTGCATACTAGGCAAGGGGTGCCGATGACTCATGCTGTTTATAGTTACTGACGCTGACCCTGAACTGCAGTCTAGTCTGATTGCTCAGCGGAACGTGACCACTGACACACACCTGTTCAATGTTCATACCTAGTTGCCTTTCCGTTTGTTCACTTCATTTCCTCCGGTTGATCTCCAGTTCGCTGTACTTTATGTACCGTTGTTTAATTCGGCTACTGCATGTGTATTTGGTTCGGATACTGGTTACGGGTTATCGGTTACGGCATTTGATTTCGATTACCCCCGGTTCCTCGGCACTGACCCCGCCGCTCGCCCTGTGACAGGTACTGCAGGGCCTGGACTACATGCACACCAAGTGTCAGATCATCCACACGGACATAAAGCCGGAGAACGTGCTGCTCTGTGTGGACGAGGCGCAGGTGCGACGGCTGGCCGCCGACGCCGCTCAGGTCCAGAAGATGGGACTCAAACTGCCCGGCTCCTTCAGTGAGTAACCGGGGGATGGGACTCAAACTGCCCGGCTCCTTCAGTGAGTAACCGGGAGATGGGACTCAAACTGCCCGGCTCCTTCAGTGAGTAACCGGGGGTGGGACTCAAACTGCCCGGGTCTTTCAGTGAGTTACAGGGGGATGGGACTAAAACTGCCCGGATCCTTCAGTGAGTAACCGGGGGATGGGCAGTCAGTGAGTTACTGGGAATAGGACTAGAATTGCTGTCCGGCTCCTTCATTGGGTTAGCGGGAGAGATAGACTCAACCGCTGTCCCTTCAGTGAGTTGAGAGGGGGAGGGAGATAAGACCTCAGCTGCCCGGCTCCTTCAGTGAGTTACAGGGAGATCAGAGATGTAATGGCGGACCCTGTATATGTATATGCAGACGAAAGACCTGTCTGATGTTGGCTTCTTTCGTTCGTATGTCTTTTACCTCATTATTATTGCGATAAATTCAAAACGGGTAGCAAACAGTTGTTTAAGCAGACGTCATGCTGACGCTCTCCCTTACGTCCGGCAGTGGCCACCACACCGAAGCACCTGCAGCAGCCGGACCCGTCCACACTCACCAAGAACAAGAAGAAGAAGCTGAAGAAGAAGGCCAAGCGGCAGGCCAAGCGTCTGGAGCAGATGGCCGAGCTGACGGAGCAGTGGGAGCGGGAGCACGCCGAGGCCGGCGCCGCGACTGCTGCCTCTGCCGGTCCGGAGCTGAACGGTGCCGCCCCTGAGAACGGCGCCGGCGGGCAGAACAGTCAGCCGGCGCCGGCGGCCACCAACGGGACGGGGACGGACGGCCTGCCGGCAGCCACCAACGGGACGGCGGCGGCGAGCCCGGCACCGGCCGCTGCGGAGCCGGCGCCGGCGGCAGCAGACCCGGCGCCAGCCGCGGACCCGGCGCCGGCCGCGGACCCGGCGCCGGCGGCGGCAGACCCGGCGGCAGCAGCAGATCCAGTACCGGCAGCAGACCCGGCGCCGGCGCCACTGCAGAATGGCGCCGCTCAGCCCGCGGCGGACACACAGGAGGAGACTAAGGTGAACGGAGACGCCGCCTCCCCACCTCCTCCGGCAGAGGGGGAGGAGGACAGAGCGGTGGAGAGGAGGAGGAGGGAGGCCGACCACCGCCGGAGGCCCGAGGACGAGCCGCACGACCCGCGCGACCGCACCGACCCCAGTGCAGAGGCCGTCAAAACCGGTGAGCAGCGCGCAGGGGGCAGCTGGGGAGGGCGGGGTACGAAAACACTCTGCCCGTGCTACTGCCAGCTTTAACATTGGAGACTGCATTCCGGATGATCTTCAGCTAAATGCGTTTCCTTGTGTGCGATAAACATTTTGCATCGTGGATTTCTAACGTTTCTTTTGCTATTGTTTGATATTCATTTGAAACCTTTGAGTGTAGAGTGAGCACTTACAATTTCTGGTCTCTACACCAAGGCTGTCATCCACAATGAACTGTGGAGGGATGCCTCACTATCTATTGCTGTAACTAGCTGAATGCTGCGCCATCCCTGCCGGATCCGCCTCTGCTCCGCCCACTACTGCATCTAACCCGGCCTATGTGCACGTCCCCTCCGCAGCGAACCGCCAGAGTCTGGCCAACATGGAGGTGGGTATGGTGGAGCACGCGCAGGGCGGCGAGACGGTGACGCTGCCGTACGACCTGGAGGAGCCGGGCGCGGCGACACCGGCGGCCGGCGAGACGGCGGCGGACAGCGCCGGGGCGGAGCCGGCGCGGCGGGCCGAGCAGGGCGCCGAGCCGTCCCAAACTCCGGCGGCTGCAGACGGTCAGTGGACAGTTCAGACGGGGGGAGCAGCAGGACTAATCAGCGGCAGGGCTGCTGGCGACTGTGGATGTTGTGGTGCATCAGCGAATGTCAAGGCTATCTAAGGTTTGTCATTTGCCTGAGGAACATCATGTTCTACCTCTTACCACTGCCCGACGTTGTGACCTTCATTCTTTCCTTCAGTCGCTTTGTCCATAACTATGAAACTATTATTTTCCTATTTAACTATCCTAGCATTGTCCTCGCCGAGACGACCCATCACTGACAGCATCCTCCCCAGGCTCGTCTCCTTCCCCAGACGCCACGGTTCCTGCTCCTGCTCCGGTCTCACCTCCTGCTCCTGTCTCGGCCCCGTCTCCGACTCCTGCCGCTCCCGTCCCACCTCCTCCCGCCCCGTTGTCGCCGCCGACCTCTGCTCCGGCGGCGGGCGACTCGCTGTCCGACTTGGCTCTCCTGGAGCCGCCGGCCCGCCGGCCGCTGCTGCCGCTGGATGCGTGCGGGGACGGCGCGCCGCCACCCGCGGACGGAGGAGACAGTGACGGCTGGGTCGATATCGAAGGTTGGACGGGCGCCGCGGGTGTGGGTGGCTGATGGACGGGATGGGGATGGGTGGCAGTTGGGGAGGGCTGGTGGGGGCGTAATTGACGGTAGAAGTTGGTAGGAGGGCGGGCTGAGACGGAGGTGTCTTGGGGAAAGTTGAGTCGCTTTGAAAAGTTTGCAGGTTGAAGTATGAGTTGGAGTAGGTATATGTAGCCTGTTTTGTCAATGCTTGTTGTGACTACCAGGGTACTGGGTATATTGTGTGTTTATTGAGTAAAGGGCTGAACCTGAAGTTCACGTAATGGGGAACATGGTTTGATGTTGAATATCTATGAATGGCGCTGGCAACAGCATGGAGATGGTTCGGAGTTTCTGGGGAAAGACTGTCGTGTCCATCTAAGTATCAGGAGCTCTGGCCATCATTTGGTGACGTTTGATTTGATAAACGATCACATAATTTGTGAGGTGGCCTGATATTCGGTCTGGGACCCGTCTCACTGAATTAACGAGGCCATTCGCTGGGGTTTGTGGGCTGGAACAGTAGGCCGTAGGTTGTCGATGTGTCTGCGGTCAGAGCTCAGCTCCCTCAGTGGCCGCGGGGTATGACGGACGGCCCACTGCCGGTGTCCGCCGGGCCTATTTCGGGCTGTGTGGACGGGTCGTGGTGGCCGTCTCTGTTGTTTATGGCGCTCATTTAGTGCCGGCCGCTCAGCGGGGCTGACTGCGTCAGGTTCCGGGGACTTGCAGCCATGGGGAGGGGGGAGGGAAGTCAATCATTGTTCTCACTGGGTGCTTCAGTCGCTAAACAAGACCGTTATAATCCGGTGTCACTATTCCCCGATTTAGATGTTCTTGTCCTGCACCACTGATGACTGTTCAGTGTGCGTCTGTTCTGCTGGTGTCTGACCGCCTACCAGCGCCGCCGACCTGACCTCAGTCCTGTCCTGCCCGCCTCTGACCTCCCCCTCCTGACTCTATGTGCCGTCTGCCATTCAGTCCTGTCCTGCCCGCCTCTGACCGTCCCCTCCTGACTCCATGTGCCGCCTGCCAGAGGACGAGGAGGAGGACACGGACCCTGTCCCGGCGCCCGCTCCTGTCCTCTCCCCCGGCCCCACTCCCCGCTCAGTGGGACAGTGGGACGGACCGCCCGGATCGCCCGGCGAGGTGGTCGCTCCGCTGCCAGGTACGGCCACGGCTCGATGAGGTGTGTTATGGCGGTAGCGGTTTTCAGAGCCGACGTTACGAGGCTGGGAAAAACGAGTGAAAAACGACGGGCAATGTACTGTGGCTATTATTATGTGTTTGGGTGTTGTTCGTTGTCGGAGAGACTAGAGACTGTCCAGGTTCTCCTCTGACCAATGTGTCTGCGAGTAAGACGTTTAACTGACTGAGCGGAACCATCTCTTCCTTTTGTGTAACGGCCGACCTATAATTTCATCTCGTACTGTGGCGTATGTCAGCCCCGTGCTGTAGCTGTTCCGATCTGTGACCGTCCTGCCACCTCTCCCCTGTCCTCCTGTCCTGCCCGGCCCCTCACTGACGCTCCGTCCCCCCTGCCGGCAGACGGTGCGGGCGCGGCGCGGACCGGGGCCCCGCCCAGGAGGCCCGACCCCGTGCACGAGGTGTGCGACATCCAGGTTAAGATCGCCGACCTCGGAAACGCCTGCTGGACGGTACGTGGAACGGGAGGCCGATGGTGGTAGTGGTGAGGGTGGTCAGGCGGTCCGTGGACTGATAGCGTGACGGTGTTGATGCCTCAGTCGAGTCTTCACGGGGCTGATCGGACTGCTGGGAGATATATCACTGAAGGATACACGCAGCAAGAACTTTGTCCGTTAGCTCGTTATTTTACGTAGAAATTCCTAATTAGAATATCAATGTGTTCTGTTGTGCAAGTGTTTGACGTATCATCTGCGCATTTTCTAGAGAACCTGACCTGTGCTGCTTCAGTTCCGCTGTCTGGAGGTGCTGACCTGACCTGACCTGATCTGCCCGCAGCACCACCATTTCACGGAGGACATTCAGACGCGCCAGTACCGGTGCCTTGAGGTGCTGCTGGGCGCCGGGTACGGTCCCCCGGCCGACATCTGGTCCACGGCGTGTATGGCGTTTGAGCTGGCCACCGGCGACTACCTGTTCGAGCCTCACACGGGTCAGAACTACAGCAGAGACGAGGACCACATCGCGCACATCATCGAGCTCATGGGAGACATCCCCAAACGGATAATGTTCAGCGGCAAATACTCGCGCGACTTCTTCAATAGGAAAGGTACGTGACAGACGCCCATCCGGGAGCTGATGACCCATAGACCCATACTAATTGTAATTCGTTGTCACTGTAATTCCACTGCTGAACCCTTTCACTCACATATTGTAAATGGGTCCAAATCAGTTGAAGTCGCATCATGCAGCCTCGATCCGCGATTCATCATTCCCATGATGATGATGCTGATCGGTTATATTCGCCCTCGTTCAGTCTGCTCATACAGTCTGATCACACATTAGTTCCCTACTTGCTGTGTTTGTGTCTGTTCTCTGTGTCTGACGGCCTCCCCTCTCTCCTGTCTCGTCAGGCGAGCTGCGTCACATCTTCAAGCTGAACCCGTGGGCGCTGCACGAGGTTCTGATGGAGAAGTACGAGTGGCCCGAGGCCGAGGCGCACGCCTTCGCCGAGTTCCTGTTGCCGATGCTGCACTTTGACCCGGAGCAGCGCGCCACGGCTGCCGACTGCCTGCGACACCCGTGGTTCGACTCGTTGTGACGCGGCGCGGCCCGGCCGCGGCCGCCGCCCCAGACGGCCGGTATTTTTGTACGCTGAGCGGCCGGCGGACGCGCGCGGCGCCCCATAGCCCAATGATGTGACCGGCGCCGCGCAGACGTGATTGGCGCACGGTGTGTGCGTTTATGGCGCACCTCTGCACCGGCCGACTGTGACGAGTGTGGCGCGCCCGTTCGCTGCGGGACAGCTGTGACGCGCGGCGGCGAGGAGCGGCGCGCGCGCGGCGGCCGCTCGGTTGTGAGACGGACGGTCCTCGCGCGGTGAAATGAACTCTGCCGCCCGGCGGCCGGGGACGCCCTCTGTGAGACGCGTCTGCCCGGCGGCGGCCGGAGCGGGCCGCGGGTCCGACTGCCGCCTCAGTGACTGCCGGCGGCCAGCACTGCCCTCACCTCAGCCAGAGAGACGGACGGCCGGCCGCGACAGGACCGAACACAAACGACTGGACCTCCCACTGCTGCACAATCCCGACCGGCCGAGCGGCGCCGCCGAACACGCGGCAACACGCCACCGGCACACGGGCTCGGACGCTTTCAGTGAAATGCCTTTCGTATTGTTTCTGATAGGGTAGCGTTGCGTGTGGCGAACAGTCCTGACGTCTGAGCGGGTTTCAGCTGTCATTTGTCGTTGATTTTCGCCCGGCGTCCGGCCGGCCGACGGCTGCTCACGGTAGCCGATATTGAACACGCCGTGCTGATGCTGTTCACGCACGGCCGCACTGTTCTCCCTACCTTTGTGGCTGGTTCATGTTCCGTTCAGTTGCTGCTTGATGGACCCGAATCGGTAGTTAATATAGGTTTCCATGATATCTGCGTTTCATCTGGTTCAGTCAGCCTTCGTCGACGCATGAATATCTGGCCGGCTGTCAACTTCTGGCGGCCGCACCACTGAGCTGCTATTATACTGCCAGATTTGAGCCTTCTCAGCTATCATACGTTTTACGTTTTGTCACTTGTTACATGGTTATCCTTTGCAAAACAGGCGCCGGCTGATTTATCATGCCTACAGGGGTATAAACTAGGCACTAGCAAGACCGATAAGGACCTACCAACGACGCTGTCACGCTTTATTGAATGGATGCCTATCAAAATTGTCCTAAAACATATTTCAACGCACAACTAGCGACTCATGGCTATTTGTCGTTGCCATTGCAAATAAAATCAGGGGCCGTATTCACGTCGACTTCGTAAGTCGATTTTCTTTCGTAAGTATAATTTGGTATTCACGTCGAGACTTCTTAAGTTTTTATCGACGGAGTTCACGTGAATAAAAAATTTACTTAAGAAGTAGGTCAAACTTAAGAAAATTCTTACGAAAATGATCGACGTGAATACGGCCCCTGATTTGGTGTCCGTTATTCACATGGGTGTCGCAAGCGAGGAGCTGTGTTTTGCTTACTTTCCACTTGCTCAAAGGAATATTGACGGCAATGACGTAAATTCTATGGAAAACGAGTGGAAAGATTTGTGTCTTCTCATCCATAAATTAATATCCACAGGGTTACTTTTACAGGAAAAGTTGAGAGGGGGAATAAAGTTCGGGGCAAAGGCGGATCCAGGGGCATCTGAAAGGGGGGTGGGCGGCAATACCATTAGGTTTTTCGTTAGGATGGAGCCCGCAGAACCTTACCTACCCCCAAATCCTATTCTTTCCTCGGGTTTCAGCCACTTTATTTTGGAAGGTTGCCAAAAAATAATTTTGCTAAAAAATATACGCACCTACCTTGGCTGTAAGGGGCGGGGGTGGTCCCAACTTGACTGCGCCCTTGCAAATGCCAATCAGTAGTATCAACCTATCAGTGGTATCAATAACTAGTAGGTATACCCCGGCCAAACATTAAGTAACGCCTTTCTAAAGAGAGAGGTTAATCCGCGCCCTGATTGGAGGTCATTTTGGCCCCCATGTGGGTTTTCTTGAAAAGCGAAAAACGGCGGCGCGCAGCGCCGCCAAATTTTTAGTACCTTACCGGGCATCAATTTGAAACCTTCGCACAAAATTTCAAGTCTTAGGTCACCTTAGGTCAGGAGTAATTGATGTCAAACTGTTCGAGCAAAAATGAGCAAAAAACATGAAATTCTTAAACGCTCACAAAAGCTACAGTTAACGAGCAATTCCAAAGTTCTTTGTGTGGTCGTGTATGTAGAGAAACGACGGCGCTACAAAACTGCAACCTCTACAACTACAAGGTGGGCAGTGATATCCGAACAAAAACTAATGAAGCACAAAACTTGAATTATTACTATTAGTATTAGTGAGCAGTGAAAGTTCCATTGGGAAAGCCGGCTGTGATGAGGTACATTTTTTTGCGCCCTGCTCTGCATGCAAAGCAGATGAACGTGAATGCTGCATAAAGAGAAAAGTCATTTATTACTCAAAGCTTTAATGCCTATGGGACAAAAATAACGTTGTTTTTCCTTCAATGATTCCGGTTTGGAGGATGGTTAAACACGGCCATTGTCATATTGGGACAAAAAATTTTACATGTCTGGCCTTGGCGTCGATGAAAAAGTGAAAATAATCGTGAATAAATGGGTCGTTTCTGAGAAAGAACACAGAATATAAAAGGGGGTCCAAAAGGGGGTCACCTTCTTTTTGCGTCAAAGGAGGGGCCATGGCCCATTGCCCCCCTCCCCCTGTATCCACCCTTGGTTCGGAGAGGTAATCCCGTCCCCCGCCGGTTTCTACGCCGACGCCTGTACCGATATGTCAGTGACTGCGAAAAGACGGAAGAGACAAGACAAGAGACGGTCCCACCGACTATCCGATCGGTATCGGGTCAAATCTGGAGTTCCTGCTGCACTGAACGTAAAATGGTTGGATGGAACCGAAAATTGAAAATTAATAATTATCTTAACGCCAGCAACGTTGATTGATGACGAGAATCTGATTAACGATGGCTATAGAATCTGAATAGCGAATTGATTGAAAATGGGCTCCAAAATAAATTTGAAAGGGGGAAATTCCCCTTTCCCTCCCTAGCCGTTCAGACACGATTTGAAAGGGGGAGCGGAATTTTCGAAGGGGGGAAATTCCCCTCTTCCCCCCCTTTAAAAGTAACCCTGAATATCCATTTAAAAGATCGTCATTGCCCTTACATATAGTACATAAACTACATACATATGTAAATACATATGTTGATACATAAGCCAATAATAATTTAGTAGCGGTCTTCCTTTATTTGCTGGCGCTCTTGCGGCATATGCACTTCTCTAATTTTGTTCTGTTGAAAGACAAAAGCAGCGAACAATCGTGTGTTGCCTAGTAACAAGGCTTTAAAATGCAAAAAAGTTACAAGTTGCTATGAAACATGAGGTTCCTTTGCCGTATATCTCATGAGTAAGCATCATCCAACTTGGACCGTTTCTGACCTCAAACTTGTGTTTTGATCCGTCCGCAACATATTTTCATTGGTGCTGATATGAGCAAAAAGTAGGTAGTGCATATTGATGCTATGTTTTTTGTGCTTAGGTATATAGGCCTTGAGTTCTTCGATGGTGAGTGTTTAGTTCGATGGCCTCAGCCTTGGCTTAGTTGATAGTATGATATGATTCATAGGTGCATTTACTTGTGGATTCACTAAACTATACTCATTGTGGATATCATATCATGTAGAGCATATCAATATCATGCTATGCTCTAGCTCTACTTGATGGATTAGGGTGCATAGCCGTTAGACGTGGATATACTCTTGCTCTATGCTAATTTCTTATGCTGTAGTGTATAAGCCTGTAGTTAGGGAGCTGGGAGGTGGGTACCTACCTATCTACTTGGGTAGGTAGGCATTTACTGCTTTTGTTTGTGTTTCTGGCTGTAGGTACCCCATATTTCAAAGGATTGCAATTTGCAGTAGTCTCAGTCAATGAATTTATTGATTATATTTTGTTTACTTTTCAGCTGCTTCTAGTTTCTACCATATTACATTGATACATAGTTTGTTCCTTCTTTTGAGGGTTTAATCAGATTTGGTCGCTGCATCAGCAAGTACAGAAGATGCACCATTTATTCAGGCTCATTCGTCTGCCACGTGAGACCTCATACTGTGTGGCTCTCACTTTCAGAAGATTGTGCTCCACTCAGGACAATGTCGAACCAAAGAAACCTAAACAAGCCCAGAAAGGCACAGCGAAAAGCAAACAGCACCAACCACTGGAAGGAGAAGGAGATGTGATAAATGAGCCCAAGAAATTGAAAGGGGAGGGAAAGAAAAAGACACAGGCAGAGTTGCTAGCAGAGCATGTGGCACAGGAGCCTGCAGCAGTGCAAAAACTGCTGCAGCAGTTCGATGCTCAGCTGAACAAGAGCAAGCCCAACCCGGAGACGTTCTATATCATAAATGAGTCTATTGCTGGTAAGTGGGACATGGCTGCTTATCCATCTCATGAGACATCACAATATCTTACATACATTTGTGGTTGTTGCACAAATGATGATGGTGACCATTCACTGTATTTACCATTGCCTCCATTTCTGACTTTGTGTGACTCTGTGTGACCGTGCTGCAGACAGCGTTGTGCGGCACCTGTCCGGCCACAGTCTGGACATCCCCCACCTGGAGCTGGGGCCCGGCCCAGGGGTGCTCACACGACGGCTTCTGGAGGCCGGCGTGCGGCGCATCGTCGGCTTCGAGACGACGTCTGCCTTCCAGCACTGTGTCAGGGTGAGGGGACCTCTGGGGCAGCAGCGAGAGGGCTGCTGGCTGCTCGATGACCGATCTGACCATTTGAGTGGGTTGTTACATGTTTCTCCGTCGGGTCTGGCTCTTGACAGTAGCCATACCAAGAGCCATACGAAGGAATTAACCCCAAATCCATCCCACGCTGTAAATGTGCTGTATTTCGGGCCGGCTCTGCGTCTGCGCGCAGGTATCACTGATCGGTCTCACTGTTGAAATCCTTCGTCCAGATGCTCTCGGAGCAGACGGATGGCGCAGTGCGTCTAACTCCGCTGAACCTGATGCACCTGTCCAAGTTTTACGGCGCCTCCGCTCACGGGGACGACTCGCGCGTGCTGAAGGTGGTGGACGGCCTGGAGCACCGCGACTGGACGGACGGTACGTGTCAGGCGGCACCGCCAGTGGAGGGACGGTACGCGCCGGACGGCGGCACCGCGACTGGACAGACGGTACGTGTCAGGCGCCGGCACCGCCAGTGGACGGACGGTACGTGTCAGGCGGCGGCGGCGGTCCGCGGCCGCCCGAAGGGTACAGATGGTTCCAATGCGTACATTACCCGGCGTAGACCATGTGTCCGTGTCTTCGGTCGACTCTTCATATTCGAACCCACGACGTGGTGCATGACCCTCCCTCTCGCTCCTGATCGAATCTGTTATCTGACCCTCCCCTCCCCCCCCCCCTCAGAGCCGTGTATGCGTCTGGTCGGGGTGGCACACCGGAGCGTGTTCTTCCAGTTTCTGGTGCGCACCGTCATCTCCCGTGAGCTACTGTTCCAGTTCGGTCGACCGGAGCTGCTCGTCTACGTACCAGAAGCAGAGTACGCGGTCAGTGCAGAGACACGGTCCCCTGCATCTCTTTCTCCCTCTCTCTCTCTCTCTCTCTCTCTCTCTCTCTCTCTCTCTCTCTCTCTCTCTCTCTCTCTCTCTCTCTCTCTCGCTCGCACGTACACGTGCCCACCTCTTCTTCCGGTCACTCTCAACGCAGTGCGGATATGATATGTATTTACTTAGACTTAATCTCTTTTGCTTTGCTCGCAAGCGTGTGACACCCTCCTGAACATGTTACAGCGGCTGACTGCCGGCCCGACGATGGCGGGACGGGTGTACCGGCCCTACAGCATCATCAGTCGCATGCTGTTCGACCTGGAGGAACTGGACAGGGTGCCCGCCAAACACTTCTACCCCTGGGTCAAACCGCGCAGAAAGGTCCGTTGGAAAACACGCGGTGGGTGGGACTGACACAAAATCCCGTAGTATTTAGCCGGTGTACTTGTATCAGTATCTACCGCTTTTGTCTCTCGAAGCATTCTTCAGAAAGCTGATAAAATTATGCAGAAAATACCAACTTGCACCTGATTTAAAACGATCATCATTGGCTGTTAAGCACCGTCCCTTGCTAAATTTTATTGCTCTAGCCGTTTTTTATCACCAACTTATTTGAGCTGATTGTAACACTTGTATCCACTGTTGTCCCGTTTATTCTGATCGTTTCCCGCCCCTAAGCCATGGTTTCGGCTTCTCGCGAGTTTGACCACTCCTTTGTTTTATTTCGATGTTACCGGCTGTCTGACCCCCCTTCCCCCATCCCCAGGTGGAGGCGTCCGGCTCGGACATGGTTCTGATCCGGTACGCGCCCAAGGCGGACCCCGGGGTGCCCGAGGCCGAGCTGCACAATCTGGACTTTTTCGTGCGCCACTGTGCCGTCTCGCGCACCCGGCGGATCATACAGCAGATGGAGTGAGTACTGCCGGCCCGCGGCGGGGTATGCGGCCGGTGGGCGATTTAACTGTGTTTGTGATAACCGCAGTAGCTTGGCTGTTGTGTTTTGAAATGTGTAACTGTATGCTCGTATTTGCCGTATTCCTATGAGGATTCATTGCGTGAGTCATCAACTTGTGCAGCGTAGCAACACGGGCCTCGAACTCTGCGAGTATACTCTTCAGCTGTTCTATAACTTTTTATTCTACCATCAACACATGGTTGTTGAGAGCACATGACCTATAATTTATCCGCAGGCTACCCACATTTCCACTGATAGCCTCCCCTGCCCGTTCTCCGCAGGGAGTGGGTGCCCGGCTGCGGGCCGCGTCTGATCGCGCTCGGCCACGGCGTGTTCGCGCCGTTCCGGGAGCTGCAGCCCCAACAGGTGCTCGAGGTGTTCCTGGAGTTCGCCAAATGGCCAGAGTACCCGGCCTGCTCCTTCCACGCCGCCGTACAACAGGTGAGGGCAGAGCCGCACGCGGCAGTCGGCAGACTACAGAGGGGACAGAGCCGCGCCCGTCCCCGTCCCTCGGGCCGTCGGCAGACTACAGAGGGGACAGAGCCGCGTCCGTCGGCAGGAAGGGAGGGACAGAGCCGCGCTCGTCCCCCGTCCCTCGGCTGGCCAGAGGTAAGGCCAGAGCCGCGCCCCTCGAGTCCACCGGCTGGCCGGAGTTATCTATCTGTCCAACAAGTTAGAGACGGAAACCGACTACGGGTTGCTCGAGACCGGCTCATCTGTTCCATCTCCAATGAAATGTCTGATACACCCGTACACGACTCTGCGTTCCGGACTGCTGACTGTGGCCGTTACTGACTGCCACTGACTGAACGCCAAAGAGGAAGATCACAAGAATCGATAAAATATCAGACGAAGATAATACGGATGGGGTGGCGTTGCAAAGCCAACACCCCGAGAAAAATCTGATCTGATCTGATCTGTGGCCGTTACTGTCTGCCACTAACTGTCTTATCTGTCCGACAGAACGTGCTGGGCGGCGAGCCAGAGCTGGCGGACTCGGAGCACCAGCTGGCAGAGGACGACCAGCACGAGGAGCCGCCCGAACACTTCGAGCCGCAGCAGTACCGGTGATACCGGACCGAGCGGGGACGGAGGACGTCCTGCTGTACCTGAGACCCGCTACCTGCCCGCACTCTGTCCGTGTATAGCAGGGGGCGTTTGAAAATGTGTCATATTGTGTTGGTCTTCCAGGGACGCAGTGCGGGCGCCACTGAGTGAAGTTTGTATGGTGCCTTTTTAGCGTGATATTTAATTACAGTACGGTGTGTGATTGCGTGTTAACTGCCATATGCAGCTGCAACCGAGAGACGTTTTATAGTGATTTCTGAGCGGTGATTATTAAGCTGTCCAAAACGAGCCGCCAATGTTAAGAAGATCATGTACAAGTCATGTATTTTGAAACATTGATGATATCAATGAATGATGCGTTTCACACTGAAGACGACTCCTCACAAACCCTCCCACAATACGTGCCGCAGTCAGCGCTGTGGCACACAGGATGCTCTCGAAATAAACCCCTCTGCAAACACGTCTGCGGCAGCCGTGCGACAGCCGGACGGTACGCTGAGGTCCGACTCACTGTCACATCACACTGGGAAGGGCGTCAGTGTGATTCACTGCCTCCCAAAGGGAGCTTCAGAGGGGCTCCATAGTTGGACTTCGACCGGGCGAGCGTCAATTGGAAGTCGACATGCGGTCATACGTGCTGCAAAACTGGGGGTGCTGAGCTGATAGTACCCACTGTCCCGCGCACTGGACTTCAATACACGACACGATAGACACCGAACCAGATCACCGACTGGTCTCCTAGGCTCCCACAACACCTACAGCAGACCTTGCCGCTTCAGGTCCTCGAAGGTCTTCTTGTTGACGACGTTGCCCTGCGAGTCCTCGTACTCCTCCTCGGCGTCGGCCTGCCACCTGCCGGAGGTCTTCTGCACCTTGAGTCGCTCCCACAGCGAGAGCGCGTCCTCGATCTGCGTCACGTTGGCAAAGTGCGCCGTGTTGGGGATGCCCAGGCAGCGCATGCCGTTGGCGTGCCGCCACTCGGAGAAGTGTCGCTGGAACGCCTTGGGGCCTTTGTAGATGAAGTTGCCGCAGATCTCGCAAGTGTAGCTGATGTTCAGACCGTGCAGCTTGTAGAGCCAGTAGGGGATCGGCTTGCCGTCCCAGCCGAGCGGCAGGTTCTTCGGGTTGTACGGCACGTCATCGTCATCGTCATCCGACTCTGGCTCGCTGGCCTCGGCGTCTGACTCGTCCCGCTCGCCGTCTGTGCGCGCCTGGCGCCGCTCCACGTTCTCCTTGGTGGCGGCGCGCTGCTCAGAGAGCTGCTCCACCAGCCAGTATACCTGCCGGGAGAGGGGGCCGAGGGGGGGGGGGGAGACTATTATTCCACGACGCAGTACTCAGTATACCTGCCAGGAGAGAAAGGGGGACAGGATGAGCTGCGGAAACAGGGTAAAACTACTCTTCCAGCCAGGCCCGTCGAACGATACACCGTTCGGGGAAAGCAATACAGGCTAACCAGATTATGTAGTGACAACCGTAGGAAACAAAGCGAATAATATGAAAAAGTTCGAGCGAGAGTCATAATAACATAACAGCCCCTGACACGAAGCGACCAGCCGTACCTGCGCCTCGAGGAAGGCAAGCTCGCGCGATTTCTCCGCCTCCTTGCTCTTTCCGGCGCGCAGGCTCTGCTTCTTGGCGAACAGCGACTGGTCAACCTCCTGCAGCTTCTTTCCTGTAACCGAGAGTGGTGGTTACACTCTAACTCAGCGACCGGAGAATCAGATACGACATCGATTGAACATCCCGGTGGTGGGGCCGATACATAGCAGCCCTCCGAGGGAAAATTGAAAATGATTGGCTTATGTATTCCGAATTAAATTCAACGCACTTGAACTTGTAAGCATTGAATCGCACTTAATAGCAGACTCGCACCTCACACAGAACAGCAGACAAGCGTCTTTCCTCGCTCCATGACAGACCTTTTGTGGAGAAGAGCCGCTGGGCGCGCTCCTCCAGCGTTCCGCCGCACTTGAGTCCGAGCGCCATCAGCGCCGACTTGAGCCGGTCGAGGCCGAGCGAGGCGAGCTCCTCCCAGGAGGAGAAGGCCGACAGGTCGAGGTGAGCGCCGCCATGGGTCAGCGCGCCGCCCGTCTCCTTGGGCCAGCCCGGGAACGTGCCTACCGAGGACAGAGGGGGGAGGGGGGGGGGGGGTTGTGCAGACAGGATGCATAACTACACTGACGTACGCAGTAATTCGAACAAAAAGTATTAAATAGCGGTAGAAACAAATTTCTGGTATATTTCTATTAAAATTCACTTTATAATTGACAAAACAACAGTGAACGACTTATCATACCAGCTGACCACTACCCAGTCTGTCCTCTTACCGCTATAAATTCTCCGCCAGACCAGTATCTACCTCTACCCTCCCGATCGTCTCACCTGCCTCCCACTTTTTGTTGAACTCGTCAGTGATGGTTTTAATGCTCTGCTCGAAGTCGGTGAGCGGCCGCACCCTCAGCAGGTAGTCGTGCAGGTAGTCGAGCAGAGCCTCAAGGTAGGCCCGGTACTCGGCGTTCTTCTTGTCGCGCGGCATCTCGAACAGCTGGTCGAACAGCGTCAGGTAGGTGACGTAGTCGACCTTCTCGACGCCCTTGAGGTTGACGTAGCGCGTGTAGCACTCGTGCAGGTCCAGGTACTTTCCGTAGCCCTCCTCGTCGCTGAACTCTACCATCACCGTCTCGTCGTTGCTCTGTTCGCGCACCTTGTCCAGCTCCTCAAACTCCACCGACATCGGCACCGAGATCTCGTTCGGGTGCCGCTTGTGGAAGTCCTTGATGGTCTTGAGCCGGTTGTAGAACTCTGCGAACTCGTTGGGCCCGGAGAGGGCGGCCACCTCCTCCTTGCGCACGCCGTCCTTGTCCTCGTAGAGGTCCTTCAGTGTCTGGCTGCAGTCCAGGTGGCGGTCCAGCAGCAGCCGCAGACGGTGGTCCGAGTTGATTCGGTCGCGGCTCGAGCCCTTCTTGTGCAGCATCTCGCGCTTCATGGCCTCCACCAGCCGCTCGCGCTCCTCGTGCTTGCTGCGCTGCTGCTCCAGGATCGTCTCCATGGCAACTGGCGTCCGTCGGCGGAGTCAGAAGGAGTGGCGAACCAGTGGCGACGGCTGTGGTTCAGCTTACTATGCAGAATGTAATACACAGCCTCTGAATCAGTAGGGCATTGTTACATTTTGAACTTAGTACCTATTGACTTGGTGGGTTTGAAGGTGTTTACTTTAGTATGGCAATTTTACTGCAGAGAGGTCATCTGGAAACAATGAATAATCTTTCCTTCTCACCTTTTCATCATGTAATGTTTTATGGCAATAAGTCAATTGATAATAAGTTGCCTCAGTATACAAATAAGCCATTTGTCGTTTCACATTGCTTAATAAGCTTTCACAGATGCACTCACAAAAAAATGAGCATGGGAGACAAAAAGTAAATGCCTGCCTAATGCATCAAAGCCACACCCTATGTCACATGATGGCTGAGAGGTGTCAAAGTAACAATGTAGAGGTAGCATAAGAAATTAAAACAAGATCATGGTTGCAATTTTTCTATTCAATGTGCCATGTTTAGTTTACTTGTTATCTAACCAATGTTTTTCGTTTGAACATTTAACATGACTTATGTCCAAAAAGTGTAGTTCAATTTTCTCCCACTGACCAATAATGGGAATGTAAAAAAATAACCTGGCCTTGGTCACTGATATCAAAATTTGAGATACCTTTGCGATTTGCAAGGTGTTCTACAGACTACTGCTCTTATCAGTTGCTGAACATTTTTAAGTGATCATTCAGTGCGTGAAGCCTTGGTAAGCATTACATCTTCTTACTTAACATCCGACCACAAATGCCACAATGCGAAGAGAAGTATAGTCTAGAATTTTGATCATTTCCACTGTTTGTTTGGGCACAATCTTACCAGTAATTTTTCACTCATCCTTTTCAAGTCTCATCCCTTTTAAGTACAGAATTTTCCCCCCATCACCAAAACCAAAATAAAATTTGGGAAATTTAGGAACACTTCCAATAAGGTGTGCCTAAAATGGTGGCACATCTTTTCTTGACATATTTGCAAAAAACAATTAGTGTGATGTTCTAAACCCCGTGCGAGGTGCAGGATCAGGAAATGGCCACTGAGCACTCATGGTATTGGTCAGGATGATCGGAACTGAAATGGATCTGAAATTGAATGGCTGTCCAAGTTCAGCATTCAAAATTGCTCAGACCTCTGACGACACCAATAAATACAATGGATACTGTAATATTTATTCAGAAGAACATTCAGAAAATCAACAGAAGAAACTATGACCATTTATTCAGAAAATGCATTAATTATGATTGGCTTATTGTAAATATTCAATGTGAGCTTTTGAGGTTCTACAACCTTAAGCCTTTAAGTTACTCAAAGCAAGCACTTTACACACGGAAATACAGATGTAAAGAGTCGTAAGATTATACGCGAAAAAGGCGAATTCCATTAATTTTCACAAATAAACCTTAAGATAAAAAATAAACCTAAATAAATAAACGCATACCTTTTGCGCCCGGGCCCCGATCGGCAGCCGGCTAGTACTCTTGCCCGCGCTCACATACGTGCACGTTACCCCGGCAACGGGCTATTGACCAATGAGAAGCGAGAAAAGTGTTACGTCACTGCGATTTTTCATATACCTGTGCCCCCCGGACGTGACGTAGTGTGCTCGCGCGCGTGCAGGGTCTGTGCGATCGAAAAAGAGCGCTAGCAGCGCGCCACTCGACGCCGCAATTGTCAAAAGCGGCGTGTTAGTATGCTTTATTATGAATGATGTGTGTAAAAGTGAGTTTTTATGTTGTTTATTTGGAGGAAATGGTTGGAATAAATTAAGTTATTTTTATTTCTGTTGGTTGGAGTTTTTATTCAAAAGATTTCGGTCTATACCATTGATATTTACTGAAAATACCTTCGCTTGAATAAATTGCAGATATTTGGCAACTGAAGTGTTAGGTAAGCCTAAATGATATGTAAAAAGGTAAGAGACACCCTGATTATCATTTGAGAAAAGAAAAAATATGAATTTTCCTTATGAAACTCGCTCAATATGCGACTCCGCGGTTTATGCCCCGAGGGTGTCCGAGGGTTCCCGTTAGTTTGTCGTTGGCGCTCGGCTCCAGTGCTGCCAGATGGGGAAGGCTGTAATCCTCCAGATCAGTTACAAAAATCCTCCAGATTCCTCCAAATCCTATTGGTAGATATAGAAAGGCGGTCTTGGACGCTGCGGGGGGGCTATACCTGTTACGTGATGCACGTAATATGGCAGTGTTTTAGTGTGTGATTACTTGCCTGTCACAGATGCGCCAAAAGTGTAACGTTTGGTTCCCGCTCGAATCTTTGTTTTTGTCTTGATCTCCCCGCTATGCTAAATGCTCTGAGATAATAGAATTCGCTGTTGAAGTCCACGCCTCTTTCTCGGTACTGAGAGCCCGAGAACGATACAATGGAGCTGCTGAAGCCGCTGTCAAGACAGTCAAGCGAATGATGAAGAGGAGCAGAGCCGCAGGAGAGGACCCGTACCTGGGTCTCCTGAACCTCAGGAATACCCCACAAGAAGGGATGGACACGAGCCCGGCACAGCGTCTGATGAGCCGACGGACAAGGACAGGAGTGCCAACGTCTAAAGCACTTCTCCAGCCCAAGCAGAACATCAACCAGAAACAGCGACTGGAAGCCAGGAAAGCTGCCGCAAACGACAGGCACACCGGCAGGCGAGAACTGCGACCCCTACAAGTGGGGGAACCGGTCCGAATGCAGCCAATCGACGGCAGAAACTCGTGGAAGAAGGCTGTCGTGACTAGCATGCTCAAGCCGAGGAGCTATGAAGTAGAAAGTGAAGACGGTGTCATCTACCGTCGAAACCGTCAGTTCCTACGAGCTACGCAGCCGACGACGCCACAGCAGCGCCACACGACAGCCCAGGCAGCAACAAGGAACGGGGCGGAACATCAGCCTACTCCGACGCGAGCCACCACGAGCGAGCAACCGGCCGCGCATTCCGAGCCAGTTGGAGAGAGCGCTGTCGCCTCCAACTGCACCAGGTCAGGGCGACGTGTCCGTCCTCCTCTCAAGCTGAACCTGTAGTGGTTCAAACTTAAAGGAGAGGGATGTTACGTGATGCACGTAATATGGCAGTGTTTTAGTGTGTGATTACTTGCCTGTCACAGATGCGCCAAAAGTGTAACGTTTGGTTCCCGCTCGAATCTTTGTTTTTGTCTTGATCTCCCCGCTATGCTAAATGCTCTGAGATAATAGAATTCGCTGTTGAAGTCCACGCCTCTTTCTCGGTACTGAGAGCCCGAGAACGATACAATACCTAACCCCAAAAGTTTCACCAAATTCTAAAAACTCATCGGATTTCGAATCCTTTCGCACTGCTGTGCAGTTTCAAAGATACTTTTTTTTAAAAAAAGTTAAGTTTTCGTTTTATACTAAAAAAAACACAAAAATTTTCGTCGATTTCGGGCGCTGCAGGGGGGCCGGGGGCATTTGCCCCAAATGTCCCCCTTAGATCCGCCAGTAGTTTGGTACCCTCGTAGATATAGCTACAGACTGAGACATTCTGCAGTCTCACGGTGATAAAGGACGTGATATATCCTAACGGGTAGGGTGACGCTAGGCAGGAAAATGCCTTTTTAGTCTTGAATGTGTTATATTTTTCCATGAAATTGAATATAATAATCGGGCGACAAATCCTCCAGATTTTCCTCCAGAATCAAAAATCCTCCAAAAGCGAAATTTGTCCGCAAATAGAGTTCAAAATCCTCCAGATTTGCGGAAATCCTCCAAATCTGGCAGCACTGCTCGGCTCGCGCGCAAGCCGACGTCACCGCCTGTGACGTCGGCTCGCGAAATACGTCATACCCTGCACACAAAATAGCCGGCTGCCGAACAGCGCTCCGGTCAGAAATGTGTGATTGCGGCGCAAATGCCGCAATATGAGCGATTCAAGGTTGAGGTTTTGAATTGGACAGGCGAGTACTACTTTGCTGCTAAAAACTATCATATAGCTGATATATACTGTTAACCCTGTTAACGTTTGTTATTTCACAATAACATGTCAGAATGCTTAGTTCGTGTCTAACAACCTCATGCACATAACATATTAATCGACTGATAAGTGGCAGGAGGAACCATTTTTAGTTACCCCTCTTCGATGCCTCTTCGGTACACCTAGGACGGATTAAAAAGCAGCAGACGAGCGGTAAACGGTGGTAGGGCCATCAACATCACTCGAAAGATAGCCAAAATCGCAATTTATTGAGAGTAGCTAGGTATTACTGAGTGAGATGAGATGCCTGCACCGTCAATAACAACCACTGTTCAAGCCCGCTTCCAAATGAAGTGGATCCCAGGTAAGGTCCGTCCGCTATGTCTAAGGATCGTTCGACCCAGGGTATATAGAACAACGTCCGACCATCAACAGGACCACCCGATGGAATTCGGACCGTCATACGGTCGAGACATCTCTCTCTAACCGTTCGTGCGATCCGTACACCAGGAACGTGGCCTCGTCCCTTATCCGTACGGCGTACCATACCTTGTCAGTGCAGTTTCATGTATCGGGCAGCATCGGCTCTCCCTTCCATACTAATTACTAATTACTACCAGCATTTAGCCACATGGCATTTGCAAATCCATCTTGATCGTAGGAAAGTGTACGTAAAAACGACCATTATCGCAAACGAGACACATTTATTATTTACATTTCATACGGTGTAACATAATAAAACAAATCACGATACCGGTAAAAGCACGAGCTACGTCCGAACACTGTCATACCTACCCGTTTGTAGCGTCATACCAACAGAGCCGCACACCCTGCACTTCGTCAACACTCCCTCATTCAGTCCGACAGCACCCACCGTCTGACCCCCCCCCCCCCCCGGCACCAGACGCGTCCCGGCACTCAGCGCGGACCGGCACTCAGCACTCAGCGCGCCTCGACCGGGCACGAGTTGAGCAGCACATTGGTAAGCTGCGTCATGTCCGTCCAGTCGCGGCGCCGCTTGTTGATCTCAATGTTGCGGATACAGCCCCTGAAGTTATCCTGCTGCAACAGAATCGATTTTACCGGCCCGCTGGAGTCTGAAAGAGACAATGGGAAATGTTAGACGGGAAAAAGAAGCTGAAATATACCGGGTATTCAAACCGTAACCATATCAATGTAACTGGAACAGCAACATGTTGGGTGAGACTTACACGGCAGTCCGCCGATGTAGAGCGGGAACCGGCCGGTCAGTATTCGTCCCGAGTCCTTTTTGACGCCGTACGTCTCTGGGTACTTGTCCACACGTAGACGGGCCTGGGGCACAGCCACAGACTGAGTCGTGTGCTAACTGAACGATGCGTGCTAACGGAGCTATATAATAGAAGTGTTGAAGGTGAAACCTTATGAACCATCAATGAGCGCTAACAACTCCGTGTTATCAACAATCAGTCAGTTGGACAGTCTCATTACTATACACTTTCGCCATTTATTACGGGAAACATCAGGTTATCAATCATCCTCTAGCTTTTCATTTCATTCGTCATTAACATCCGGTATTAGAGACGGCAAATAACGACATTACATATGTACGTCGCGTACGTGTAAAATATGTAAAATATGTACGTGGTAACCGGCCGTGAGGTGAGTGGAGCTGTGATTCTGCCGCCCGGTACCTGGTTCTGGACGTAGTAGGCCTTCACCGTGTGCCAGCGGTTGTCGCACATGGCGAACCGGGTAGCGAACTTCATGCGGGCCCTGATGGGCTCCTTGCTTCCGTTCTGGACTGAGAACACCACCTGAGCACGGGCGGCGAATGGGGGGTGTTAAAATAACAGGCCGAATGTCCAACACGACCACAACTGAGGTCAGGTCAACAGATACACTCAGAACCTTTCAAACGCAAATTTTTATCTGCATAACACCAGATAAACATTAAAACGACAATCATGTAAAACAAACAAGCCCGATTTTCCGAAGTAGATGAATAGCGTTCACTTTTCTAACTCCTATTCCAGGGACTGTGGTGTGTGATATAACGGAGCTGACAGTCGCAGCGCCCACCTCTCCGTCGTGCAGCTCCAGTGCCAGCGCCGGCCGGGCGTCCGGGCCGCTGACGCTGATCAGCACCCCGTCTAGCGCTGTGGTCCGGAAGTGCAGCGCCAGACTGACCTCGTCACCCAGCTGGAAACTGTCGTCTGGCGAGCGGACAGGCAGCAAATCACTACTGACTCATTGGGTTACCCTGCCTTTTCTGACTTCGTTATTGAGCTTCGATATGGTGGGAATTGCGCGTAAAAGAACATAGTGTAGACGTTAAGTAAGCACCATATGTAATCATAAATCACAGATAGCTGAGGCTGGGACGAGGCCAGTCAGTTTAATCACACCCAGCCACGCCATAATAAAACGTACCGTATGTGGCGAAGGAGTCGCCGCCAAAGAAGGTGCCCTGCTCAACATGGGCGTTACACTGTGCCACTTTGAGCGAGGTATTTTGTCGCAGCGTCAGGTTGTAGACGCGTTGGCGCACTGCCAGCTGCCGGATGCAGCCCTTGAAGCTCTCCGTTCGCTGGGGAACAAAGCAATGGATGTCAGGGATATCAGCTCAGCGACGTAGCTGCTCAGATAATCTAGAGCCGAACTTTTCAGGCTTAGCAGCCGATCAATATAGTTCTGTTTCAGCGAATATAAAGTGAGAATCCTTTAAAATTATATCATCTTTCTGCCGTTTCAGGCATAACGAATCCTCTTTAATTGAAAGTCCTCAGCAACGTGTAAAAAAATTCAACCTTATGGATAATAATTTAGGTGTCATAGTAACGGTGCTGCACACTAGATTTAAAGCGCAACAACCAAAAGCTCGTGAGCTAGCACATGGTCGGCCGGCCCATAAACCCGGGAATGGGGGGGGGGGGCAGCGGGGGCGCTTGCCCCCCCCCCAACATTGGAACCGAGGGGGCGCCGCCCCCCTCAACATTGAGGCAGCAAGAAAGGCTCTATCCTCCCTTTTCCGGACTTATTTCCTTCTTGTTTCCTTTATACATGTAAGCATCGACACACGGCATTTTCCTAGCCATCTGAATGGTTTCTGCTGATACAGTATCGATTTGACGACATCTGCTATTGTCATCCCGTTTTGGTTTGGGCCTGACCTTGGCCATAAGTTTGGCAGGCCAGATTTTATACTAGACCATTTTGAGTCAACTTTGAGAAATGCGTAACGTACAACGGTGGTGAAATCGTTGCTTTAGGTATAACACAGTTTACCCGCTCCGGGCGCGAGGGAGGGATGTGGGGCAATGAGTGCACTGACTTGGCGCCCTCGGAAGTCCGGTATGGGATTAAACCTCAGCTGTGGTGCCTTCGGTTATCGGTAGCACCCTCAGAATCACCGGCGTAGGGCCCTCAGAGCCGCCGGTAAGGGGCCTTTAGACTTTAGAGGCACTGGTGTGGGGCCGTCATGCAGGTGCCGGTGTGGGCGCTCAGAGGACCGTGCTAGTGTGATTCTCTTAGAGGCGCCGGTGAAGGTCATTACAGGCGTTGCTGTGGGCCCTCATAGACGCTGGTGCGGAGCCGTTACAGACGGGTGTGGGGCCTTTGAAGCTGCTGATACGAACCCTCTACAAGCCGGCAGGGGGTCTCAGTGACCGGCAAGGGGCCCTTAGGCCGGCAGAAGAAGTCCTGTGGGGTCCTTAGAGACCGGTATGGTACTGTCAGACGCCGGTGGGGCCCTCAGAGTCACCGGTGTGGGGCCCTCAAAAGTCACCAGTGGGTGGCCTTTAGATGCGCAGGTGTTGGTTCATGGTTGGGTCCTCAGAGCCGCCGATATAGGGCTTTAATAGGCACTGGTGTAGGCCTTCAGAGTTGGAGTGTGAAACCCTCAGAGACACCGGTGTGGGCCCTCATAGGCGCCGATGAGGGCCCGACAGTTGCCGTTATGGGGCCCTCAGAAAAATAAGTGTGGGACCATCACAGGCGGGAAATGGAAATGACTATTTAGGGCCCATGAGGTGCTCTAACGAGCCCCATGGGCCCTTCTGAGTCGAAACATAGCCATCGTTATCCCTCAGCGGTCAAATGGCGCCGCAGGGCCCCTCGGACCCGAGGGTCCCTTTGAACCCGATGGGGGGGGGGGTACGTGTCCCATTAGGCCCCTATAGCTACGCCACTGTTTCATATGCATCATGTCGGGTATTTTAGGCTGCCCCCCCCCCCCCCAACTTGAAAATCGTTCCCGAGCCCCCTGTCGGCCGCCGTCCGCTGTACTTACTAGCGTGGTGAGCCGCTCGTTGCCGAGGCTCTGCTGGTCCCCGTACGAGCTCTGCGGCAGACCGCCCACGTACAGACCATTGCCGGCCGGCAGCCGACCCAGACCGCGCGCAGAGGTCTCCGGGCCGCCGTCCACGGCGAGTGAGTAGCGCCGGCCGCGCTTCGTCAGCGTCACCTGGGAGCCGGCCGGCGTCACAATACGGATACAACTCAGCCGACTGTCTTCTGTCAGTGACACTGCCACAGCACAACACAGTGTCAGTTTTCCCGGCTCCTCCGGCAGACAGCAAAGCAACTCACTATCCTCACTATACCCACCCGTTTCCATGTGCCGTCGTTCAGATGACCGCCCGCAGTCAGCTCCATTGTCTTAGCTCGGCGAGTGGCGTTAAAAATCACCGCTCCGTTTCGCAACATAAGCACGAAGTGGGCCTGTCGCTTCCTCCGCTGCGAAACAACGGCAGTAGAACGGTAAATGGGAGAAAACCGTGATCCAGGAAATAAGACGAAAGTAATTAAGAGCCTGATTTACGCTCAGCGGATGCCTGATTGCTGGTTCATTCCTCTACGTTGGTGCGAAATGGCACTATGCAGTACTAGCAGTACAAGTTAACAAGTTACGAGCATTTACCATCAGTTAGGGAATTCAAGCCAAGTAAAATGCTTACCTCATTGTATAACAGAAGACCGTTAGGGTAAAATGTTCTGAAGCTCAATGACACGTTAAAGTTCTTCCTCTGCAGCTCCTTCTTACTGACTTGCTGAAATACGTGACTGTGAGGGCCGTCCCCGAATTTCAGGGCTCTGCAAAAGAGGGATAACGTGAGAAGAAGTAAGAACGATCAGCTACACCAGGTGTTTCAGATCGGTTGGTCATTATTGTGGGTGCTGAACAAACTCACGGGACGAGCGATATGCGACTGCCGCCGTGCCATCTATCCTTCCGAGCTGGGCCCCCAGCCTTCGGTTGGTGAAGCAGACTGAAGACATGACGCCAGCAGAGCGTTGGCCGCCGGGGCCCGTTTAAAATGGCGACGGCGGGTTTGGGACGGCACTGCTCGTGACGGCTCACCTGTCGAATCCAGGGTGACCTGCCTGAGCTGGTGACAGATGGTGACGGCTCACCTGTCCTCCAGGGTGACCTGTCTGAGCTGGTGATAGTTGGTATGGTGACAGATGGTGACGGCTCACCTGTCCGCCAGGGTGACCTGTCTGAGCTGGTGATAGTTGATACTTGATATGGTGACAGATGGTGACGGCTCACCTGTCCGCCAGGGTGACCTGTCTGGGCTGGTGACAGCGGTCAGGAGCCGGCTCCGTGGCCATCTGGTCGGTGGGGGTGCTGCGCCGGCGGCCGTCACTGCAGCGGCCGATCTTGGCCCGCTCGTAGCGCAGCGGGCTATCGAATACCAGCAGTCTGCACAGCATACAACACAGACTGCTGAGATAGCTGCAACTGACACGCGGTATATTCACAACTATATGTCATGGAAAATATTCAAGGCGCATTGTTAAAGCTGACGGCAGCATAAGCCGTCTAGGACCGCGGTGTGCGCCGTATCTATCAGTCGGATGGTGAATTGGTGACGCTCACATGTTAGTAGGTTTTGCCTTACCCACCTGTCTCCGAGTATGACGTCAGTGAGGCAGCCTCGGAAGGCGGGCGGCCCGCCCAGCTGCGGGCCCAGATCCGCGGGCACCCCTCCGAGGAAGAGGCCGCCGCGCGCCGGCACCCGGACACCGGAGGAGCCCGGTACGAGCTGACCGGAGCCCACCGACTGGTCACCGACCAGCAGCTCTATCCTGGGGTGTGTGGGGGAGGGGGGGGGGGGGTGATATACCAGCTGACCGGAGCCCACCGACTGGTCACCCACCAGCAGCTCTATCCTGGGGTGTGTGTGTGTGTGTGGGGAGGGGGGGGGTATGTGTGTCAGGGGTGATATACCAGCTGACCGGAGCCCACCGACTGGTCACCCACCAGCAGCTCTATCCTGGGGTGTGTGGGAAGGGGGGGGGGGTATGTGTGTCAGGGGTAATATACCAGCTGACCGGAGCCCACCGACTGGTCACCCACCAGCAGCTCTATCCTGGGGTGTGTGGGAAGGGGGGGGGGGTATGTGTGTCAGGGGTAATATACCAGCTGACCGGAGCCCACCGACTGGTCAGTGGTCACCCACCAGCAGCTCTATCCTGGGGTCCCAGTAAACATGCCGACGTCGGCCCGACGTCGGGCCGAGGCTCGGCCCGACGTCGGCCCAACGTCGGTTCAACCTCGGCCCGACATCGGCTGGACGTCGGATATGCCCGCATGTTCCGACGTCCAGCCGAAGTCCAGCCAACGTCGAGCCGACGTCGGGCCGAGATCGTTTGCCGAGGTTGACGAGATCGTTTGTCGTTGGACCGACGGGGCCGACGTCGGCATGTTTATTGGGACAACGCGCCAAAAAAATCAACCGGCGGCGGGATTCGAGCCCCCCAGTCGCCGACGTCGGCATGTTTACTGGGACAACACGCCAAAAGCATCAGCCGGTGATGGGATTCGAACCACTTGTCATTCGAACGCGAGGTTAGTGCGCTAACCACTACACCACGCAGCCAGCTAACGAACTTAGTTTGTTTTGTTGGGTTATGCCCTTTCGGTCTGACAAGACCATTTCAGAGCCGGAAGGATCATAGGATGGAGACATTGATCTTCTTGGCGAGCACCCTGGGTCCAGTTCATATAGAGTCCCTGGTCCCATTGCTGTTACGTGACACTTATTGGAAAGGGCGACCCCACAATGGATTCATATAGCCACTCTTACACACCTGCACCAACGTTTCCCAAAGTGTTCCTTTGATAAGCGGCACTTTGGCAAAGTGACACTTGCCGACTGGCCTTTCTATATGAACTGGGCCCGGCCCTGGTGAGTTGCCGGGGCTGAGCCTGACCAAAGGATAGGCCGAGCAGCCCCCAAGCACTCACCGCACCCGGCTACGGGCGAGCTCGGCTTACGGGCAATCCCAAATGGGATAAAGTTTCCCGTCCAGTCCGGATCAGGGGGTTGCGGCGTGGAGGAAGATTTGAGTTTCCTGAGGATATTTTGAATACAGAAGCTCTTTATGAAACATGAAACATGTATTTTATATTATTTTAAAGGTCAAAACAGCGGCCGATGTCGGTCCGACGTCGCCCCGACGTCGGCCCGACGTCGGCTGGACCTCAGCAATTGATCTCGGTCCGACGTCGGCCCGACGTCGGCTGGACCTCGGCTGGACGTCGGAACATGCGGGCATATCCGACATCCAGCCGAAGTCGTGCCGAGGTTGGACCGACGTCGGGCCGACGTCGGCATGCCGATGCCGAGTTGCCGACGTCACCCCGACGTGGGCCGACGTCGGGCCGACGTCGGCATGTTTACTGGGGTGTGTGTGGGGAGGGGGGTATGTGTCAGGGGTGATATACCAGCTGACCGGAGCCCACCGACTGGTCACCCACCAGCAGCTCTACCCTGGGGTGTGTGGGAAGGGGGGGGGTATGTGTGTCAGGGGTAATATACCAGCTGACCGGAGCCCACCGACTGGTCAGTGGTCACCCACCAGCAGCTCTATCCTGGGGTGTGTGTGGGGAGGGGGGTATGTGTGTCAGGGGTGATATACCAGCTGACCGGAGCCCACCGACTGGTCACCGACCAGCAGCTCTATCCTGGTGTGTGTGGGGAGGGGGGGGGGGACTCGTCACCCACCAGCAGCTCTATCCTGGTGTGTGTGTGTGTGTGTGTGGGGAGGGGGGGGGGTATGTGTGTCAGGGGTAATATACCAGCTGACCGGAGCCCACCGACTGGCCACCCACTAGTAACTCCACCTTTAGCTCATTGGTATAGAGAGGAGGGGGGACAGGTCACCCACCAGTAGCTCCACCCTGGGTTTAGTTATACAGGGGAGGGCGGGGCTGCCCAGAGATACTGGGGTCTGGGTTTATTGCTGATCGGTTGTGCATGAGTTGTTTAAGACTCCAAACAGAGGTTAGAACGCGATATTCCCCGATACATCTTCCTACTAAGAGAGAAAACAACCTACTGAATACGGCTTTACTAGTGAATTTCAGACCTTATCAGGTCAGGTAAGTTCAGATGAGGTGAGACGAGCAGTTAGTGAGATCAGGTGCGGTCGGGTCGGGTCAGGTGACGGGCCAGTAAGCACACCTGCGGGACGTCTTCAGCACGCTGACGGTGTGGAAGCGGCCGCCGCCGTTGTAGGTGCCCTCAGAGGTGATGTTCAGCAGTCCGGTACCGCCGTCCACGGTAAGCTCCAGGCGGCCACCCACCAGACGGAGCGAGTACACCTCGGACAGGTCGGCAGAGCCGGCTGCAGACTGCCGGGGGACACGGTCAGTGGGACTGACGGATACTTTCTCAGCCATTCACTGGTACAGACAGCGACACACCGGGGTACGGCCGGCGGGACTGACACTGGCACTGACACCGTCCAAACACCGGCTTCCACAGGACAGTCAGCATTGAGACGCCGCTGTTCATCAGCTGACAGTTCCTCGATGGCGCGACCACCACGCTCACCTGGCCGGCAAACGTTGAGATCACCAGCAGGCCGTCCGGGGCGTCTGCCTTGAACGACAGGCCGAAACTGGCGTTCCTCTTCAGACGGTACGAGTCCGTCTCCAAGTAGCCGTCGCCTTGGAAACTCACAGTCCTCAGCTCCTGAGATGGGGCGCCGCGTCAAACGAATACTTACACAACCTTTGTCTGAGCCCCTTCCCCCGTTTAAGCATCTGCCTGGGAAACAGCACAACCCTTTCTCGGAATCCTTGATCCCTTACATCCACACCTCTTTACAGTAGCCGGGTTCAGTCGCCGTCCCAAAGCTGCTATTGCCGAAGGCGGTTCTGCCGATCCGCAGCCTACACCTCTGCCCATTGTTCACCTCTCCCCTGACTGACCTGTCCGGTGCAGCCGTTGGTCACGCCGGTCGAGTTGCCGCTCCTCAGGTTCTGGGCCGTGTCGATCTGCACGTCCCGCACACAGCCCAGCAGCGGCACGAAGGTCAGCTGCGACCACGGCCGACGGTCAAAGTCGGGCGACACCCCGCCCACGTACAGCTTGGAGGTGTCCAGGTAGAGGGCCAGCTCGGGCGGGCTGTCGCCGCCCACCGGGTTAAACGTGCCCTTCGGACCGTCACCGTTCACCTTCAGTAGGACTGCGGGCAACAGACGGCTTATCTGATTACCCCAAATTGAATTAGAAGTGTTACGGTTCTCGTCATTTCACTGATTATCCCTGATCGCGTGCTCCGATAACAGCTTTCAATATACAAGGAAATTATTGACCTTTTAATCGAACATTAAGTACAAGCAACCAATAACTGATAATTAAGCGATTGAAATCAATCTCTGAGTTCACGTACCCTCCTTCTCATAATAAGTTGCCTCAATTTGCGTCCAGTTGCCCGTATTATGCCTTTGTTTGGATTTAACCACGAGTTCGGCATTCTTGCTGAAGGCGACCCGGAACACGACGAATCCATCGCGCAGTTCCAGACTGAACAGCTGACCCTGCGAAGGGCGACACGGGATTTCGATGGTTGGGCAGCCCAGCGAGTTCCACAGAAACAGACCGCAGTTAGTCGCGTCCCCGCTCAGACAATCCGCTTTTCAGACGATCTATGATTCAGCCACTCGAAAGGTGAATCCATTGGGCTACGGGATAGAATATAAACAATGTTGAAATCGAGTCTGCGCGAGTAACGAGATAACTTGGTCAACACCTACATGAGGCAGAGCCAGCCAGTTATGCTGGTTTGTGTCCCGCTTACCTTCTACCCCGAGAAGACCCAGTGCCAGACACGGGCTTTTCTCGTTGGCCACGAGCAGGAGCAGTGCGTCTGCCGCCTACCTACCTTTTTCTCGTTGGCCACGAGCAGCAGCAGTGCGTCGGGGTCGAAGGTGCGCATCCACAGACTGGCGGGCAGGTAAATGCGGCGCTGGCCGCTACTGGCCAGCGGGGACAGCTCCACGTACCCCTCACCGTCAAACGCGCTCTCCGGCGCCGCCGCCAGTTCGTCGGCTCTGCCGGACACAGAGGGCTGTCACCGGCCGGGATGGTGCGCTGTCTGGACTTACAGAGCAACCCAAACAAAGCCGCAGAGCGTGTTTTGGGCGTCCCTTGGGTAAAATTAATTGAAATTATAGGTTATGCTGCACTAGTGCCTTCATGGGTTTCGTAGCATGACGTAGCTTGATATCAAACACAGTGAAGCATCAGTATGGATCCTCATTCGCCACTCTGCAGCCACCCGCTGCTGACTGGCTGCTTTGACAGGGCTGCCGGGCGGCACTGTCGGCTGACGCCTCACCTGGGACCAGTGCGGCAGGCGCCGCAGTCGCGCGTCTCCTGGAAGTTCCACAGACCCAGCGTCTGGCCGTTGATCGAGACGTCATCCAGGCAGCCGGCAAATCTGTGAACAGGCCCTTAAGTATCAGTTCTATTCAGCATCGGTGCAACACAGCACCCTTGCACACAGTTAAAGACATCACTATGCCGATTAATAAATGTGTCAGTGAGGGAGGGAGTCAATCCACCCCGATGGGAGGGCTCTCTCAGCGAGTCACACCGTCTGACCTGTCGGCGGTGACGGGCGCCGGCAGCGGCCGGTCCCGCGGCGCGCCGATGAACACTGGGTCCTCTCCGGTCAGCTCCAGGACCGTGAGGCCGTCCGTGGCGGCTGCAGAAACCGGGGACGGGTCGGCGCCGCCGCCGCCAGGTTCCATCGGACGCACCAGTAGACGGCCCAGGCTGCCGATCCTGGCAGACAGAGACGGAATGACACGGACGGCGGGACAGAGATGGAACGACACGGACGGAGGGACAGAGACGGAATGACACGGACGGCGGGACAGAGACGGAATGACACGGACGGAGGGACAGAGACGGAATGACACGGACGGAGGGACAGAGACGGAATGACACGGACGGAGGGACATAGACGGAATGACACGGACGGAGGGACAGAGACGAAATGACACGGACGGAGGGGCAGAGACGGAATGACAGAGACGGAATGACACGGACGGAGGGACAGAGACGGAATGACACGGAAGGAGGGACAGAGACGGAATGACACGGACGGAGGGACAGAGATGGAACGACACGGACGGCGGGACAGAGACGGAACGACACGGACGGAGGGGCAGAGACGGAATGACACGGACGGAGGGGCAGAGACGGAATGACACGGACGGACGGGCAGAGACGGAATGACACGGACGGAGGGGCAGAGACGGAATGACACGGACGGAGGGGCAGAGACGGAATGACACGGACGGAGGGACAGAGACGGAATGACACGGACGGAGGGACAGAGACGGAATGACACGGACGGGATGATAGTGACAGCAGAGGCAACAGACAGAAATTCGACACAGACCGACCCACCAGTTTAAAGTAATGGTCGAGTTATAGGGTGAAGATCTTCCACGATTATTATTCTTATTTGTGGATTCGTGAATTACTGTTTATAAAAGTTTGAGCGGAATTAGCTATGGCTGATCGCGGGAGCGAGCCCTCCTCCCTGCTATGTGTCGCTGACCTGGTGGCCTCGATGCTGTACCAGCGGTCGTCCCACAGCAGCTGCTCATTGTTCGTCTCCAGCTTCAGCGGGTGAATGACGGACTGCGTGGAGCCGCCGTTATTCCACAGAAACCGCACACGGCGGTCCACCATCTCCACCGCCAGGAAGTCACTCTGGAGAGCGTGAAACATACATCGTAGATCAGCATGCATAGGGAAGGCACTCTGATTAAGTTCCACCACCGCCAAAGACCTCGCACGTGAGTTTTATGTGGCGTTTGATTTGGCACTCAGTCAACCAAAAGTTGGTATAATCATTGTCTGCCCGACCCTGACACCCAATCCCCGCTCCCCCGCTCCCTCCCAGCACCGCGTGGGCCCGCTCAGTGTCCGTTCGGCGTTCCTGTGACGGTCGCCGCCCACCTTTCCCGTCGCTCCAATGAAGAGCAGCAGGGCGTCGGTGATGGCGGGCTCGGAGACGGCGTACCGCAGCCGGAGCGCAGACGTGGCGCCCGGCTGCAGTTCCGACACACGGTACCGACGCGAACACGATGTGCCGTTCGAGGTCAGAGAGACGCGGATCTGCCGGCCGCGGGGTCAAGGTCAGAGGGTCAGTTCGAGGTCAGCGAGACGCGGATCTGCCGGCCGCGGGGTCAAGGTCAGAGGGTCAGTTCGAGGTCAGAGAGACGCGGATCTGCCGGCCGCGGGGTCAAGGTCAGAAGGTCAGTTGGAGGTCAACGAGACGCGGATCTGCCGACCGCAGCGACACCAGCCCGGTCAGTTCTTCACAGCCAACTGACAGTTCTGTCATCCGATGACTGATCGCATGTGAACTGGCGCCGATTAGTACACGCAGACTCTTACAAGCTTCACGACTTCGGTAGGTGTCAACATAATCATACTGCGATTCGGGTGTGTGGTCGTAGTTATAGCAAGAACACGCGAGTAACGCTGATAGAGCTTACCTTCGATGCTGCTTGGCGCGTCTTCAGTATCTTGTTTTTGAGCTGCTCCAGCTGCAGTTTGGCGTCCTTAGTGGACTGGGTCGCCGAGTCCGCCCTCTCCTCCACCTGGATCGCCAGTTTGGCCGCCTCGCTGATGATCTCGGCCGCCTCGTCCACTGGGAACGGACAGCCAAATGGACGTTAGACGGCCGACAAATCGGGGCTTCTTGCTGCAGTTTCGGTATGAACGTAGAAAATAAGAGGTGTGATAAGCTGTATAGGATAAGCGTTAATGAGTGTAAAGTAAACCATGACGTAGGATAAACGTATAAATGGTGTAAATTAAAGAACGTTGAAACAAAGAATAAATAGCATATCGTCCTAACTGGCATGCACGTGCGCCCTGCACTGCTCACCCATCTGCAGTCCGTCGTTGACCCCGGCTTCCGACTGCCGCTGCAGCTTGTCCAGGCCGGGCCGGAGCTCCGACTGCAGCCCGCTCTCCACCTCCCCAGTCCGCGCGTCCACCGCCGCCGCCTTGGCCAGGGCGGCGCGCGCCCGCTCCGCCGCAGCGGCCACCGAGCGGGCCAGCTCTGCGCCGACGGCGGGCGGTCAGACCGGCCGACTGGGGCTCCTCAGATAACACGGCAGTGTTTGGTGACGCGAGAGCTAACGGTAACATATTCATAGCCCCACACACGCACAGACGATACAGGCAACCGATCCTAGTTTGTGACTAACCGGTAGAGTTGAGCTGTTTCAGTTCTCGTTGAATGACATCATTTTGACTCCGGACATCTCGCACGGCGTCGCTGACTCTCTGCAGACTCGTCTTGTTGCCGGCCAGGTCAGCGGATAATGCATTCACCTGGTGAAAAGGTTAAAACTGTCACGTCTTATTCATGGTCTGTCACGTCTTATTCAATCGAAGGAATGACGATGAACTTACAATACTGACAACGATTTAACCAATCAGTAGTCGATTATCACCAACTGCAGATATTCGTGCTTCACTGATCAGCTAAAAGATAAAGTTACCCAAATGTTTTCATGATCCCATGCTGTAGATATTCAAGTGTTTTGACAATTGCCTACCGGTGCATTGCCACGATATGTTCCAGTTCGACAGTGACGATAATCGTCTCACCTGGCGTCCCAGCTGTTCGGCCGCCTTGAGAAGCTCCTCCGATTTATCTTTGGCCTGTTCTCCTTGTGAAGTCAGCGATGCAGTATCAACCAGCCCCACCTGAAGCAAAAAAGTCAGCAGACTCCTTGGACAGAGCTTGGGAATTAGATCACACATTGTGCGCCAAGCTGCTGCTAAAGTAAAAAATCAACATCATTTCAGACTTGTATGTGTATTGTGTAAATATCTCCTAAGCCAACTTAGGCGTACCAGAGGCTTATAAGTCATATCACACCCCAAGGAAACGGATGATCACAGGTCCGGCACCAGCACCACCCACCTGTTGGTTGGCGGCTCTGGCTGTCTCGTTCGCGGCCTCCAGGATGTCCACTATCTCCTGGTAGGCCCGGGCCGCCGCCAGCGACGCGTTAGCCCCCTGGCGAGTCCCCTGGAACAGACTGGGACGGAGCGACCGGTCGCCAGCGTCACAGCCAGGGACACCAGTCAGACGGACCACTCACTACATAAAGCCGAATGGGCCAGCTGGTCTCTCACTACACAGTCATGGAGATGCGGGTTCGCTGAAACAGCTCACCCGGCCAGTTGTTCAGGTATACCAGCTCACCTGGCCAGCTGCTCGGCTATACCATCTCACCTGGCCAGCTGCTCAGGTATACCATCTCACCTGGCCAGCTCCTCAGCTATACCATCTCACCTGGCCAGCTGCTCGGCTATACCATCTCACCTGGCCAGATGCTCGGCTATAACTGCTCAGCTATCCAGCTGCTCTGCTATATCTCACCTGGCCAGCTCCTCGGCTATACCAGCTCACCTGGACAGCCGTTCTCTATACCAGCTCACCTGGCCAGCTGCTCAGGTATACCGGCTCACCTGGCCAGCTGCTCAGGTATATATCATCTCACCTGGCCAGCTCCTCGGCCTGCTGGTTCAGCTGGGCGGCGTGCGCCTCGGCCGGCAGCAGGTACTCCTGCACGAAGTCGGGGCTGAGCTGGGACAGCTCGGCCATCCGCCGCTGCAGCTCCGAGTCGTTCGCAGACACCCGCTGCAGCTGGTCCCGCAGGTCCGTCAGGTCCTGTTTGCAGGAAATACGACGGTGGTGACACATGGATTGGAAGACGATTCATATTGCTGTCAGCAGTTTCGAGGTACGATGGCGATAATGCATGGTGCTTCTTGATTGCGAGGGTTTGCATTGTTTCTAATAAATCATAGTCCATAGAGGATGACTAGCCCTCAGACAGATCTCGTGTCTTAGTGACTCGCCTTGAGACAAGTTTTCAGTCTAAGTGACTTTCTTGAGACAAGTTATCATTTAGACATTGCCACTGAGTCTTGTATGTATTTGTTTACTAACGATGGTCTGTCCCTGCGCCTGATCGTACAGCCTCCTAAGCGGGAGCAGTGCGTCGCTGCTGTTGGCTAGCAGACCCTCCACAGCCTCAGTCTCATTGCTGAGCAGCTGCTTCCGCTGATCCAGGCGCAGCAGTCGGGCTCTCAGATCGTCCAGCAGCGCCTCAGTCTGCGGTCCAGCGGGGAGTCTGAGTTAGATAAAAGTAACGCTACACCGGATCGAAGGGAAATGAAATCGGTACGGAGTACGGTGCGTGACTAAGTTATCAGCAGATATAAAAACATTCGATCAAACAAAAGGGTCTCTAGGATACCTGCCCGCCCTGAACGTTTGGGGATTACGTAAGCCCTTTTGTTTTCCCATGTGACAGGTTCCATGTTGTTCTCTCCCCACCCGAGCAGGTTGGTCCGTACCTCCGTGACGGTTTGCCGCGCGCCCTCTATGAGCCGGCCCATGTCCTGCAGCTTCTCCTGCAGCCGCTCCAGCCTGGTCCGCGGCTCGCTCAGGGCGGTGCCGTTCGGCTCCAGGGCGCGCACCCTGTCCAGGAGCCGGCCCACCTCCGCCAGCTCGTCGTCCGCCCTCCGCTGGGCGCCGGTGAAGTTCTGCCGCCGCAGCTCCTCCAGGATAGCGGAGGCCTCGCGCAGCGCCTGGTCCACACTGGTGGACGGCGAACCGCCGCCCATGTACCGCTCCAGGTCCGTCATAGTGCCTGCCGGCGGAGAGGGACGGGAGTTTACACAGCTTGACAGGGAAAACAGCTGCATATAGTCGCTTGTACACCATCTGTAGCTTGTATGGATGGCTCCTTACAGCCCTCAGCTAGTTTACCAGAGAAGGCACAGCAACCTTGTTTTTACGTAAACAGGTCTGATACCATTCAAGTTCGAAACAGGACAAAATAAGTTGCCATAGCCGTATGAACCGAGAGTTACATACCATCAATGATCGCCTTTGTTTCGGCGACAGAGTCGTTTATGACTTTCAGTTGGTTCAGCAGCTCTTCTGTTTCGCTCAATTTGTTCGGCAGAGATGACACGAAACTTTCGGACTGAAAAACAAACGTCAATCACGACAACAGTTTATCAGAACATGGATCCACCTTTAGTTAAAATAACAGAATAACATACTTTTCGACAAAGAATACTTTTCGAATGTTTAATATCCAGTCCTCGCTCGCCAGTTCACGCTGTTCAGTTACCTGCACCAGGAGGTTTTCTGCCATCGTGTCCAGGTCGAAGGAGTCGTTTAGCGCCTGTAGGCTGACTCTGACTCCGATGTAGTCAGTGAGCTCTTCGTCCAGGCGCTCTGTCTCGTTACTGATGGTGTACAGGGTGTCCCAAGGGGCGCCGGCCGAGGAGGGCACGTCCACGGCGGCAGCGAGCTCGTACAGCGCGTCCAGGTCGACCAGCAGTAGCCCCACGCAGCCGTCCTCACACGCTGCCGAGGAGCAGACAGACGGTCAGGGGGGCAGTGGAGGGTCGAGACACGCGGACAGCAGGGGTCATCGGCGTCCGTTGGCACTCCTGGGGGCTTGGTTAGCACAGTGATATCGGTTCATGAACGTCTTACTTAACGGCTAGGTTTATCAGCGCGTAAGCATTATGATCACGTTAGTATTATGATCGTTAGTATTATGATCATAATCGCTGCAAACGCCCACATCACTCTGAATTTGAACACTGTGCATGTGTCCTAACGCAATATCTAATTCCACCCTGACACCGTGGCAGGTCGTATTAACCATAATCACCGCGGTCCGATGCCTCGATAGCCTGTCGCTCTATCCCCCGGTCTCACCCTGGCAGCCGCGCGCCGTCTGCACGTGTCTGGGCGGACAGGCGGTGCAGTCGCGGCCCGTGCGGCCGGCGCGGCACGGACACTGTCCCGTGGTCGGGTCGCAGTGGTCGGCCACGCTGCCGGCCCGGTCACAGCCGCACGGCACGCAGCCCACCGACGGGTCGCGGGCGTCCCCGTAGTAGCCGTAGTCGCACCTGGACGGCACAGAGCCTCGATCAGAGTCAGCCACTACATGCAGTGAACTATGCAGTAGACAACAACAGCATATTGAAACGCATTATTTGTGCACCAATGGGATGGTAGGTACTGCTAAGTGGTGCTCTCGTTCAAAGGACATGGTGAGGCTGAACCCGTAAAACACCAATCACATACTATCCCCTCGGAGTCGGATACCGATACGGGTCCATCCCCAACTCTGTCCCCACCCCCACCCACCGGTCGCAGCGCTGGCCGCAGCAGCGACACGGCCCACCCCAGCTCTGTCCCCCCCCCCCCACCCCCACCCACCGGTCGCAGCGCTGGCCGCAGCAGCGACACGGCCCACCCCAGCGCTGTCCCCGCTCCCTACCCACCGGTCACAGCGCTGGCCGTAGTAGCCGGGCAGGCACTGGCACCGGAACGCCACCCTGTAGTCCCCCGTGCAGCCCACGGCGTGGGAGACGGTCTCGGTGGGACAGAGGCAGCGCCGGCAGCCGCCGCGGTCCGCCGGGTTCCCATAGTAGCCAACTGCGCAGAGCTCGCAGTTTCGGCCCGCCGTGTTGGAGGTGCAGTTCTGGAACCCAGCGAGCGGCCCCCGGGCGCGTGAGAGGGTCACAGCGCAACGGCGGATATACGGAGTGACCAACAGGACGGGGTCGAAAAAATGGTTAATTGTATTGTATTGTATTGTATTGCATTGTATTGTACATTTAAGAGCGATCAGCATTCCAAATTGCATAGCGATTACCTTCGTCGGGTATTTACCAATGAATGAACCCAGGTATTATTTTCCTTACTTCGGTGCCCGCATTGAGTGTTGAGACGTCTGCTGACACCCACTGTCGACATCATCTAATGTTGACAGACGGCGGCGTTGGGTGACACGGGACCTGCCCTCCCTCAGTACTGAGTTTGTCTCAGACAGCCGCGGTGTCGGACCACACTCCCCCGTCACTCAGCGCTGTCTCACCTGGCAGACTCCGGTGTCCGGGTGGCACGTGGTCGCCCGGCCGTTACACTGGCACTCTGCCACGTCCCCGATCAGGTCAATGATGATCTGACTGCTGCGCTCCTCACTCGTAAACGTTCGGTAAAATCCTATACTCGGGTCCTGCGGGAACAGCGCAGTCGGGGGGTGTCAGCTGGACTTTGCTGAGCGGGAATCACTGAGTCAATATGTGTCAGCAAGTAAATAAGATGGTCGATATGGGATAGTCATAGTCATAGTCATGTATTGAGTACTTCCGTTAATATACGGACAAAAAGCTGCCGTCTGCAGTGCTGTCTTGCGAAGCATGTATTCAATAAACACCTACAGGGTGACACAAAAAAACGGTCATCACCAAATTTCGAATAACTTCGGAAGTTTTATTCAGATCATCACCAAACTTCGGCCACTTAAGGTCACACCTATGTAGCATACATCCACCAAGTTTCAAGTCTTCACTACGAATACTTTTAGTACAGTGTGTGTTTTACTGACGCTCCACAATGTGCTCCAGGTGAGCGCCACGGCGCTGCAGGGCGTAGGCACACTTGCATCCGGCGGGCAAAGTTGTCGATAACCCGATGGCTGTGCACTTTACAGAGTGCAATGGCCTCTGGAGACAGTGCTCAGGGGGTGTGCTACCCCTGAAACGTTATTCTTATCGGGTTATCGGCAACTTTGCCCGCCGGATGCAGGTGTGCCTACGCTCTGCAGTGCCGGGGCGCTCACCTGGAGCACATTGTGGAGCGTCCGTAAAACACACACTGTACTAAAAGTATTCGTAGTGAAGACTTGAAACTTGGTGGATGTCTGCTACATAGGTGTGACCTAAAGTGGCCGAAGTTTGGTGATGATCTGAATAATACTTCCGAAGTTATTCGAATTTTGGTGATGACCGCTTTTTTGTGTCACCCTGTACATGAATAAATACAAAAATAACAGAAATACAACAGATTATTTAAATGTGTGATCCAGCTACTGATAACGTCATAACGCCGGCTGGCTGTGTGCGTTCAGCTCACCTGACAGGAGGAGCCGCTGTACTGAGCCGGACAGGCGCAGCGCTCTATGCCCAGCGCCGTGTCGCCCGGCCGGCCGTACGTCGGCTCGGCCATGTCCCAACTGATGTCCCATATCCTGGGGCAGACGGCAGACGCGTCAGCCAACCACTGTCCAGACCAGTATTCAGAGACACAAGTTCGCCAGAGCTGGAGCTACCAGACAGAGTCTGATATGAGGGCATCCTGCTGTGCTTATTTCATCTCCAAAGACACAAGCCCTCTAGAGCAAGAGATTAGAGCTAGAGCTATCAGCTGGAAAGTTTGATATACTACCTACGCCTAAGTGTGCTTATTCCATCCTAACGTTTGACTGTTTGAGAGAGTGCATCAGTCTGTCTTCTGCATATTTTTTTTTACACCAGGCTGGCTCACTCTGCTTTGCGTGTGTCGATGGCGTCCGTGGCCCTGACGAGCACCAGAGTGGTGTTCTGCAGCGCCACCATCAGAGTCTCCCGGCTGACCGGGGCCGAGCCGTCCCCCTTCCGGCGCCACAGCGACTCGTGGAACCTGACAACCGAGTACGGATCAGTGGAGTACCGGGGGTACAGAGGTATACAGAGCCGTCCCCCTTCCGGCGCCACAGCGACTCGTGGAACCTGACAACCGAGTACGGAACAGTGGGGTACCGGGGGTACAGGGGTACAGAGTACGAAGTCCTTCCGGCGTCACAGCGACTCGTAGAACCTGACAACGGAGTACGGAACATCAGGGTACAGAACAGGGTCACTAATGACACATGACGTGCGTCGTTACAGTGCACCCGTTTACGGCCACAACAGTTTATTTGATTATCATCTACATGTTCCCTAAAATGCCTACCGTAAGCTCAGCTCAGGCAAATGCGGAGTCCGTTCTATTTACGCTACAGATGATCACTGTGAAAATATTACGTCCCGATAGCGGCAAGTGGGGGCGAGCTCGAAGCCCAGCCGCGCCTCTCTGTGCCCCGATTACCTACCTGACGGTGTGCAGGCCGTCGGGGCCTGGCCGGTCGTCCTCAGGGAAATACTCCAGCACCAGCCGGCTGTGTCCCTGGAGCTGCACCAGCGGGTAGGAGGCCAGGACGGCGGCGGGGAACGGCCGCACGCCGCCCTCAGTGCGTAGACGGAACCGCAGTTCACCGTTGTACGAGCGGACCTGAGGGAGGAGCCGACAGCGGCGTCACGGCACATGAAGTCAGGCGATAAATGGAGAGTGAAAATCGAACTGGCACAGAGCCTTCAATCATACGGAAGCTCAGTGGAAACCTGCTCATCACCATCACACTGACAGAGTACAGGCAGTTGAAGAGCTGTTTAGACGGCGGTAGGCGGTAGCCAGGATAGGAGACCTTTTTTCGAGAAACATGCTACCCACCCGGACATTTATCAAGTAGCTACCCGCAGTTGCCGGCAGATGAGTAAGTGAGTCTCGCCCTGGGGACCCGCTCGTCCACCCCGCTGGCTGCTCTATCCACCGCCGGTGAGACTCACCTTGTCGCCGAGGAACTGTGGTGGCAGCTCCCAGTAGACGGGCGTGTCCAGCGGCTGTCCGAGCCCCAGCTGGACATCCCCGCTTCGCTCCGGGATCACCCGCAGCGTGTTGATGATGTCCAGACGCGTCTGACCCGGACCCAGCGTCAGGGAACGCTTGTCGGGCAGCGTCAGCTGGTGGTGGGAGACAGGTCAGGTCAGCAGGTGGGTCAGCGACAGAAGTCAATTCACTTCATACTTCATTGAGAAACAGACTAGGCAGTCAGGCTAGTTGATGCTGAGCCGTTGAAACGCTGCACTTTTGTATAACAGATTCGCTGCCACAATGCATTCACAGCACAAATACCTGGGATCGGTCAACGCCAATAAAATAGAAAAAAAAAACATTGAAGTTATAATTCAGCAAACGTAAACCACTTCAGACGTGCAACATCTACATAGATGCAATTGAACGGAGTCAGCCAACCAAAACCACGATAAGACATACATCATAGAGACTCACACGAATGTGTTTCAAAATTAGTCACAAACACTAAAAGCACTGGCAGAATGGCAGCTGCTATATTTTTTAATGTTCATCTTTGCCACTTCGGTGAAGCATCATGCCACAGAGTTCGCTCATCCGTCAGCCACTGTACGAAACGGCACTGGAGGTTTATGGTACAGAGGTGGGGAGAATGGTTTACATTCGCTCGGTATCACCACTCCCCAACAGTTGGATCAGCACAGGCAGGTCACAGAATGACGGCTAACAGGGATTGTAACAGCAGAGCGCAGCGCGATGGTGACCCGGGCAGCGGCAGCAGCCACAGGCGAAACCACTGGGAGCAGCATTGCAAAGCGCGACACAAGGGTCGAGCTGCATGCAGCTACACGTCTGCATTCAGCGGTGTGCTCGATATATTTCCACAGCTGAACTTAGATGTTTGGCTTTCAGTTCAGGTAGCTCCAGGTAGCAGCAGCAGCAGCAGCGGCGGCGGCGGCAGCGGGTTAGGTACGACTGGCGAGGCAAAGGGAAGCCAACTGACGAGCATCTAATGTCCAGGTCCCAGCATTGGTGGCTCCGAGAAAGAGCCCGGTTACTCGTTGTTGCGAGTCCGTCTCCTGGCCAGCCCTGCCTCCGCTCTACCCGTGTTAGCCACATTATACGGAGGGGGCGTTGTCAGCGGCGGCTGCCGACTAAAACCCTGCTATCTCAGCGCCACCCGGCCATACGTGAATGTAGCAGATCTCCTCCGTACGCCACGGAACGAACGGGTACGTCTCGACAGTCTCGTACGTTTCGTCGTACTCGATGATCACCGTGCGGTTTGTCCTTACGACAAAGAGCTGAAAGATCGGGTGGGCCAGACACCTGTCTTGACATTGTATCAGCTGTGATTGCAGGCCATAAGGCATGCAAACATTGTGTGTAAAGGTCCTTGGAACGACTCGATCTTAGCACGGCACCCTGGCTACACTTGCAGTAATCTAAATCATGGCCATGGCTTTGATAAAAACATTCTTAGAATGTATAACAGGGTCTTAGACCAAACATTGAAAGCAGACTTCAAAGTCTTAGGAACCGAGTGTGCCAAAATTGGTAAAATTGCACGCCATCTGAATCATTCTACTGAAAAGGCGAGCAGCGATCAGACGCAAATCAAACAGCAACAGCAATGCAAGACTGAAATACTCATCATGATGCTAATTACAAGACAGCAGATATACAAGTGGTAAGACAAGCGTATGAAATGGAAGAAAAATAAAGGAAAATAAAAAAGACACAAATTCAAAGACGACGAGAAGTCGCTTCGCTACACGATGCACGATACTTACCATTTGGCTCCTAGTAGCTGATAGGTGTCCCTCAGTGTAATCTGGGTGTGGACAAGGATGGTTGGCGACTCACGACTGCGAGATGTAGGCCGCATCGGTACGTACCGGCACCCAGGTGAACTCTGCCTGCGAGCACTGTCCGCTCCTGGTGAAGCAGAAACAGGCCGTGCAGCCGTCCGGATTGTCGGCGCTCAGACCGAACGTGTTGGGAGCGCACTGGTCGCACCGGGCGCCGCGAACATTCGTCTGAAACAAACCCGCTCTGTCATACCGATGGCATAAAGGCATAGGTACAGTTCTATCACCCATTAGTGCCAACACGTTGAAAATTCATTATTATCACTTGGAGTTGGCAAGGGAAAGCTTGGAAATGTAAAGTAAAACGACACCGAAAGATAAGAAATGATATCGTTTCCACAAACCTTGCAGTAGCAGCGTCCCTGTTGGTCGCAGGGACAGTTTGCCTGGTCGTCACAGCCGGCGGTCCCGGCCGGGTCACACTGGCACCGCCGACAGCGGGGGAACGAGTAGAACCCCAGCGAGCAGCGCTCGCACCTGTAACAGACACAGCGAGCAGCTGAGCGGTCACACCTGTAACAGACACAGCGAGAGCAGCGGTCACAGTACTGCAACAGACACAGCGAGAGCAGCGGTCACAGTCCTGGAACAGACACAGCGAGCAGCGCTCGCGCCTGTAACAGACACAGCGAGCAGCGGTCGCACCTGTAACAGACACAGCGAGCAGCGCGGTCGCACCTGTAACCAGTTTGGTGTGTGCTGATCATTTGTGCGACAATTCGAACACCTGACGTAAAGAAAAAATATAAAATATATTTGAAAACACAAAAACCGAGACAGTCTATCGGAAACGGGGATCCTCGACCGCAAGACACCTATTAACTCATTCATTCAATCATAACAGCATTCATTCCTTCATTCCTTCATTCATTCATTCATTCATTCATTCATTTATTCATTCGTTTGCTTTTTCATCATCCATTCACAAATATATCCCAATATATCTATGAATGGCAGCGATTCAATTGATGTTTCGTATCATATCAGGCCTGATGTCAGTACGCCAGTTCTAATCCCAAATATGTGCCAAACTTGATAAGACAGATGACGCATAGGGGACACCGGTGGGCGCCCGACCGCCCGGGCACTCTGGCCGCCGGATAAGCGGCCTCTCGGTGGGACAGGGCACTTGACTCGGCACTTGACATGACCTGGGACGGCCCCCGACAACAGAGCCACATGGTCTGGGAGCACTATACTAGGCCGCCCTGTGGGACCGCGTGCTACTGGCTTCCTCACAGTGACGTGTTATGTCTCCTCTTGACGGCGGCGGGTGGGTACCTCCAGCTGAGGGGAAGGATCAGAGGGATCAGGGCGGCTCCTCACTGAGCCGAGGCCAACACCGTGACCGGACCTCCCGCTGGCAGAACGTCACGCACGGCGCCCGCAGCGAAACTGTACTGGGGGTGCTGGGTTATTCCACCGAGACGGACACGCCCGTCGACTGATAGTAAAACAATTTCGGCGATAAGAATGAAAAATCAATTCCTATGGCTCATACATAGTTATCAGGCATAATGCGCCATTTCAGACGACCGTTCGACTGAGGGGCAGAACTCAAACTGGACTGATAGGAGTGGTAGGCACGGTAAATAGGCTGACGACCGGTGCATATTTACGTCTGGACAACGAGTTGCGTTGGGGAGGCCGGAAATAGTGGCGATTTCAGGACCGCAATAATGGACCGTCATTTGAATGATTCTTTTTTTAAACGTGCACTGTTTTTAGCCGAAATTTAGTTCTTACTACAAAATATTTTGTTATTACATTTTGGCCGAGAATGAGTACCATCAGGGCCAAGTTTTTACTATTATTGTATTTTGTCCAGAAGCATATAGTGCTGTTTTATTGCAGTTTATGCGCGTTTGTTACAAAATATGAAGCGAACCTGCAAAAAAGTTCCAAGATAACGTTGATGCATATCGCAAAATATCATATTGACCTGACCTCAAGTTCATCCGTTCCTTCCATGATTGACTAGACAGATTTCAATTTACACATTTCAATTTTATCTTGGATCAGAGAAGAGGAGAGAGAAGTGGGAGCTATTTTATTTGTGCCTTCATGTCGAATTGAAGATGGATCATTACATTTTCAAGGCGTTGATCAACCAAACATTTCATTGATTTAGTCTTTCTCGTACATAAGCAGTGGCTAAGAAGAAAAAGTTAATCATAATACCTGAAGTTCAGTCATCTTACTTCAACTCAAACTTTGCAGCAAGATCCCCAAGGACAGAGGATATATTGTATACCCATCCTGTAAATCAGAGCATTTTTGTGCTTGCAAAGGCTTAAGTTATCTCAATTTGTTGTGTGCTCGGAGTGAGGCTATGGGCATTTTGTTGTATGATTATGCGGAGATTGAATATAATTGTGACCCTGTGATTGTTTGTATATTTACTACAGTCAAACAGCATATTCAAATAACATACTCACCTAGCTCATAGCTGTACCCCGCAGGATTTGTACTTATTGATGTCTCATGTCTCGAGCATGAATAAAGCACTAAACTAGCTGAGTTATCATTTCCCACATTTTTCTGAGCATCTAACATGGCATACAGCAGTGCAGAGCAGCTTCAGAGAAGAAACACTTTAAATGCACAGACTCTCACCAGCCACCCAATGAGCTAGTTCCTCATTTGGCTGTTTCCCTGGACCCTGGATGCAGCTTGGCAAGATGAGCTTACTGTTGGGAAGTTGAAGGTTAGCAGGTAAGATTGAGTTAGGGTGAGTACCTACCTATAACTGGGTGCTACTGCTATGCAGGTCTTGGCTAGGTTGCAAATATGTATGATGATTGAGGTTATGTCAGCTGTCGGGTTAGTCAGGTATGCACACTGTTCAGGTCACATTTCTATGGACACTGGCCACTGGGGCAAATTAAAACCTAATATAACCTAACCCAACTAAACCTACACAATTACTGACTACAGGAACAAAGCACCTACCTACTTGTGCCTGCATCTCGTACCATGTCAAAGCAGTGGCGGATCCAGGGGGGCAGAATGGGCATTTGCCCCCCCCCCCCAAACGGCATAATTTTAACATTACGCCTATGGACGATGCATGGAAAGAATTGATAAATTGTTATGGTTTGCCCCCCCCCCCCTCAAAACTCTGAGCTGGATCCGCCTCTGTGTCAAAGTAAAGTTCCTTGGTGGAAGATTACCCTCAGTACTTTTTATCCCAGCCCTGTGAAGAAAACTAATACTTCTAAGTTCTGAGTCACTGCTGGCCATCCACAGAAGAAAAAAATGCTGAGAGCTTTCAGCTTTGCCATTGTATATTGGACCAACAATCACTATCACAAATGACTAATGAACACATATGATAACATCGTTCCATGGATTGTCACATTGACAATTTTACTACAATCCTTTTTCCAAGAAATACAGTAATGATTAACATCAAAATCAACATAAAGTGGATTTAGTGATCCAAGCTTTCTCCTCCAGTAGCAATGGAATGATCGCATGTTTCATTTGCCAGACACTGAGTACCTGATGCACATTACCGTCTGCATAGCATCTAATCATAGTAAAGCTGCCCGAGTCCATTCATTCTAGATTTTTCACTTGATAGCTAGCACTAACTTATCTTGTAAGTTATCATTCAATAATATGCACTCATCAGTCAACATTTTCTGGCATGATACTGCTCAGCGTGCTCTTCAGTATTGATTCAAGATCTCAATCTGCAAAATTATAGCTTGTTTTCGGCCAATAATGATGAGCTCTTTTAATTTTACTTTTTCTTGCTGAATATGAGCCCGATCAACTTGCGTTTATCAACCAAAATTTCATAACTTCCAAGTTCAACTTGATATTGTTATTGCTAATGCTCAGGGTCAGGACCTCTGTCTGCTGTCAGGCTTCTTGATACTTGGGGTTGTTTTCAGTCAACATGCTTCTTAAATATGATATACGTCAATGTTAAGGGATTCAAAACATCCAACAAAACGACGTACAAGAGTACGGAAACCACCAGATAAACTTGAAAAGGGCCTTGGAACAGAGCCAAGCGGTGCTCCATTTGTTTGTTTACAATTATTGTAGTGCTGATGTATTTTTAGGACTCTGACGGTCGGCTTATAAAAAATGAAACGTTTTTACAAAAGTTGTAGTGCAACTAATTTTTATCTGAAAGAACTAAAATATTCAAAAGCCAAACACTATGCAATACATGAATCGGAACGAAAAAGTAACCCAAAAATCCAGCCTAATCACCGGCTCCTAAAACCGCGACAAAGTCAGCACTTTTCCCCGCAACTCGTTGTCCAGACGTAAATATGCACGACCGGTCGGGGGCTAGAAGACAGCATCAGAAAATATCAGCGTAACCACTATAAATAAAAATACTAACGCAGCATTTTCCTGAACTGACCCGACCTTGGCCCAGTCAGAGCACTGAGCACAGCACAACAATCACAAACACAAGGCCGTAACAGTAATGACCTTCACCTTTGGCCTTTGCAGTCACGGCAAATGCCATTCTTGTAAAGCTTCTTGCTATGAGCAATTTCGGCATGACCTTTATGTCAGTTTATAGGTTGAAACAGACCAACGATACAGAGAAATACAACAAAGTCAACACCAAGGCTATATAAACGGTCAACACTAACCACTTCACGCAAAAGCCACCTTGGCAAAAGCCACAACACAAAAACGAAAAAAAGAAATCAGCGCGGGCGGCAGCCAGATTGAAAGATTCTAACAGCTGCCAAATCTGAAGGAATTCTTCACCACAGGAAAATGAGGTTATGCCCCAACATGGGACGAGGTGAAGGTAAACATCAACCACCACAGTGATTGGTTGGTTGACAAGACCTGACCTGACCTGACTTGACATTGACCCGTGACTGACCTGGGACCTCCGAAGCCGCCAGCGCACCCGCAGCGGCCCGTCCACGAGTCGCAGTGGACGGACACGGAGCCCGTCTGGTTGCAGGCGCATTTCTGCCGGCCGCGGGACATTGCAGCTGAGTTTTATTATTTTGACATTCACAGAGTTTCTCTTACATCTATTATCTATGCGATATTTATGACTTCTATGTCTATATGTATGTGTCTAGTGTCTACTGTGTAGGCCTACGTCTGCTTCTAATGGTCGTGCATACTCCTGCATAGGTCATTATCGAAGTAACAGTTCTGCCTGAGACAAATCATGATGCATATTAGGCGAACTGCTTAGACACAGCCTCCACTGGTGATGAACATTGGGCACTGACCCTACAGCCGGCGGTGGGGTGGTGGCCCCAGTAGCCCGGCTCACACAGCTGACAGGCGGCGCCGACTGTGTGCGGCGGACAGGTGCAGTGACCCGTGTCGGGGTCACACAGGTGACCCGGCAGGTCACACGGGCCGCACTCTGCCAACGGGACCGCTCGGTTAGCACAGCAGCGTCAGGATACGAAATAGGCACCTACATATTTTCACTTTGTATAGCCTATTATATCTTTACTTATACGTCACAAGCAAAACACAAAAATACAGCTTCGGGAGTCCGGGACACACAACATAGTTTGCCAACAGATGCATAAGTATGACATACTAGCCCGACTATTCGCACCACCCCTCTAGTCTGTTTCTGTCCCTCTCCATCCCTCTCCATCCCGCCCTCGCCTTCCGCTCACCGCGGCAGCCGGAGCTGGAGAGCAGAAAGTAGCCGGGCAGACAGGCGGTGCAGCGCGCGCCGCCGACCCCGCGCCGGCACAGGCACCGGCCACTCTCCGGGTCACACACCTCAGGTGCCGAGCCCGGCGAGGCGCAGTCACAGCGGCGGCAGCCAGCGCCCGGCCGCATGCCGTAGTAGCCCGCCTGGGGGCGGAGACGGGGCGTGGGAAGGAACACGATACCGGTCAAGCCTGAAAACGGATCGAAACTGCTACGAATGGTGTCGTTCGTAAATGGACTAGAGTTACTTCGAGCAACACCTTTTGAAAACAGATGGGCATTACTTCGAACAGCGCCATTGGAAACGAGAAGGAGATGCCCGACGAGCACCGTTTGAAAACACCGATGGTCGTGCACTGAACATAAAAATGTTCACTTAATCTGCACGACAACGCACACGACCCGTATATAAAGTACACTTCTATCATATTTATGGATGTTACACATGGATGGTTTAGGTTTAAAAGCTGGTTTTCTGCCGTTTTGGGAGCCCCGGTAGTGTTTCAAGGAGAGTGGCTCGGGCTGTCCCGTGCCGGCAGTGTGCCGATCCATTATTCATGAGCCTGTAGATGGGATCGGAGGCGCGGGCCACGCGTACCGGCCGGCCGTTACCGATAAAGGATCGGCTACGCATAGCTGCGTGACGCTGCCCGCTGGCACGCGGGCCGGGGTTCCGGTCTCTACTATGGCCGCTTACTGCCTACTGCGGGCCGCTCGGCCGATAGTCATCTAGCGACTGGAATCTCTCTACTCAATCCCTCTTCTCGGTTTAGACGATTCACACTCGTTTATTCTCGCTTATCGGCATCTCTCGAAAGATAAGCACAAATTCAATTGAACCGCTACAATGCCTTCCGTTCCGGTCGCTATTGAAGGCGCTCAAAGAAAAACGAAACGGACAGTTTGAGCCGTACGACATCTTCACTCTGTCACATGATGCTGAATAAATTTGGTTTTGAGATGCTACTCGGTTTGACGCGTCAGTATAAAATCTATAGCAATGTCCTTTGGTTCGCTTGAAATTCAAACTTATTTTATTTATATCTTCGTCAACATCATATTATAGACATTTCTATGTTGATTATGGGACAGTTGTGACAAGTGTACGAATACCGATGTTCTGAGCGGACTCACCTTGCAGCGGTCACATGCCAGTCCTGTCACGTGCGGCTGACAGACACATTGTCCTGTTCGGATGTCACAGCGGGAGTGTACCGAGCCGACAGGGTCGCACCGGCAGCCTGAGAAGGGCAGCCGGCGTGTTAGCACTCTGCGAGGCCGTTCAGTTAATTCGATTAGGTCGGACGAGTTAACACTTCGAATCACTTCACGAGGGTCTACATCGGACATCCCATTAGATCCATTTATTCTTGCAGGAGTAACTAACGGTTTATTGCATGCACAAGGAACGATAAAGTCTGCTCTGAACACAAGGCACACAACTTTGTATCAATATCTCAACTTCAACGCAATCGAAAGCTGTATCCAGTTTGAGATATGAGCTGTTCGCACACGTACACAAAGTCAACTGTCAAAGAGGCCGACGTTACAGTGTGAGGAAGTGGGAGAGTGGGAGCTGGGAAGTGGAGGATGGAGGCGGCACCCGCCATTGAAGTGCGGCCCGCCCTCCCGGTCCCGATCGGACGCTGACAGGTCTTATCAACGGCAAACAGAGCGTGGCGCCACGATACGCCGCCAAGTGTGCGTGCAAAGCCGGCCGGGCGCACCGGGCGCCGCCGGCGTCACATGGGCCGTGTCGGGGCGGCGACGGCTCCAGACAGGAGACGGGAGAGCCGCCGTAACGGACAGGGCAGCCGCCGTAATGGACAGGACAGCCCCGCCAGACAGGAGGCAGGACGGCCGCCAGACAGGGCGGACAGAACAACTGCCAGACAGGGCAGGTCAGCCGCCGCGCCGGCCGGAGACAGGACAGCTGCCAGACAGGGCGGACCGGCCGGCCGGACACCGATGAGCCGAGAGCCGCCGCCACTACTTGCTATGGATGAGGCCGGCGGCCCGGCCGGTCAGCTTGTCATCATACATCACGGCACCTATAAACACGCGTCGGGTGGCCGCCGACCGCCGCCTACCACTTACGGAAGGGGATCATTTACAAGGCGAGCGGCGCCGACCGGCCGCGGCACGTGCCGGACAGGTGGGCATACCTGGCGGCGCCCAGCGAGATCATGACAGTCCATCGGGACGATAGTCGTCTACCCGGATCATAACGAGACAGCGTCTCTTGGGTCCATGTCAGTCCGTCTGACAGTCCACCATGGGGGGCGGATGCTAGGACCATGGCAGCAGACAATGTCTTTGGAGCCCCATAACGCACCCCAGCCATGTCAGCCCATCGCCTGCGTAACATCGCCCGCCTGGACTCGCAACCCCCTTCATTTCTTGCCGTTTATTTCTCTCGTCAGACAAGCCTGAAACGCTGCTCCCTCACGCACAGACAACAGCCCTCGAGGCGGCTCGACACGGTACGGTCCGACGCGGAGAGTACCGACGGCCCACGGCCCGTCGGTGACGACGACGGCCCTCTGCCCCCCCCCCCTCCTCTTCTGTTGATGGCGCCGATAAACAGTGCGTACGCTCACACAGTTCGGCGCCGCGTCAGGTTACTCGCCGCCTGGGAACCCCGGGAGCGGACCGGTGTGCATACTGTGAGACGTCAGCGGGCGGTGATCCGGAGATGAGGATTCGGGGAGTCTCGAAGTAGCGGAACGGCCTCAGTGGCGGGGAGCTCTATGACTTATGAGCTAATAGATTCATTTCATGATGTGGGTGAACTCGGTGACTGAGCCAACTGCATTGATTGTAATGCTAAATACGACTCAATCGGAACCATTAAATTGTAAACGGACACTCCGGAGAATTTAGTGCACCTTGCACAATTTAAAACTGATATTGTAAAGAGGGTGAAGAGAGTATATCCGGGTTACGCAGGTACAGTTTTTAAAACGTTCGTATATTATATATTCGTTACAATCACGGTTATCCGCGTGCCAAAAAATGTGTGGGTGTCCAGCTATGCATGCTATGAGTGGGTTGGAATGCGATAATGATAGGTGTCGTCACAATGCTATCAAGTGACGCAGGTGCATTGCAGATCCTTATGGGTCCGTTACTCATCTGGTAAACACGAGTGTAGCAGTGCTCTGATACTGTGCTGAGTATTGTTTGGTATTTGACTCATGCAGAGATGACTGGTCTATTTAAAACGATCACAGAGATACCAAAAATTGATCTACCTATCCTTCGCAGCGTACCTATATCGAATTCGGTTTCACGAGAGTAAAGCATAAATATAAGCAGGTCGCGTGAAAATTGTTCACAATCATTCGAGCTTTAATCTGTTGTGTCCTTACGTCCTCGTTTCTCAGGAGGCTTTGATGCCCAAATGCCGAACAATACAGACAGTGGGCCATTTGCATCTAAGTTGGCGTCCGTATTCCGTGTACAAGTAGTAAGAAATTGGGCATATTATACGCAATATGCATGTCGCATATGTATATGTATTTAGTACCTACGCAAATTACCACACATGGTGGTTGGCCGGTCTGGGCTGCAGAAATTGTGTTATTTGTGGGATCGGCTACCCTCGGAACTGGCAGTGTGCTTCGAAGCCGGCTGCCAAGTGTCAACAAATCAACATCAATCACCATGAAATATTGGCGTTCTTATGCACTCTTCCGAACGTTTCACACTTTGGTATAGCTGACACTGCCCACTAATCATTGATATAGGTAAGGAAAGTGTTGCGGCGAGGGTCAATCTTGACCTGGCATTATTCCACGAAAGTTGCGGACAATGGAAACGATATGCGCTGCTGGATGAGACAGAACTACGGGATGGGCGATGGCTAAGAGCTAAGTCAAAAACAAGTGAACAAGATCATTTGTGTTCCCTCCGAGAACACGGTCGATGCTTTTGTTCCGCGTGTGGAAACTCACCGTATTGGAGCCCCCTCCAGTCCCGGTACAGTCGATCCTGTCCCCTGTCCAGGTACTCGGCGGCTGCTGCCGTGGCCAGCAGCAGCGGCACCCACACCCTCAGCGACCTCATGGCACACCGGTCACCGTTCGGGGCGCCGCTCGGCCCGCTCTCCGCCACCGTCAGCGCCGCACTGAGCGATGGGCGCCGAGAGCCGGGCCGCCGACCGCCCACCCCACCCCACCCCGCCCCGCCCCCAGCCATGAGACGCGACGGTGTCGACGGTCATTACGGCACGTGAGAGGGAGGGGGAGAAGGGAGGGGAGGGTGAGCTCATAAATTGATAGAGGCAGAGTAGCGACAGCTCGAGTGTAGTGTGTACGTCTTTCGGCAAAATGTGCAAATTCAGCAAAATATTGAATGTATGATTATGCATGCATATTTAACGGTAAACGTCTCAGGTCTTCTTTGACGCTTCGTTGTGTTTCAGGATTTATGAAACTCAGTTGACTTTGAAACAAGGTTTGTTAATTAAGTCGTTAATGACTCCTGCAGGTGTAATTAGTTTTCCCCGGGAAACTGTAATAATATATTGAATGAATTACCTAACCCCACGGATGATTTCTAAGTGGCAAAAAAAATGGCTTCCGTCGTTTTTATTCATTTTTTGACACTATGCCCTGTGGACGCAGATTTGCGCTTTATGTATTTGCGCTTTATTCATTTTTATTTGTTTGTCCCTTTACAAAGTAAACGTCAACTGAGCCAGTGCTTACTTGAGACTGATCCAACGGATTTATCACGACGATCGGCTCCGGTATTAACCCTCGCCGGCCGAGGGGGGGGGGGGGGGGTTCGCGATAGCTCCGAGCACGCTGGCGATAGAGAGCTGAAACTTGGCATACCTGACCTTTGATCCAAGCCGCATCTTTTGACACCAACCGCATTTTTGGGTCAGGTCAGGTCACTGACCTATGACGTCATAAGTGAACCTCTGCACGGTCTTCAGATGTCGCAACTTCGCAACGCCCTCACTGCCAGAGGAGATGTCACAGGGAAATGAAACTTGCAGGATCTAGTATCCATTATGAGTCTCACAACTTGTATATCTCGGATTTTTCCTAAAGGTCATATGAGGTCAGGTCATTTTCGTGACCTCACCATTATAAGTCAATGGGGAAAAATGAAAACTGCTATTCTGGCGCCGTGAACGATCTCCAACTATCTCAAGCACACAGAATCGTGATTTGATGCACTCCTTGCAAGGTTAGATGCGTCACTTTTGCAATGTTGACCTTCCGTGACGTCATTTATGACGTCATCAAGGTCATATTAGTTTTTCGTTAATAACTCCCGATCAAATTGAGCTAGCGAGTCGAGAAAGCCACCAATGGACTCAGGAAGACCTACCGAATCGAATGATATGCGACATGACCTCTTTCGACCAACTTCGTGACCTGGGGGTGCTGACCTGACCTTGACCTGAGGTCAACACCCCAAGTTGACCTGACCCGAACAAAAAGTATATCATTCGACGCGCCTGAGCGAGGCGAACACGATGCTGCCAAAATCGCGGCTCTGCGGCCGTTTTTTGCGAAGTTATTCACCAAAAACTGAACCGTACCCTGGGGCACTTGACCTGACCTCAGAGGTCACCGGTTGACCTAGGACCTTAAAATTGGGTACCAATCTCTGCGTCTCGTAACGGCGCACACGCTCGTTTTTTTCCGCGACGCGCTAGCTCCACCAGGGGCGAAACGGCGAGGGGGGGGGGTCGTACCCGCCCCCCCCCCCCTCGGCCGGCGCGTATGTAGAAAACCAATAGGTCCGGCGAGGGTTAAATAAGTGATTTTCACAATTATGCCAGCTCAATTTCTCCCGATGCCTTACATCCGCTGCTCTCAGCTCGAGAGAGCAGCTGACCGTGCAGCTGCGGGCCTGTCTGCTGGGTGACCGGGGCTGACCTCAGACAGCTGCAGACAGCGCGGTGGGACACCGGGACAGGGTAGTTCAGCGGGTTAGTTACCCTGACGTCTGACAAATGGACCGTCACCTGCAGCGGGCTGGGTCGGTGGAGACCGACGCCGCTACGCCGACCCGAATTTTTGCAGTGAAGAGGGTAAGACAAAGTTGGGTCGTGAAGCCCCTCCGAGTTATCATCAGCTCCGAGAGCTGATGTGATGGTGATTGCTTCGGAAAAGATCATTCTTACTCATAACTCTGAGCTTTGACTTGAAACAGTCTTGTTATTACTTTTTTTTACAAGCTCTTCACTTATCTCATTAACACACTATCCCGTATAAATCGTGTAATGCGTAGATTGCACAATCACGTCCAGCCCAGGTATTGATCATCTCGAAATAAATGAATTAATCGATTCGACCAGAGACGGCTGCCGCTGTAAGCACTCTCCGTGGGAGACGGAGCGAGTCGGCTCGTAACCGGTTCCTGTCTCACTGTTCATCACAGACCGCGCTGTCCATCTAACCGCGCGGCACTCGACAGTCGACCGCCCTCGAGTGGGTCACCCCAGGTCACCGCGGGCCGCCGGGCTGCACGGTCTCGGTGCAGTGCTGGTCCGCAGTCCGCACCGGCTGATTAGCGGAGACGCTGGCGGCGTCCGTCGACAAACGAAGACAGACACCACCAGCGAACTGCCCCGGCTATTGTTTACCCTGGCAGTCGCCGGCGCGATGCGGGGGTCGCGAGCCAGCGGTCTGTGAGAAAATATTTCACTCTGATCTGGGAATTTGTATCTGGTGTTCATGAGCTGTGCTAGTGAGTGTATAACATGGCCGACTTTTGTCCGAGCTCCGGTAGTATAGTACGATCCCACCCTCGACGGGCGCGCCGTCACCATGGCGGGACAGGTGTCACCTGAGTGGCCCAGTGTGTCTATATGCGTGGGCCGCGGTGTTACCGTATCGGCCGCCGGCGCGACGCGGCTGTATCGCAGCCGCCCGTCCCGTGACGTGGCGCGGGCTGAGATATCGGGGCGACGAGTCACGGCGTCACTGCTGTGTGTAACGGAGCCGGAACTGGGAGATAGCCCGGTATCACCTCCATGGTATCACCCGGAGCCGGAACTGAGGGGCATCCTAACCCACGCAGGACCTGACAACACTGAAAACTGCGCGATGCATACCGCTCTGTTGTTCGTATATGTTCGTAGTTGGTCAATGCTTCTTATACGGTTACTAAATTATACGGTTACTGGGACGGACATAAACGGTATACATACAGTCGTTTGCATACGTCTACGGTCACGAACAATGAACATGTATGTATGTAAACGGTCACTTGCCTGGTAATACGGTCACACACACCGTCACCTACTTCCCTTTATATTGTCAGTTATGCGAATTTATAGGACTACCTATTACTCAATGTAGGTAGTATATTTATATACCGATTATTTGCGAATTTAAATACCTATTACTCAAGCATTGTTTCTTCCATATAGGAACATATCTAAAAAGCGGAAGCCACGAACCCTCGGAAGGCAAAACTATGAAATACAGTCCACCTTCACTTCGAATCGCCATTTTCAATACCGCCCGGAACGAGCAGACCTTCTTCCCGATACGGAATCTGTCGGCACGCAGAACTGACCGTGCACCTTTAACCCGATAACAGCCGGGTCTCCCTTCATTTCTCTCTCTTTCTCTCGCCCTCTCTTCCACTTTCTCCCTCCCTCCCCTCTCTCTCTCTCTCCCTCCATCTGTCTCCCTCTCTCTCACACACAGTCTCACTGCAGTCACCCCTCGGACGTCTGAGGCTGGCCGTTTGTCTCTGTCGGCCTTCGCTCGACCTTGCAACAATGCCACTCGGCCGGATACGGCGGCGCCGGCGGCGCGGCGGCGACTCAAACGGCGCGCGCCACCGCGAACACGGCGCACCGCGCCATATATGGCGCAGTCGGCACAGCCGGGCGCCACGGGCAGCGGGGAGGACGCGCGCGGCTACAGGCTGGCGTTCAAACCGCGCCTCCGACATGTTACGGCTGCCGGGATACGGCAACAGGTGGCTTTTACGTACTACAACTTATTATTTTAGCGTAAAAGAGGGCTTTCTAAATTAATTGAGGCCCTGTTTTAAGCGCAACTTATACGACGCTAACTTAATGGACATACAATAAAATATATACTCCAGAACGCATGGGTTTTCTGCATTGTGTCTCGTGTATGGGCGCCGCTACTGTAGGTATGCGGTTCGGTGTAGCCCATATGCGGCTGATAGCACAGCCAATGTGACCGACGCCGTCGATTATGTACTCGTATATGTGTGTCACTAATGCACGCCCAGCTGGGAAGGTCGGAGACTGCTGACTCGGCGGCTATCACCAGCGTGATCTGATAACCGACAAACACAGGGATTCATGTAACGTCTAATCTGCCTCATGATACGCGACTTTATCGGAATGATACTAGGTATCGCTTTTTATAATATAAGCTTGGAAGTTAAATTTAGCCTTCGCCCCAGTGGGGGGGGGGGGCATATGTTACCACCCTGTCGCGTTTTTTGCGTGTGAATAAAAAAAAAAAAAACGGCGCGTAGCGCCGCGCCGCTTGGGGTAGCTTTTGGTACATCAATTTTGGACAAGGTGTGAAATTTTTGACCCCAGGTCATGTCAGGTCAGGTCACCAGGTCAAGTTAACTGACCAAGCCTAAAAAAGTTTGCAATCATGTCCAGCCTGCAGTGTTTGTCAGAAAGGTTTTAAACTTGGTGGATTGCATGCTGTTATGGGCGCCTACAATTTGTATATCTCGGATTTTTTTTTTTATATCCGTGACCTAAGGTCAGGTCAGTGGCATGACCTTTCCATTAGGGGAGAGTGGGGAAAGATGCCAAGGGTTTTACTATGTCATATATTATTCGAAAATGACGATGGGAAAGCAAAAACTTGGAGTTTCAACGGAAGCCGACATCATTTTTCTCCAAAAATATCACACTTTCGTGCCTGAAATATTATTACTTTTTTGCTATTAAGCATTTTCCTGAAGAAGTGAAAGGGGGCATCTTACCCCACAGGGTGGGAAAGACGCCCCCTGACGTTGGGAAAGATGCCCCCTGCACTATAAGTGACATAAATGGGCACGTGAATCGCCTGAACGAATCAGTAGTCCCTTCGAGCCTGCAGTAGACACCAAACGTCATCATATAGGTCTTCATGATGCTTGAGGGCCCTCGAGCCCATCGTGGGGACCTCCGATGCCAGTGCGGCCCGTGGGGCCAACGTGGGAGCCCTCAAAGGATGTCGTGATGGGCCCTGGAGCCAATAATTGGGCCCACAGAGGCCGTCGTGAGGGCTCTCAGAGTCAGATGCCTCCCAAAAAGTCGCTATGTGGGCCGAGAGACCGGCATGGGGAGCACCCGACCGTACTGGACTCTCAATAGTCCCAGATCGGCTTTTGTCTACATCACAAGTATGTAATAAATGATTTGACGGGCTGTTTGAAGGACAGCCTACGGATTTAGGGGGGCGTCTTTCCCCATCAGGACAGGGGGCATCTTACCCCAAGGTACCGAAGTAACATTAAATCAGTACAATTTGTTAGCCATAAAACTACACCATGAAACAAACTGTTTGGGACACAGTACACGCATGCTAATGTATCACGACTATAGCAAGGGACGCAAAAATTATTTACCTTCTTTGATATTTACAATGTTCTGACACCAAAATATTTTTTGAAAGCAGCAAATAAAAAACATGCAGTCATCAGCCAGCCGTTGCCCAACTGAGCTTCGCAATTTTTTTGTGCCGTTAACAAGGCAGGCTTCCGCTTTACGCTAAGAACATTAATTTCCAGGTCCGATTCTTTGTTTCGTCGCTAGAGGGGGTGGGGCGTCTTTCCCACCCTGGGCATCTTACCCCACTCTCCCCTACAAGTCAATGGAGAAAAATGAAAATGCCTCTAGATCCGTGTGTACGCATAGGAACAGTCCAAATATATCAAAATCACAATGATTTAGTCCACTCGTGATGACCAAGGTGTCATTTTTGCTGATAGCCTCTAGAAAGGTCATCCGAGGTCATTTGAGGCTACAAACAGTTTTTTGCCAATAACTCGCGGATTGGAAAGAGATAGAACGCTAGGGATGGTCTCATTGTGTTTGTCTTGCCGAGACGCATCGACTGATATGCAACATGACCTTTTCCGGTCAGGTCATGACCTTGACCTGAGGTCAAATTTTCAAGTTGACCTTTCAAGGTCAAATTATAGTTCATTCTATAGTTCATTACTAGGGTTACCCGCGTGCTCCGCAACGCTAAGGGGGGATTTTTTGACCCGTGGGTTGGTCTGTGTCGATTTGGTTGGTAAATATCCATTTCGTTCGATTGCTTTTTGACGGCCAAGCATTTTGTAAGAAAACAAAAAGATACATCGCATCGAGGTGCCCGTGTCGTATTATCATGCGTTCTACTTTAGAATGATTCGAAAACTGGCGTGAAGTCTTTTGAGGGCCATCGATGAATTTCGCTAAAAATGACAATGTAATGGTTTGGAACATTTACATTTTTAAGGATACTGTTGCTAATTATGCAAAAATGAAGAGTGAATATTGGACAGAATTGAATGCTCTATCCAATGGTACCATATTCAATTGCCAAAGGTATCAGGTTATGCAGCAAACCCCGTGTGATTAATAAAGTGGCACAAAATTGACAAACACCATTTTCTCCTGTGATTTGCACCACCTTGATTTGGATCGATCAGCTTTTCATAATTTTTATATGAGAGGCGGTACCTTTCTCTTGCAAATAGGCGTTGATTCAACTCGCTCCATTTAACGGTCACCTAAAAATAAAATTAATTCCAAAATCCCTCAAAAACCGCAATTTTTCAAATAAAAGTGCCCTCTCCGGTGCACGTGGCGCGTGCTATCCTCTGCATTGCACACCATTCAATAGCCCGTTCAATTCTGTACACGATGCTGTTTTCCCCGTGCCGGTCGGATCCCTGGTCACCAAGATATTGCACGGGAACTGGACCCGTGTCGGCCAAAATTAGCCATTTTCGCCCGATTTCGCACGCCGATTTATACATGTAAGGTCTATGACGCGAATTTGCACTTTTTGAGCACGCACCACGCGCTCCCTATCGACCCGATCGAGCTGAGACCCCTCAAAGGCACGTCGCGCATCCTTGATCTATGAGTTGTGCAAATTTCACCGGGCTAGGTGCAACGGTTTGGCCTGTAGTCCACGCAAAGCACCACCAAGTCGGGACCTCGGTAACGGACAGACGCACCCTCCTCAAATAGTAATATAGACAAGCGGCTGCGCCACTTGCTTCGCGGCGTAGCCATAAAATGCGGCAGCAGCCAATTTGCTTTCGAACGGTGTTTGATTTAAATTGATCTGTCGTCTGGAAGCAGAGATATGGACGGAAACGTGCAGAGGAAAATTTTGAGCATAATAACTTAGTTGGATGAAATTTGGGTCATACGGGATCAAGTCAGGTCAAGTTGGTCATCCCCGGTCACACTGGGTCAGGCCAGGTCGTATAGGTCACCACGTCACATTAGATCGGCCTGTACCACACTTCTACTACTTCTACCCCTACCCCTACCCCTACCACTACCACTACTCCTACCACTACCTCTACCACTACCACTACTACAACTCCTACCACTACCTCTACCACTACCCCTACCCCTACCACTACCCTACCCCTACCACTACCCCTACCCCTACCCGTACCACTACCCCTACCACTACACCTACCCCTACCACTACCCCTACCCCTACCACTACCCCTACCACTACCCCTACCACTACCCCTACCCCTACCACTACCCCTAACACTACCCCTACCCCTACCACTACCCCTACTACTACCCCTACCACTACTACTACCCCTACCACTACCCCTACCACTATCCCTACTACTACCCCTACTACTACCACTACTACTACCCCTACCACTACCCCTACCACTACCCCTACTACCCCTAACACTACCCCTACCACTACCCCTAATACTACCACTACCCCTACATATACTACTACCACTACATCTACTACTACCACTGGGTCATGTGAGGTCACAGACTATCAGATAAACTGATAAACTAAAAAAAAGAGTTCCTAACCCTGCTCCTACTCGTGTCACCCCATTATTCTTTGCCCTATTTGGTGGAAATGGCGCCTTGTGACAAATGTGGCGCATTGCGACAAAAGTGGTGCATTTCTTCCTGTCCGTTTGTCATGCATCCTTCCACCGAATCGCACGTTTATCGGACCATATTTGATAAAGTTGTGCGTTTTGTGACAAAAATGGCGCCTCGTGACAAATGTGGCGCATTGCGTCAAACGCGGTGCATTTGTGTAAGCGCATTGAAAACTGTCTTTATTTACCGAAAATCAACATCTTCATTCGCCTCTGTTTATCAAAATAAATAAGCTGTCAATCTGCAAATGAGAGGCACCCGCCGCCGATCGTCATGCATTTTAGTTGCAAAGTTCGTCGAACCCGGCTGCCGATGACTTGAAGACCGAGCAAATTTGGAGAAAATGCACCTTTTTCCAGGGCGTGCCACGTGCGAACCATCGACCCCCCGAGACTCGAACCTCGACACTGCACGTGCGCGTGACGTCATCAACACGCTGTGAAAATTTCAGCCCCATCGACCGCACCGTTTGACCTGCGCACGGCGTCAAAGCACCCCTCTGCACGGTGCAAACAGAAACACAGACAGACAGAGTTTCATTTCACAAATAGTATAGTAGACAAGCGGCTGCGCCACTTGCTTCGCGACGTTGGTTAGCATTACGCAGAATAACTCAGTTGGAGTGATTGTTATTTCGAGTTGATATGACTTCTAAAGGTCTTGATGTACGCGAAAAGATGAATCAAGGGGTCAGAATGGGTTTAATTTCCGGTAAATGGGTCATCTCAGGTCATAGGTGTCACGAAGGTCACGCTGGGTTATTTCAGGTCACCTTAGAACACACTGGGTCATGACATGTCAAATTTGTTCCCTCAGGTCACAATGGGTCACGTCAGGGGGTCAAGGGGTCAGGTGAAGTCACTTTCGGTCAGGCCAGGTCACATTGGGTCAAACTGAGTCACGGAGGTCACACTGGCCCACCTGGGTCACTTCAGTTGAATAGTTAACCCGTGTCACGCTGGTTCTGCTCATAGGTGTCAGGTCACGGGGAATACCTGGAGGCATATTTTCTTCGTAAAAAGTATGTGAAATGAAATTAAACCCATCCTAATGTAACCCAGCCTAGCCCGCCATAGCCTGACCTGACCTCATCTCACCTGATCTAGCCTGACCTAACCTAACCTTCAATGTTCATATTGATAAGCGCGGTTTAAGTCGTTCAGATTGTCATTCTGCCGTAGGCTTCAGGTCTACCTACGGTTCCCGCTTGCCTAGCGTCGCGAGGCAGCATTACTGTACATATGTACAGTACGCCAAATTATCAACGTGCGGGTGTTGATATTGTTCCAATTGGTGGTGGAGTTGCTTACGAATGGGCTGAAGCTGAGCACATACTGATCTTTTTTTTTACTAAGGGGCTTATTTTCGTACCACATACTCACTCATCTTATTTGTGTAGGCATTGCGGCACAGCATATCCGCAGGCGCTCTTAAGCTGCCATCTATGGGCGAAAGATGAAGATAGCGATCATTGCGGCACAGTATCACCACAGGCCGGCTGAAAACGTGTATGGGCAAACGGCGATGGCCAATGGCAATTAAAAAACAAACGCTTTTTTCTGCCAGCACATCTTGGTGCAGATAATTGACGTACTTTAATCCACCGTCATCCAGAGCCGTAATCTAAATCGGCCTTTTAAGCTTCGGTTTTTTTTTTTTGCTTATCATACTGTGCATCATTTGATGGGTCGTCATATTAATTTTGATTGTTCATAACTTTGTGTAGCAATTGGCGACTCACCTAGTAGCTTTCTGTGGCTCTTAGTATTAAACACGGTCTGTCGCGAGAAGACGGCCACATCAGACCGCGTCTCCATTTTTTGTTAACCCAGGAGGAGACCCCGGCAGGTAGCGGAAAGCTAGCGCCGATGCAAGCCGGTTAGATCAACCTGGGAGGAGCAGCAGCCGATCTAGGTGGAGCTGGAGTGGAGATCGGTGTTGTGGATGGTCGGGCGCGGTCTACAGAACCTCTCTGTAGACGACGTTGCGTGTAGTCGCCGCGGTGGTGAGCGCCTCCACCGCGTCGAAGTCGCCAACGCGCGACAGGGCGACGTAGAGCTGCCCGTGCGTGAAAACCGGACTGGGCAGGTAGACGCCGATCTTCCTTTTGGTTTGCCCCTGGCACCGGTTGATGGTGAGGCAGAAGGCCGCTTTGACCGGGAACTGGAGTCGCCGGAAGCTGAACCCCAGTCCCGAGTCAGCGCCGTCCACCTCCAGGGGCAGACGCGGCAGAAACAGGGCCTCGCCGCGGCTCGGTCCGGAACCCACGCGCAGCTCCAGCACGTTGGCGTGGAGCCTGGAGACGGTGCAGAGCGTGCCGTTGACAGTCCTCGGGGCGTCGATGTTTCTCATCAGGATCACAGGCGCACCGACCTGAAACAGAAATCATTCAGATGTAATAATATCGGTATTATATAATTACAGTTGTTTGGCATTAGCCAATGTCTTTTTTTAGCCATGGTTCACCACGGAATGAATTGAGCTTTTATGAGGGTAATGTACGCAAACAACGCAAACACAATGAACTCAAACACAATTAATGAGACAGAGAGTTGATGGGATTGCAATAATGCTAGTAACAGAACAGCCTTTTCAATAAACATTGTTTTTATGTAGTAGTGGGTGTCAAATGTTTAAATCATTCGCGCGTAGGTTAAAAAGAAAAATTTAGTTATATGTTCACATTTACATTTAAAAACGATCGACAAAAAAATGCGTGGCGATTGCTGACATTCTTGCATTAACAATGTTTGTAAACTTATCTGTATGGGCTTCATTGCTCACCTTGAGAGTCAGGCGATGAGACGGCAGTCCTGAAAGCTCCAGGCTGTTGAGGACTTCCGTTGGCATTGGCACAGCCTCCGGATCGGACATGCTGTCGACGCTTCGGTATTCCGCTGTCGCGCCAGGCAGCATCTCCATCAGCACCTGGTTGACCTTGTCGACATCTGAGTTCCTTGGAGTCAGAATGGCCCGCTGGTGGAGCCACTCGGTGTCCACATAGTTGGCCGCCAGGTCCGGAAAAATCCGAACAGCCAGCTCCGCGACGCTGGTGGCCGGGCTTCGGATTTCTGGCGGCACGTCAATGACGTCCTCTCCCAGTTCCCGGACGATGGGCAGCTCGCCGTTGCCGACTCTCAGCAGGAAGTCCGAGAATTCGGCTGCTCTGGCGTCTTGATGCAGCTGGACGCGCATGTTAGTCTCCAGCTGCATCACCGTCACAGTGTTCCAGAGCGGGGACGACTTCAGGCAGGCGTCCACCACTTGGGCCCGGCAGCCGTTCCTTACAACCGGCAGAATTTGCCGCCAGTCGCCGGACAGCACCGTCACGATGCCGCCGAACTCCTCGTCGGTGTCTCGCAGATCGCGCAGGGTGCGATCCACTGCCTCTAAGGCGCGCCGGTTGGCCATGGCCGCCTCATCCCATACGATGAGGCGACAGGCTTGGAGCAGCTCCGCCTCCGGCGTCCTCTGTGCGATGCCGCACACGTTCTCATCTGCGTGCAGGCGCAGCGGGATTCTGAAGCGGTAGTGCGCCGTAGTGCCGCCGTCCAGCAGGCAGGCGGCAATGCCGGACGTGGCCACTGCGACGGCCACCGCTCCCTGGCTGCGCACCTTGGCGAGCAAAACGTTTTCCAAAAACGTTTTACCGCAGCCTCCGGGAGCCTGAAGAAAAATGGCGCCACCGGTTCCGTCTGTCAGCCGCCTGACGACTTCGTCGTAGACGACGCGCTGGTCCGCCGTCAGTAGGTGCTCGTTTTCTGCCAGATACGCCTGCTGCTGGTCGAGAGCGAAGTCGGGCTCGGCTTCAGCTGCAACAGGGCCGGCAGGGGGCTCCGGCAGACCGAAGCTGCCGACCGTCCGGCCGCAGAGACGCTGCAGGCACAGTCCGACTCGCCGGAGCGTCTCGAGCTGGATCTCCTCCGCCGACATGCAGGGTCTGCCGGCGGCGCGCAGCAGCTCCTGGCGGTGCGTTATGTCCTCGGACATGGCCGGCTGGTGAGCCGCCCAGAGCCGCACCGGATCACACGTGGCGCCACCCTCGGTCAGGATGATGGCGAACAGGAGCCGGAGCCGGTTGGGATAACCGCTGGTGGTGGCCTCGGCCAGCGCGCGGTCCCAATGCTCGCCGTCCTCCAGCAAGCCTCTGGCTGAGCACGCCTGCTGCATGGTGGGCAGCACCTCGCCGTCCACCGTCCTCAGGTCCAGGAAGCTGGTCGGTCCTGGCACGCGCATCAGCAGCAAACGCAGGAAGAACAGGTCTCCTGCGCGCGGAGTGGTGGTAAAGATGCGTGCCAGGGTGTCCGTGGTGAACAGCCCCGGCTCGGTTGGGTGTGGCGCGCCGCGCTTCCGTCGCTGCCAGCGTGTCGCACCCGTATTCCACGTATAATGCTTCGGCACCTCTGTGTACAGTAGAGTACGGGCGAATTCATCAGCGGCGCACAGTTGGAAGAAGGCGGTCAGCTTGGAGGCCCGCTGGTTTTGAAGGACAGCCTCCAGATTGGCGTCGTTGCGGAACTGGAGCCGCCGATCGTCGTCGCTGAGGTGGAGGTCCAGCTGCTCAACGGCCGGATGGTGCTCGTGGATCGGCAGATCTAGCAGCCGCCAGGACGCCTCCATTGAGCCGAGGTACCTGCAGTGCTGGTAGGTGGCCACCTCGTCCAGCTCACCCTCCTCAGTCACCACGGTGTAGGTGGACTGGTCGGAGCCCTTCTGGACGTACTTGACCACGTACTTGACACAGGAGGTCGAATGGCTTATAACCTCCACGTTGACGTGGGCCTTCAGGGCACGTAGCAGGAATGGGTTGAAAGGGACAACCCAGCGGCTGTCCAGCCGCGGGCGGTCTCGGTCGGCAGGACGGCCGCGCGGCTCGGTGGTGAAACCGCCGTCCTCCGGGGCGCGGCGGCGGTACAGCGGGTAGCCGCGCTCCGGCACCACCGTCTCCCGCTGGAAGTTCCGGGGGAACTTTTTGGTGCAGGCGCCGTCTGCCATGCACGCCGACCTCGGGTTGAGGCCGCCGCACGGGCCGTGCACCATTTTGGACCTGACCAAGTCGTGCAGCTCAGGATCCTCGGCAGGGTCCGGCAGCTCCGCCACCACACAGTCGTCGATTTGGTCGGGACGCGGCTTGTCGTCCGGCACCATCCAGACGACGATGTGGGCGTGTGGCAGGCCTGAAAAAGACGAAATTGGTAAATGAATTGAATGGATAATAGCAGATTGTGCCATGGGTAAAAACTGATATACCAGACCGTGAGACCTATGTATATTTCTGACTGTGATAATGATAAGTATGTACAACAAATGTTGTACGTGATGAGTTGTTCTATAAGTCAGCTAGTAATATAAAGGCTAATGTTATGTGTTTCATGACATCAAAAACATAATTTTATATGAAATGGATAGAATAAACAATTAAATGTTTGACCCTGTTCGAACGAATCTACACAGCACATTGGCGAAATATTTCAAGTGGCCAATAATAGCAGTATCATGACAATGCTGCACCGCCGTGTCCGAGTGCTATGCGGTGCAGTATCACGATTGCCGAGTGTGAGCGAGACAATAAGCAGTATTTCTGAACTCACCTCGTTTCTGCCATTCGATGGTGTGCATGATGGCACGCACGCGTCCGAGGACGCCGCCGCGCAGCAGGTGCAGCAGGCCTCGCATCTTCAGGTGAAACACCTGCGACACGATGTCCGGGTGATCGCTGGCCTGGTCCCCGGGGAACTGCCGTTGGACGGTGTCGACAATTTCTGGCCAGTGCGGGTCACAGGTTACCGTGACAAAAAAGTCGGCACCGCCGAACTCACGCACATAGGTGAGGCAGTCTTGGAGTTTAGCCATCATATACCGTGGCCCTCCAGTGAAACTTGCTGGCAGCACGACACGGCCCACGGTTCTGCCGGCCTGCTCGCCCGCCTCCAGGGCGTCCCGGATGCCACGGATGGACTCCGCGCGGAAGCCGTTGAGTCCGTCCTGGTGGGTACGGATGTAGTTTAGCCGGTCGGCTTCCACCTTCACCTCCGCGTCCACCAGCAGCTGCTGGAACAGCCGACGGCCGCGTGGCAGGATGTTAAAGTGGCCGGGTCTGTAGCGCAGGTGAAACGCGTAGTATTGACGGGCAGTGACGGCCAGCTCTTGTTTCATCGCCAGCGACCAGCCGTCTGTGCCGAGCGGGTGCAGCAGCACGTAGTGTAGCGGATCGTATGATCGGTGGAACTCGTCGATCCGCCGCACCGCTCCGTCACGGTGCTGCAGGATAATGTCGCGACGGCCGACTGGCTCATTGGGCATGAGCACCGCCACCTCTCTGCAGGCGGGCAGGTTGAAACGGCGCTCATGCTCCGACAGCGGACGGCGCTGCTCAGTCATCACGATGCGGCAGCGCTGGTCGGGCAGGGCGTCTAGCATCTGCTTGGCGGGCAGCAGCGACTGGATGTAGACGTTGCAGCGCTGCAGCACCTGTTCCAGCAGTCGCAAGACGTCCTCGTTGAGGCCTTCAAAAAGGCCGGTCCGCGCCGCCAGCTGGTCGTCCAGGAAATAAATTTGCATGAATTTTGCTTCAGCTCCATCGGCCGGGAGGAGGCTGCCGATGAAGTGACAGACGTTGCCCTGGATAGTAAAGTTGGGATTCCATCCCGGCTGACGCACCTCCTTGCAGCCCATGCTGGCGAGCTGGAACGCGCAGTTGTAGCGTCGGATGTTCGTCATGAACTCGCGGTGCAGCGGCGAGTTGGTGGTGAAAAGCTCGGCGAGTTCGGGCGGAGGCGGCGGGTGGAAGGGCGGCGCGACCTTGCCCTTGCTACAACAGGAGCCGGGTGCTTCCTTGGCCCAGCACAGAGCGCCACAAAAGCCGCAGACGTGCTCCATTCGACCAATGTTGAGCGCAGCCGGCATGGCGAAAGTCTCTGGACTGTAGTGGCGGCCAAGTTGCTCCGGGTGGGCGAGGCGGAGTGCCGCGCGCCGGTCGCGTAAATACGCGGCACGCTCGGCCTGCTGCTCGGCATTTTGCTGGCGCCATGCCTGCGCGTGCTGCTCGGCGTCGGCAGCGAGCCGAGCCTGGCGCTCAGCAGCGGTCTCTGCCTCCCTGGCCTGGGAGAGACGCTCAGCATTGGCAGCGAGCCGAGCCTGCCGCTCAGCGGCGGTCTCAACCTCCCTGGCCTGGGAGAGACGCTCAGCATTGGCAGCGAGCCGAGCCTGGCGCTGCGAAGGCGTCTCAGCTTCCCTGGCCTGGGAGTGCCGTTCGAGGTCAGCAGCGAGCCGAGCCTGGCGCTGTGAAGGCGTCTCTGCCTCCCTGGCCTGGGAGAGACGCTCAGCATTGGCAGCGAGCCGAGCCTGGCGCTGAGCATCGGTCTCAGCTAGCCGGTTTGCTGCAGTCCTGGCTCGCTGAAGTTCCAGTCTTCGAGCTCTTGCAGCTTGTGACGCGCTAACATGGGCTTGGGCAGCGTCGCCAACACCCCCAGCGTCGATCTCGGTGAGGAAGGTGGTCGGAGCCGCAGACATGGACGATTGTGGCGTCTCAGTGGGGGTGGCCGGTGGTCGCTCGGTGGCAGTGGCCGTGCCGCTAGTTCCCTGGCGGAAAGAAATGGGACATGGGAGCGTTACAATTGGTAAAGGATGATGCCGATGATGCAATGACAAACGGACTACGTCTTGAGAAATGAGCGCATATTTATAGCGATTAAATATGCATCATGCAATGTTGCGAAGTCGTCGTTTTACCGAATATGCGATAATTGTGGACGTATCAAAAAGACTGCTTTCCTTTCAAACACTTACCGCGATCGGGATGGCCGGCGCCAAAGCGGTGGGCGGCTGCTCGGTGGCAGCGGCTGTGCCGCTAGGTCTCTGGCGGAAAGAAATGGGACATGGGAGCGTTACAATTGGTGAAGGATGATGATGATGATGCATTGACAACCGGAATACGTGTTTAGAAATGGGCGTTTATATTAATAGCGATTGAATATGCATCATGCAATGTTGTAAGGTCGTCGTTTTACCGAATATGCGATAATTGTGGACGTATCAAAAAGACAGCTTTCCGTCCAAACACTTACCGCGATCGGGATGGCCGGCGCCAAAGCGGTGGGCGGCTGCTCGGTGGCAGCGGCTGTGCCGCTAGGTCCCTGGCGGAAAGAAATGGGACATGGGAGCGTTACAATTGGTGAAGGATGATGATGATGATGCATTGACAACCGGAATACGTGTTTAGAAATGGGCGTTTATATTAATAGCGATTGAATATGCATCATGCAATGTTGCAAGGTCGTCGTTTTACCGAATATGCGATAATTGTGGACGTATCAAAAAGACAGCTTTCCGTCCAAACACTTACCGCGATCGGGATGGCCGGCGCCAAAGCGGTGGGCGGCTGCTCGGTGGCAGCGGCTGTGCCGCTAGGTCCCTGGCGGAAAGAAATGGAACATGGGAGCGTTACAATTGGTGAAGGATGATGATGATGATGCATTGACAACCGGAATACGTGTTTAGAAATGGGCGTTTATATTAATAGCGATTGAATATGCATCATGCAATGTTGTAAGGTCGTCGTTTTACCGAATATGCGATAATTGTGGACGTATCAAAAAGACAGCTTTCCGTCCAAACACTTACCGCGATCGGGATGGCCGGCGCCAAAGCGGTGGGCGGCTGCTCGGTGGCAGCGGCTGTGCCGCTAGGTCCCTGGCGGAAAGAAATGGGACATGGGAGCGTTACAATTGGTGAAGGATGATGATGATGATGCATTGACAACCGGAATACGTGTTTAGAAATGGGCGTTTATATTAATAGCGATTGAATATGCATCATGCAATGTTGCAAGGTCGTCGTTTTACCGAATATGCGATAATTGTGGACGTATCAAAAAGACAGCTTTCCGTCCAAACACTTACCGCGATCGGGATGGCCGGCGCCAAAGCGGTGGGCGGCTGCTCGGTGGCAGCGGCTGTGCCGCTAGGTCCCTGGCGGAAAGAAATGGGACATGGGAGCGTTACAATTGGTGAAGAATGATGATGATGATGCATTGACAACCGGAATACGTGTTTAGAAATGGGCGTTTATATTAATAGCGATTGAATATGCATCATGCAATGTTGTAAGGTCGTCGTTTTACCGAATATGCGATAATTGTGGACGTATCAAAAAGACAGCTTTCCGTCTAAACACTTACCGCGATCGGGATGGCCGGCGCCAAAGCGGTGGGCGGCTGCTCGGTGGCAGCGGCTGTGCCGCTAGGTCCCTGGCGGAAAGAAATGGGACATGGGAGCGTTACAATTGGTGAAGGATGATGATGATGATGCATTGACAACCGGAATACGTCTTTAGAAATGGGCGTATATATTTATAGCGATTGAATATGCATCATGCAATGTTGCAAGGTCGTCGTTTTACCGAATATGCGATAATTGTGGACGTATCAAAAAGACTGCTTTCCTTTCAAACACTTACCGCGATCGGGATGGCCGGCGCCAAAGCGGTGGGCGGCTGCTCGATGGCAGCGGCCGTGCCGCTAGGTCCCTGGCGGAAAGAAATGGGACATGGGAGCGTTACAATTGGTGAAGGATGATGATGATGATGCATTGATAACCGGAATACGTCTTTAGAAATGGGCGCATATATTTATAGCGATTAATGCATCATGCAATGTTGCGAAGTCGTCGTTTTACCAAATATGCGATAATTGTGGATGTATCAAAAAGACTGCTTTCCTTTCAAACACTTACCGCGATCGGGATGGCCGGCGCCAAAGCGGTGGGCGGCTGCTCGGTGGCAGCGGCCGTGCCGCTAGGTCCCTGGCGGAAAGAAATGGGACATGGGAGCGTTACAATTGGTGAAGGATGATGATGATGATGCATTGACAACCGGAATACGTGTTTAGAAATGGGCGTTTATATTAATAGCGATTGAATATGCATCATGCAATGTTGTAAGGTCGTCGTTTTACCGAATATGCGATAATTGTGGACGTATCAAAAAGACAGCTTTCCGTCCAAACACTTACCGCGATCGGGATGGCCAGCGCCAAAGCGGTGGGCGGCTGCTCGGTGGCAGCGGCTGTGCCGCTAGGTCCCTGGCGGAAAGAAATGGGACATGGGAGCGTTACAATTGGTGAAGGATGATGATGATGATGCATTGACAACCGGAATACGTGTTTAGAAATGGGCGTTTATATTAATAGCGATTGAATATGCATCATGCAATGTTGTAAGGTCGTCGTTTTACCGAATATGCGATAATTGTGGACGTATCAAAAAGACAGCTTTCCGTCTAAACACTTACCGCGATCGGGATGGCCGGCGCCAAAGCGGTGGGCGGCTGCTCGGTGGCAGCGGCTGTGCCGCTAGGTCCCTGGTGGAAAGAAATGGGACATGGGAGCGTTACAATTGGTGAAGGATGATGATGATGATGCATTGACAACCGAAATACGTCTTTAGAAATGGGCGTATATATTTATAGCGATTGAATATGCATCATGCAATGTTGCAAGGTCGTCGTTTTACCGAATATGCGATAATTGTGGACGTATCAAAAAGACAGCTTTCCGTCCAAACACTTACCGCGATCGGGATGGCCGGCGCCAAAGCGGTGGGCGGCTGCTCGATGGCAGCGGCCGTGCCGCTAGGTCCCTGGCGGAAACAAATGGGACATGGGAGCGTTACGATTGGTGAAGGATGATGATGATTATGCATTGACAACCAGAATACGTCTTTAGAAATGGGCGTATATATTTATAGCGATTGAATATGCATCATGCAATGTTGCAAGGTCGTCGTTTTACCGAATATGCGATAATTGTGGACGTATCAAAAAGACAGCTTTCCGTCCAAACACTTACCGCGATCGGGATGGCCGGCGCCAAAGCGGTGGGCGGCTGCTCGGTGGCAGCGGCTGTGCCGCTAGGTCCCTGGCGGAAAGAAATGGAACATGGGAGCGTTACAATTGATAAGCGTTGATGTAACTGAAGATAGTTTTTTAATGCTAAGTACGGTACGACGATACTTGATCGCAATAAAGTAATTCACCTTTCCAAAAATACTTACCGCGTTTGTTCTTGCCAGGTGCAAAGCATTGGTCCTCTGTCGCCCATCGGAAGTGACCGGCTGGGTTACGCTGGTGTCTGACTCAACGTCGGAGCCCGGTCGAGCGTTAGCCAGCCTGTAGTGAAAAAAAAAAATATGATAATTAAAAGCGGAAGTGGAGTTAAAATTGAAGCATTGTTATGGTAAAAGTCATTCTGAAAACACAGGCTTGAAAAAAGATGTATCGTTGTCGAGGTGAACCATCAATATAGCAAACGATGCTATAGTGCCTAAATAAAGAAACAAATAAAACACGTACGTACAGCGAGAAAATCTCATTTCACATGACCTCTATGTAGGGAACAGGAGTGCGATATAAACAGCGTCACGTTTCGTCCGTGATTGTGTGCAAGGGACGGTGTCTGAGTGTAATAGTGCAATTTGGTTTAACATTTATTGCATTTATTAATAAAATCTATAGTTTAGCACTCGGACACGATACAAAACATAAGACTCTCTCTTTTACGACATATTATTACTAAGCAAGACATGGGTGCCTATGTGTGAAGTTGGAATGATGTGTATATTTGTTAGGACTACATTTGTTTCACTTCATTGTAATGAGGCCGATGAAATGCAGCCAGCTGCCGATGTAGCGGCCGATATAAGTCAATATACTTATGCGCTAATATTTCTAAATTATACATGGCTATCACCGCGAAAATGAACCACCATTTTCTAATTTCTGGGTTATAAAGTAAGCTTGCAGTGCTTACCTTGCCTGCACCTGCCGTTGGTAGCGCTCTTGCCTCTTGCGCTTGAGGGTTCTTGCGGACGAAGGCATGGCATCACCCGCGCGATACACAGTAGGTATGTACAGTATACATACACGTATTGAATAGAAAACGATGTGCCGCGTCAATAATGATTGTTTATACAATGTGTGAAGAAAGGAAATCACGACGATACATCAACATGGTTATGTACCATCGGTACCGACGTCGGCCTCCGATTATTCTTTTTTCTCTACAGTAGATTTTTCTGCACAGCGCGTGATAAAAAACAAAACTGCCTCGCAATAGCCGGCAGGAAATCGTCGGTATAAGAGACTTGAGCTTTCATGTTTCGAGGTTCTACATGTAAACTGTTATTATAAGACTTTCTTATAGTTTCTTATGACAGATTTAGGAAGAGTACACTCTTTAATTTTTCTTTGTTGTGCTTTGAAAGGGCCGGTACTCGCCTCTCTGCTCTTTACCTTACCGGTACTCTTTGCTTGCTCGAGATTCAAAACTTCGGACTGCGTAGGTGATATGATGTTTATGTCCAACATCATAAGTGGCATCTCACTACATCTCACTGTACACGCGAAAGGGGTCCTGCGGCGCAGTATAACTACAGGCGCTCTGCTTCCTGCCATCTATTGGCGAAAGATGTAAACGGTGGTCATAGCGGCAGAGTATCACTATTCACTGCATGTACTTGCGTCTGTCTTTTACCTACGTGTGCATTATTTACTTCCACTGCTTGTACTACCAGTGACCAAATTCTCGACATGCGAGTGCGTCAGATAGCTGAGAATATTAGACCGGAACCGCAATCGTGACGACTTGCTCCATAAACGTGAAAGAGGTGCTGCGGCACAGTATAACTGCAGGCGCTCTTCTGTCCTGCCATCTATTGGCGAAAGATTTGTTCGCTGAAAGACTTGTTCCATAAACGCGAAAGGGGTATAACTGCAGGCGCTCTTCTGTCCTGCCATTCTAGTGATGATAGATAAAAACAGTGATTGTGCGGCGCAGTATCACCATGCATGTTAACACGCATCCGTGGCCCTTACCTGCGTGTGGATCATTTGTTACATCCAGTGGCCAAATTGTTGACATGCAGATGTAGGTCCTCTCCCGATCGGTTGCCTGGCTGGTGAGATACTGGGTCCAAACCGCACCCGTGTCAATGTTGCGGCGAATTTCGACGGGCATGATTGAAAATTCGAAAAGCTGCGTCGAAGTATCCGTAACCGATTGAAAGTTGTCGTCAGTTATCGGTCATTGAGCAGGAAGAAAAATCGTGGAAAACGTTAAAATTAACATTTCCCAACTTATAGAGACACCCTTCGTGCTTCGTGCACGTCAAGTAAAATCGTTGTGCCGCTCTCCGATCCACATGCTGTAAGATAGCCTCACCAAATGCTCTATACGTCAGCGGTTGCCCAATGTCGACCGGGCGCTGCGTTCCCGTTTTATTGGTCCGGGAAGTGACCCGCGCCGCCCGCTTTTCGTCATTTCGATAGAAGCGATGCAGATCCGAAGGTTTTGATTTTTTAAATGGCAAATTTGGCGCCTTGTGACAGATGTGGCGCATTTGAGCCTGTCGTTTTCTCATGCATCCTTCTACCGAATGACACCTTTATCGGACCATATTTGAAAAAGTTGTGCGTTTTGCGACAAAAATGGCGCCTCGTGACAAATGTGGCGCATTGCGTCAAACGCGGTGCATTTGTGTAAGCGCATTGAAAACTGTCCTTATTTACCGAAAATCAACATCTTCATTCGCCTCTGTTTATCAAAATAAATAAGCTGTCAATCTGCAAATGAGAGGCACCCGCCGCCGATCGTCATGCATTTTATTGTCAAAGGCGATTGAACCCGTCTGCCGATGCCTTGAAGCAAGCTTGAGAGCCGAGCAAAATTTGAAGAAAAAGCACGTTTTTCCAGCGCGTGCCACGTGCGAACCATCCACCCCCCGGGACTCGAAACACGACACTGCACGTGCCCGTGACGTCATCGACACCCTGCGAAAATTTCAGCCCCATCGACCGCACCGTTTGACCTGTGCACGGCGTCAAAGCACCCCTCTGCACGGTGCAAACACACAGAAACACATACAGAGTTTCATTTCACAAATAGTATAGTAGACAAGCGGCTGCGCCACTTGCTTCGCGGCGTAGCCAGAAAATGCGGCACCAGCCAATTTGCTTTCGAATGGTGTTTGATTTAAACTGATCTGTCGTCTGGAAGCAGAGACATGGACGGAAACGCGAAGAGGAAAATTTTGAACATACCTAATCTGTGGGCTTATTTGGATGAAATTTGGGTCATGCGGGGTCAAGTCAGGTCAAGTTGGCCATCCCCGGTCACACTGGGTCAGGCCAGGTCACCTTCGGTCAGGCCAGGTCGTATAGGTCACCACGTCACATTGGATCGGCCTGTACCACACTTCTACTACTTCTACCCATACAACTACTCCTACCACTACCCCTACCACTACCCCTACCCCTACTCCTACCACTACCCCTACCACTACCCCTACCACTACCCCTACCACTACCACTGCCCCTACTACTACCCCTACCACTACCCCTACTACTACCCCTACCCCTACCCCTACCCCTACCCCTACCCCTACCACTACCCCTAACACTACCCCTACCACTACCCCTAATACTACCACTACCCCTACCGCTACTCGTACCAATACTACTACCACTGGACCAAGTGAGGTCACAGACTATCAGATAAACTGATAAACTAAAAAAAGAGTTCTTAAAACTGCCCCTACACGTGTCACTCCATTATTCTTTATCGTATTTGGTAAAAATGGCGCCTTGAGACAAATGTGGCGCATTGCGACAAAAGTGGTGCATTTGTGCCTGTCCTTTTGTCATGCATCCTTTCACCGATTTGCACCTTTATCGGACCATATTTGGCAAAGTTGTGCAATTTCCGGCAAAAATGGCGCCTTTCGACAAATGTGGCGCATTACGGCAAGCCCGGTGCATTTGTGTTAGCGCATTGACAACTGTCCCTATTCAACGAAAATCAACGCCTTCATTCGCATCTGTTTATCAAAATAAATAAGCTGCAATCCGCAAATGAGAGGCACCCGCCGCCGATCGTCATGCATTTTAGTTGCAAAGTCCATCAAACCCGGCTGCCGATGCCTTGAAGACCGAGCAAATTTGTGAGGAAATACGCACTTTTCCAGGGCGTGCCACGTGCGAACCATCCACCCCCCGAGACTCGAAACACGCCACTGCACGTGCCCGTGACGTCATCAACACCGTGCGAAAATTTCAGCCCAATCGACCGCACCGTTTGACCTGTGCACGGCGTCAAAGCACCCCTCTGCATGGTGCAAACACACAGAAACACATACAGAGTTTCATTCTACAAATAGTATAGTAGATAGTTCATAGACGCGTCTCGGCGAGGGGAACACGATTCTGGCAATAGAAATGTCGTGGCTTTTTGTAGTTGAAAGTTATTGTCGAAAAACACTTTTCGTAAAAACAGCTATTTTTGGAGTTTTTGCCCTCTGGAGGCTAAACCGTTGACCTGAGGTCAACATTGATAATGATCTTTTCAAAAGAAGAGTTCAAAAGCTATCGATTGCTTTTCAATGCGTTTTTGTAGCTACCATAGTTCCTGAGATAGTGGCATATTTCTGAAAAAGATAATGACAATTGGCAAATTTTGACCTTTGATGACCTCTGGTGACCCCGATATTGCTCTAAGGTGAAAAATGACTGAAATGCTTTCAAACGTACGGATTGAGAGCTATCGACTGTTTTTTACCGCGTCTTTCTAGCCCTCTTAGTTTTTGAGTTAGAGGTGGGTGGTAACATATGCCCCCCCCCCCCCACGGGCGAAGTTGGCTGAGACCGCCACTGGGGCGCGGGTTAAACGTTATGACGTTGCAAACAACTTTGCAATAACGTTACATATTCTTTGGAAATCGAATGAGAAACTTTTGTTCTGACAACACATATATGCAGTAGAACAAAACACGCTATGCCTAAACCACTTTGACATATATTTCTTCCGTATAACAAACGTACCTATACGGTGAGGGGTCCTTTGGATCCCCCCCTCCTTGCCGTTCGGCCCCTGATTGAGCTAGAGCTTCGCGGAAAAAACGCTCGTACCTATTGCCGGTGATGAGAGGAAACCGATTGTACCTATTGTATTGTATTGTACTACATTTAGAGCGGTCCACATTCCAAATAGCGTGGCGATTATTGCTCAGATTGTTGGTTGTTCTGTATCGTATTTCAGTCGGAAATAAATGCAGCAATGCGTCACCTGTAGGAGGTATTTCATCTTGCGTGGTTGGCACACTACTTCTCAGAAGCCCTTGATACAACAGCTCGTCTGCAGCCGCACGCACGACGCATACATGCACACGACCTCCCCGGCCGGCCGGCCGTGGCCCGGCAGAGGCCGTACTGGCGCGACACCTGCTGACAGATGGTCAAACCTGTATTTGACCAGAGGACGCCAAAATCGCGATAATAGTTCGCAACATAACAATTTTACCCAATTTGACCCAATCATAAGGTCGTGGGTCATTGGGTGAACTTCCAGGCCTGGTCAATGACCCAAAATTCGGGAAAATCGTGACACGTCAGAACTTAGTGAGGTGAGGTTGTTATGTTTTTTTTTCGGGGTATTGAATGCTGATCATGAATTTAATGTTAGTTTTGATCACAGATGGTGTCTTCCTGCATTTTGGCCAGGTCGGGTCAGGTCAGGTCAACCAGTTGGGGTCCTGCCGGGTATTCATAGTATGTGTCAACCGCCTCTGATAGCTTCGTTACATGTTACGAAGGCACCAAAACCACTTCGTAAATGTTCAAATGGTTGCTAAATTCAAAACCAGCTAAAAAAAAACTAGCCTAGAGTGACCCAGCCTTTGGAAAAGTTCCAACGCTCGCTATAGCTAAACCGACTGAACGTTCGCTATGGAACGTTCAGTGATTGGTAAGAGTTACTTACAGTAAAGTAATGTATATCTCGTATTTTTCTATATCTGTGACCTTAGGCCAGGTCAATTTTGCGGCCTCTCCATTATGTCAATAAGAGAAAACTGAAATGCCTCTTTTTTAATGAACATCGTTCTAAATACTGAGACATCGGTTACTAGACAGACATGACACATTGAATCGGAAAATGTTGTGACCCTTCTTTGTGCCCCTGAGGTCATCTCAGGTCGTGAAAGCTATTCTGCAGTCTTTTGACAATAATTTTTGATAGAGACATTCTAGAGCGGTGAAAACACCTCAGATGTGTTCAGCTCGACGATAGAGGTCGACTGATTTGCAACATGACTTTTTCCGGCCAGGTCATGACCGTGACCTGAGGTGAAATAAAACAGAGTTAAGTTGATTAAGTTAAGCCTGAAACAGACTCTTTCCGCAGTCAGGAAATCGCATGCGAGAGCCTATATTCAAATACATGGAAGCACGCTCGCATCAACCGCACGCACCTCCCGCAAGCGATTGATGCGAGGAAAATTACAATGCATTTGAATAGGCTCTCGCATGCGATTTCCTGAACGCGGAAAGAGTCTGTTTCAGCCTTTAATTCGACGCGTCTCGACGAGAGGAGCACAATTCTGGCAAAAGCCAATTCTTGCCTCTCTTGAGTCAAGTCATAAAAAACATTTTACGAAAAAGGGTTATTTTTAGAGTTTTCCCTTCTGGAGGCTAAACCATTGACTTCAGGTCAAATCTGAGGGTACAATTCAGAAAGAGCATTCAAATGTTTATCGAATGTGCTTTTCCAAGGCGCTATAGCTCTATTGGTTCCCGAGTTATGCGCCACTTTTTTAAATTGTTGAAATAAGCAAAGTTTGTAATTTGATGACCTCAGGCGACCTGACCTTTAGCCTGACCTAAGAAATTATTGAAGTGTTTTCTTCATTATTCTTGACGCTCTTTCGAATGCCGCTTACCGTCAGTCGCTAAGTGGCCCCGGAGCCGAGCTAGACGGGGGCGTGAAAACGCCCCCCCCCCCAACCCCGGACAGCACGGGAAAACTCAGACCACCAGCACGGCACGGGTTAATGACGTGCATTTTGAGGCTTTTGATTCTTGGAAATAGGTTTACCAGCGTTTTTGAATTGCGCCCTGACTCCTGAGAGATTTTTCTTTTATTTAAGGCCCTCTTACGCGGTTCCCCGCATTTTGATTTTTGGCACCAAGGTTTTCTATATGAGGGGATCACGTTGCAATCGCACATGATTTCAGCGAAGGGGCCGTCGATCCCTGCTGAACCCTTGCTGTACCCCTGCTAACTTCCGTTGCATCGCCCGTCATGCAGAGAGAGAGAGAGCTTAGGTGCCGCATCCGTATCTGCAGTGATGACGTCACTGTCTGACGTCACCTCTGAGCTGTCGGGGCGGCGGCGGCGCTGGCGGGGTCGGCGGGCCGGGCCGGCTGGCACACACCTCCCTCAGTGTCGGCCGGGACGGTATACAGCCTCGCCTCCGAGTGCCTCTTCGGGTCTAACCATGGCTGACGGTGAGTGCCTGCCTGTCTGACAGCCTGAAGGGGACCTGCGACTGCTGGATGTGCGCCGAAAAGGCGTCGGAGCGCAGGTTTGGCCGGGAAGGATCTCAGTTAATTGTTCCGCGCTTCAGTTTGTGTTTCGGTTATAGGAGTGAGATGCCCTTGCGCTGGATTGACCTGTCTGATGTCGATCCAACTATGATATCTTTTATTATTTTTAACACCTTCGCTCATAGATCTGCGTTGCCTTTGTTCGTCACGATCGTATCGGTTTCTGTAGACTGATTTAAAACGATTTAGGTATGTATCTGACCTCAGCCCAAATTGACTTATGCTTCCATTGAGCTCCAGATGTTCTGTGTCTGTCAGATTTACGTACGTTTAATGTTAATTCCGGTATGTCCTTTTTCGGTGTTTGTCTCCTTCTGGTGTTTGTCACGGTCTGTGATGTTTGTCCCGTGTTTATCTCGTTCCGTGCTGCTCGTCTCGGTTCCCGACAGTGACCTTCCTGTCCCGGTCTGGTCGGCACCAGACCGGACCGTCGGCCGTCGGTCGGGCCGGCAGCGCCGGTGTATTTCGGAGTTGGCCGGCGGCCAGCGCGCCGGCTGGCTGGGCGGGGCCGCCCGGCAGTCTGTTAGAATTCGACAGTCTGCTTATCCCCAGTCTGTGCTAGACAATCGGTCGAGAACTCGGAAGTCTGGGCGTTGGTATCACGGCAGTCTGTCGGATTTTTGGGAAGTCTGCAGTATTACCATTTGCCAGGCGCCACATCTGCAGTCTGTTCGTCAGCTTTACCATGACCTATCTGCGGATGACTTCACCGGTCACCCGCCAGTGACATTCACCACAATGACCCCGTCGCGCTGTCACTGTCGTCTGCCACCCTGTCACTCCGAGCGGGGACCCCCGGTGCCCGCCGTCTGACTCCCTCCTATGTACCGCGACTCTGCACTAGCGCAGCGCAGCTCCAGAGCTCCAGCCAAGGTCGGGAGGGCGGCGGCCGGCGACTGAGGGGCTGTGTCGTCACAGTACGGCTGGGAGCTTCCTCGGGCGTGGGACGGCAGTGGAGCACCATCACCCAACGGGGCGAGATGTAAGCGGCTACCAAGGGCAAAGGGCAGCGGCAGCTACAGCTCTAGCAAAAACGAGGGCTGAACATTCTCATAGGAGTAAACAGCTTCATCAGTCTTGTTGTCAGTGGGCCCAGCAGAAAAGAAGTGCAGCTGACCTCCCAGCAGCGGCGACTGCAGCTCCGCTCAGTTTCGGTCAGAGCGTCTTTCACTCGGTCCTCCGTCGATGGACGGGTCCCACCTGAACTGAGTTCGTTGATGACGTCACCTGCTACATGATGACCTCACTCCGTGTGGGAGGGGACGGCTGGCTCCCTCCCCTACCCCTCCCCCTGGTGCACTGGGCTGGAGCGGAGCAGCCACCGGCCCGGCCCGGCCCGGCCCAGTGACAGGCTGCCTGGGCCATGACATCAGCACGCCGACCCGCCCGGCATGGCTCCCACCTAACCCCCCCCCCCCCCCGGAATGGCTGGCCGACTCAGTGGACAGGCCAGGCGAGTTCGAATGGTGACGACAGCAGCCTCTGCAGGGCTTCTGCAGATAAATGAATGGCTTGATAAATTGCTTTAACTAAAAGTTAAACAAATGATCGCTCACAGATCCATTGATCGGGAAGAGGTCTATCAAAACGTCTTTTATTTTAATCGTCATTTTGTACCTTCCAAAGCGTCATTTTGTGTCGACACGTATTGTAAAGTATTCATTTATGCGAGGGCATGACCAAAGAGACATTCGTAGGTGACGTTTATTCGGTGCAGCGAATGCCCTCGCATAAATGAATCTGGAAGGGAAACAAGAATTAGACATGGTGACCCTTCAGACACGGTGCACATATCCCTACAATCGAGTCTCGACACCATCTCCCTTTCCCCTCAGACGAGTGCTGTCTGGAGGACTGCTGCTGCCACGAGACGGCCGATGACCTGAATTACCACTACCGGCCCATCAGCGGCACATCGGTCAGCTTCAGCGTGCAGTGCGCCAACGACGCGCACCTGTGCCTCAGCCCGCACGACCACGACTCGGAGGACATGCTGCAGGTCTTCATCGGCGCCTGGAAGAACGGCCAGTCCGGCATCCGGCTAGGAAACAGTGAGTGTCCCAACCGGACTCCGGCTAGGAAACAGTGAGTGTCCCAACCGGACATCCGGCTAGGAAATTTTGAGTGTCCCAACCGGATGTAAGGTTTGGAAACAGTGAGTGTCCCAACCGGATATACGGCTAGGGAACAGTGAGTGTCCCAACCGGACATCCGGAAACAGTGAGTGTCCCAACCGGACATCCTGCTAGGGAACAGTGAGTGTCCCTACCGGATATACGGCTTGGAAACAGTAAATGTTCCAACCGGATATACGGCTAGGGAACAGTAGCGAGTGCCATGCAGACCGACATGATTCCATCGTTCAGGTCATACTCGGGGGCGGTACTAGAGTCAGTCACACTTTTTAAGTTTAACTTCGACCTGTAACAAATAAGAACAACGTACAGGTTTGCAACCATTACCATGCCGGATAGATTCACATTGCCGTTTCGGCTTTCAGAGAACAAGCAGGACGTGGCCCGGGTAGACACTCCTGGCATTGTGTCGGAGGAGGAGTTCCGAAAATTCTGGATCAGCTGGGACGATGGCCACGTTAAGGTATGATTAAAGGCTTCTTATACCGATGATAAGGATCATGTTTTTCCCATAGGATAAATTAAACTCGGGCTATTTAATTGGTTTCAAATCACATGTTTAGATATAAGTGTTAATGCTATCTAAACGGTCGTTTATCCCGCGCGGGGCTGGGGTCTCCAGCCGAACGCGCGGGGCTGGGGGTGGGGGGTAAATTTTACCCCCCCCCCCTGTTATCTCCCGAACTAATGGTCCGATTTGGAAAATTCAAACGCCAATCGAAAGCTCTCATCACGAACTACTAAAAACATGTACTTAATTTAAAGTTTGAGGTCAAGGTCAAGGTCAGGTCAAGGGTACAAATTGCAAGTTTCTACAGTATCGGCCTTGCACCGTAGTTGCCGAAGAATGGAGTCATGGACTGAGACTGATCGCCCAAAACGTGTTCTTAGGCTACCAAGACAATATTCGTTGCATACAATATCATTCAGAGGTCAAGGTCAAGGTCAGGTCAGGTCAGGTCAGGTCACCAAAAAACAAAATATAGAAAAGGGCATGTGCGACACATGTTTTATGGGTCATTTTACTCAGAGAATTCAATAGGCACACTCAATATGTGATATGGACCACCTTTGGATGAATTTCAGGTCGAGGTCAGGTCAAGGTCAGGTCAAGTGAGGTCAAATTTTGAAGTTGGTTGTTAAGGCCTAAAAAGGTGTCTATCTGATGCAGTTTTTCACGGCGAATCGAATGGTGCTATTTTTATTTTCGTACGAGGTCTAGAACTTCCAAAAAAAGTCATTTTTCAAAAAATTTGTGTGTCGTGACGTCATAAAATTTTGAATAACTCCCACATTTTTGAACCGATTCTTCTAAAATTTGGTATGGTGGTGCACATAGACCACTTCTCTTACATATATTCCGGTTTTTTTTCGATAGACTCAAAGTTTTGGATTTTATAATGATTTTCCCAAAAAAGTCAGTTTTTTGAAAAAATTTAGGCCAAAATCCAAAATTTTCAAAAAACCGAGATAGCCATTTGATAGACAAAGTAAAATTACGTATAACCTTTTTTGTTACGTCTTGATTCCTTTAAAAATGAAGATGTTAGCGGCGTTTGAACTTTTGCCGTTTTTGAGGCGAAAATGGCGAACATGACGTCACTAAAACGTCAATTTCTCAAAAATTTTCCGACGGATTTCGCTCAAATTTTCAGGGAACGTGTCAAATTGATGTAAGAAAAGGTACAAAAAGTTTGGTGGCGCTGCGCGCCGCCGTTTTTGAGATATCGCAAAAATTCGCGAGGGGGGGGGGGTAAAATTTACCCCCCCCCCCAGCCCCGCGCGGGTTATGTAACAATTTAATGTTTAAACACTGTGATCTATTAACTGGTAAATACGGTGCATTGAGTGAGACATTATATTATCGACACTAAAATATTTGAGGCTTAGCTCATCCAATAGGCGCCGCGTTAACTTCTCAGTCCTTAATGTGCATGCATTGCACTCGTCCGTTCCGACTAACGTTTCACCGCGTGCCGTCCATTCGTCCATTCGTCAGGTGGGCCACTGCGGCGACACCACGCCGTTTATGGAGTGGAGGAGCCCGCAGCTAATCACCGCCTCCTACCTGGGCTACCGGACCGGCTGGGGAAGCTGCGGCCAGTGGAAGTTCCACGGTAAGTTGGGTTAACTGGGCTACCGGACCGGCTGGGGCAGCTGCGGCCAGTGGAAGTTCCACGGTAAATTGGGCTACCCATGGGTTGCCACCGCACCGGCTGGGGGTGCTATGGCCAGTGGAAGTTCCACGGTGAGTAGGGTTCTTTACCTGGGCTGGAGCAGCTGCGGCCAGTGGAAAATCCCACGGTAAGCCAGCGGCAATGTAACGCACATACACGTAAGTACGAGTATGATAGATGTGGGATCCTCCTGCCTGACCTAAAGAAGACTCGTGTATGACTCCGAGGAACAGGCTCAAGGATCTGGCTCGAGCTGTAGCGTCTGCAGCCTGTACCTTTAACGACGCATGTGCTATGAACTACGTAGAACGCAGCCAAAGCAACGCTCTTCCCGTGTGGTCTCCCTTGCAGACGAGGCGCTGTTTGAGACGGCGTGCGACTGCCACTACCACTTCCGCGAGGCGCACGGCACGGCGGTGACATTCAGCGTGCAGATCCCCAACGACGCCCACCTGGCGCTGACCTCCGGGCCGGCCGAGGCGGCGCCCATGTACGAGATCTTCATCGGCGGCTGGAACAACACCAAGTCGGCCATCCGGTACACCAGTGGTGAGTGGAGTAGTGTGTCGGGTCAGAGACTGGGTCACACACAGTCAGGTCAGGCCACGCACTAATAACATCCGAGACCTTACAAGACACGGGGTCATCTCACGTCCAAAGTTCAGTCATCGGCCATGTAATAACCTTTGCTGAAGAGCTGTTGATGCTGATTTTACAGGTTTCACCTAGCTCTCTCTTTTACACTCGTTCTCTACCCCCTCCCCTTGCAGCGATCGTGTTTGACGACTACGTCAGCGAGGACATGTGTATGGAGGAAACGCCAGACATTGTCTCCGGCGACGAGATGAGATCGTTCACCATCTCCTGGACCAACGGCCTCATCCAGGTGTTCGTGAAGGGGGAGAGCACGCCGTTCATGTCCTGGAAGGATCCCAACCCCATCACGGTGAGCAGAGTCGTCACTCGTCACCATCGCAGGAAAAACTATTTATGTCCGTCTATCACAGTAACGTCGCGAGGAGCCTGCCGTGACAATCCGAGCTGTCGCTCTCCTAAAGTGGACGTTCTGACGACATAGAATACCAGAGGTCGGTGCACCCTTATTCTCCAACCAGCAACAATAAAGAGAGCATCTCTATCACGTACCCCGTATGCGACTGTGTACAGTCCACAGCAGAAGTAATGTGTGGTTTCAGTCATGGGTATGTTCTGCTCCTGAAGCTTAGGAACGATTAGCCAGACTACAATGAAACTTTGAATGTAGCTTATATGTATTGTCACCCTTGCAGCTGCACCTTTAGCTAATGACATCTTCTTTTCGATCACCCCGCAATCCGCATTAAACAATCGCCAGTCAAAGCCAACCGTTGAGATTGGTAAAACCCTACATTACTTTAGCGGTGGGCTGTACCTCTGCTCGCCGCCAGTGTCGCTGACCGGCGTCCCGCTCCTGTTCGCTGCAGGTCACCCATTACGGCTACCGCAGCCGACAGGGCGCCAGCGGCCGGTGGCGGTTCGAGGTCTAGGAGCTCGCCGGCGGGACGGAGCGGCTCCCCCAGCCAGCAGGATCGGCGCTGATGGCTCACCAGTGAGCACTCCCTGAACTCTGGACAGAGTCAATAAGCTTTACTTGTCGTCTGGTGACGCGGCGTGGCGCACTTAACTCTCGTCCTTCTTTATCGTGCCAGCTGATGAATAACTTCTTCAGGGCAGCTGGAAACAAGTCAACGCGGCTTTGTGCTTATGTAGAATAGGGCCAGTGAACCAGGTCAAATGTCTCTTTTTAGTTGTTCCAGAAACGTGTTTGCAAAGGACGAAATCATGTGAGGGAGCCCATGCTCTTGCATAATACATATTTTCTTGTTGTAAGAAGGCTTAATTTTTTACCTTACCGCTTCTCGGGTGAATCGTATGACAACAAACCAGTTAGTTTCACGTCCTTATTCATATATCAGTAAAAATTACAACAAATGGCACACGACAGGCGCGTGGTCTCACAGCCCCGGACAGTGGCTCCTTTGGGAAGGCACAGTGGGCAGTCGGCACGGCTCGCCACCAGCGCGCAGTAATACTATCACTTATTGCATGGTCATTAACGCATGGCTGACTAGAAACGAGTCATAGAATCAATTAGGCTTCCGACGGCGACTGACTGAAAGAAGGTTAATACTCTGCGCGTAAACCACCGATAGGCGTCAAACACTCGCTCCGCAGACACCACATGCACCAGTCGTCCACTGACTCACAGTGACACCGAAACGCACTCATCCCGGGACACAATGAACGTGACACAAGACGAGACATAGTCCATCAGATCTGCAATGCACCAGCACTCTCGAGTCCTTCGACTGCGACCGAGGGCCTCCGAGAAAGGCGTATGTCAATTCGGAAGGCCTAAAACGTTCGGGTTCCGTTACTACGGGTAGAGTGTGTCGAGCGCACAGCATTAGGAGACTGCTGTGATACCGCACCGCTTCAGGTATGAAACAAGGCACTCATTAGAGGCCTGGACCGAAGGTGCTCGCTGGTAACCCAGCATCGGTTGGGCATTGAAAAAAAAATATTGTAGTCGATAGCACTCTGTTAAAGACGTGAGGCGATGACGTTGAAGGCTGGCAATCTGTTGAAAGGATGGGTCTGCTGCACATTTGGCTATCATCGATACCACTCATCAGTGGAGCAGCTGACTGGCTGGTCTCTCAGAATACTGGCTTCAATGGCTTTGGTGCGCAATGCGACGACACACACCGGTCGGGCACTCGTCACGTGACCGTTTTCACCACTCCGTCACGGCTGTGACGTGACGTCAGACCACAGTCCGTCTGTACGTCCGTATGCTCGCTCTGCGGGCAGCGTCAGGGTCCCGTGGCACAGGCATCATTGCATAGCTCACCATCCACTCACGTCTCACTGCAGCACAACTGGCGCTGTTCTCGGTTCACCTGGCGCCGCTCTCGGTTCACCTGGCGCCGCTCTCAGCTCGTCTGACGCACCGTCAGTCCACATAACGCCTCCGTCAGTTCACCTGACGTCAGTATCAGTTCACACACAGCTCCATCAGTCCGCCTGATGCCGCCGTCCCGCTGGTACCGCTGTTACCGGACCGGGCAGCGCTCGGGCGGCACACAGGCGCCCTCGTGGAGCAGCAGGCCCTCCTGGCAGACGCAGCCGGGCCGGCAGGGGGCGCCGCCGGCCGCCGGAGGAGCGCACTGCTCACCGGCCGGCGAGGGGGCCTCGCAAGAGGGCTGACAGTCGGGCACACAGTCCACCGGGCGGGAGCTCTTCGGGCACTGCACGGGAGCTGAAACACAGGGACAGTCAGTGTGAGAAGACTGCATTGATTATGCTACGCGTTGAACATGATTAAACGGCACAGTGTCTTGCTGAGGTCAGCGTGACTCTAACGTCTTCAACCCCCCCCCCCCGTACCCTGAATTCTTCCTGAAGTTCACATGTCCTCCCTCACCTGCACAATCTGTCCCCTCCAGCCAGTCGACGGCGATACCCTTCCGCTGGCAGGCGTGTGAGTAGGCAGTCAGCGCCTCGCAGTAGCATGTCTTGCGCTTTCCGCACTCGCACATGTCTTGGACACACGACCTGCAAAAGATATGACTCATATTTAACTCGCATCTTGTTTACCATGAGAACAAAATTTATTGCGCAAGGGTGATGTAATAAGTGACAAGTGACATTTAACTAATTATTTGAAGCGGCAATGCCTACATATTGACGCTACTAATTTAATCACGGGCTCGCTTATTGAGCCGGGGACATTGCGTAAAACCGTCAGTGTCTCCAAAAACACTCGTCCTTACTTGAAGAAGGGCGCCGGGTGGACCTCTGGGTGACAGTCGGCGAACCGGGCCGATTTCAGCCGGTTACACTGTCGGACTGCGGTGGCTCGCGCGGCCCGGTCGCCGCCACACGACTTGGGCTTCCGTTTACGGTGGCGGCGGGTCTGACGTCGGGACTGAGCCATACAGAGGGTGCGAGCTGAGGGAGAGAGAGGGGGGCGGTCAGAGGAGGTCTGGGGACCAGGTAAGGAGAGCGGGCTGCGGGGAGAGGGGGAGGAAAAAAATAAATAGCGAGAAGAAAACAACAAAGTGAAGAAGATCGATTATCTGTCTACATCAGATAAATATAAACCTGTTGCAAAAAGAGCTCTCTGCATTTCTCTCAACAAGCAGCACACGAATACATCAATAAATACTAGCTAAATAAATAAATAACTTTCTAAAACAGTTTCATCTCATAGCGCCAGCCACCTGTCGCTGAACCGGTCTCACCTCCCACCAGCCAGGAGCGGGCGAACCGCCTGGTCAGCTTGACCTGACGACCTCTTCTCGTGGTGAAGTCGTCCGTCTTGTTGCCGTTGTAGTTTCCACACAGGCCACACATCTTGTTCTTGTAGGAGGGCGGCACCTTGACCTGCAGAAAACTGTCGCCGTCCCAAAGAACACTGACGCCTGGAGGAATAACATTTGTTGTTAACGAAACGACTGTAGAGGGCTGATTGCTTGTGTCATTTCCAGCGTGGCTTACTGTAAACCATGAGACGGTGACTAAACTTTAGCTTATCTTTTTCAAAACATTTATTTCACACAGACATGAAACCTTCATAAAGAGGCAAGGCACGCAACTCAGATCAAAGCAAAAAAGCAGCTAGTCCCCGCAACTTTAGCAACAACGCAGCAAAGCAACTTTAGCTTATCAGGAGGAAGGCGAATAAGACGGAAGAATTATTTTATTTTGTTATCAACTAAAACATTCGGTCTGCTTTACGTGTGCCTCACCCAGGTCGCTGAGCTTGACGACCACGTTGTAGTTGTCGTCCGGGTCCTGGCTGATGGACACCTTTCCGAGCTCGAAGTAGGGCAGATCGGCCCTCCGGTTGTTCACCTTGACCCGCTTCTTCTGTCGCAACGCTATCCTCAGGTCTCCCGCCTGCAGCATCGCCGTCTTTGAGCTCATGCACATGCGTGACAACACTGCAGTTTTGGAGTGAATTCCAGCACATAATCAGGCAATATTGTTGTTATTGTTTTATGACAGAGGCATACAATATTGGTCACAACTCGGAGCGATCAATTTAATCTTAGATGAGTTGTTTCATGATTGGTGGCTAAACACCCACCTTTATGGTGGCCGACTGTGTCCAGCTGAAGAAGCGACTCCGCCGGGGGCTGTTGTTGACCCGGATCGAGAACGATTTGTCCACGCAGTCCTTGGCCAGCTGGTATTTGCACGTACCCTGGTAGTTGTACATTTTGCCGTCGAACGTGTTGTAATGCGGATCGCCGAATACCTGTAATCGTACTACCACTCTCAGGGTATGTCAATGCTATATAAACCAGGTAGAACGCTCCCGAAGAAAAAGTGGTGACAAGCAATATTTAGTTGCCGCGACCCTCACTTGTTCAAGACTATATCCGCAAGCAGCATTTACAAGCTAGCGGAAATCGACCAATCGGCGTTCGGCAATACTCAACGCTGATTGGCCCGATGCTCGTGACGAAATTGCGGGGGACTGCAGCTACTCCCCTATGGCGTTTCATTGACTTATGACTTTTGAAGGGGATTTGTATCAGTTTTTGTTGGGTTTGAGGCCATTTTTGAGCTTGGATATTCTTTCCGTGACCTTTGACTATATAATAACGACATTTAATTATGACATTTCTATATACTACCGGTGTCACATCGGCCAAAAAGACCGTAAGTACATGGGATAGACGGACCACTGCTGATGGGGCCACACATGTCGGCGTGTGGTCATCGGAGGCCCATGAGGGCTCGACATGGGCCCTTTATGGGTCGGTATAGGCCCAGTGGGTCCAGTGCAGGCCTACCAGGGGCCGGTGGCATATAATGTAAGGCTGTCTCGGGACGAATTGAGGGCTCATGGGGGCCATATAGGACCATTAGGGACAACATAAGCCAATCAGGGGTCCATTTAGGCCAATAAAGGCGCTTCAGGGACTTGAAGAGGCCATTCAAGAGCCGTGGTGGGCCCATGAGGGGACGGCATTGGTCCATCAGGTGCAGTCAGGGGATGTTGTACGGGTTTCTCAGTGACCCATTTGGGCATATCAGTGACCAATTTAGACCCAGCAGGGGGCTTTGTAGACCTATCAGGGGCTGGTGATGGTTTATCGGAGGCCAGCGTTAGTCCATCGGGGCACGGCATGCCCATTAGAGGTAATTGCGGGCCCACACTGAACAATGATGGCCCTTCAACGGCCCCTAATGGATCTAGATTGACCCATGTTCCATGATGTGTCATGTATGCCCCTATGGCAGGCCTACTCAGACCCCTGATGGACGTTCCCGGCCTCTGATGACCCTATACTGAATCCTGGTGGGGCTCTAAGAGTCTCCAATAACCCTTCTTCAGCCCATTATTACCATACGCTGGCACTAAAGGCCCCACATCAGCCGCAGGGCAGTCCGTGCCAAGACAGCATGTCTTTTCGGCCGATATTACATCGGTAATATTAATTAAAATCATGATTTTATGGTGCCATTATATAGCTAACAGTCATAAGAAATATATTTCAACTCGAAAACAGCTCGAAACAGCATATAATCTTAAAGAAACCCCTCTGAAATCCAAAAGCCTATTCGGGTCCATAGAGAATAACTGCGGTCCCCCGCAATTTCGTCACGAGCGTCGGGCCAATCAGCGTCGAGCACTGCCGAGCGCTGATTGGTGGATTTTCCGCTAGCGCGTGAGTGCTGCTCGCGGAACAAGAGTTCGTCGACAATCCTCCACAAACGTCTGTCACCACTTTTCGTAATGCTAAACAGCCGGAGCGTACCCCCCTGGGGTATGTGCACAAATATATCGGCAAGGGCTTTAGCTGGAGCTGGGTATTA